TTGCGTACCGCATCCCCATGCCTTGCCCACCCCTTTAAAATCGGCCAGACATCAAAACTACTTCGGGTGTGAACCATGCTAGCTGGAGGGGGGAATTCCGTCGCGCAACTAATTACGCGTCCCGGCCATTCTCGCACGGGAGTCCAATTCTGCAGGGGAGAGAAAGAAAGCGCAAGAGAGAGAGAGAGAGAGAGAGAGAGAGAGAGAGAGAGAGACGAGGTGGGGGTGGCGCGTCAATTTCTCGAATTTCTGCCATCGGCTTGACTTCATTGAGACGATGATGACTTCCGTATTAAAAAGTGCTCGTCTGGGTACGGTAGTCTAATCCTTTTTACTTTTTTAAGCATTTTTCGAAATCGATCTCTCATATTTTATAGGGTTGATGGATTTAGCGAGAATGAGAGAGCGAGAGAGAGAGAGTGAGATTTATTTATGGCTTGATTTTATTATTTTCGGGCTCACATTCGGCTCACATTCGGCCGCGTTCGCCATCCCAAATTGGCACCCCGGGTGCTCGTATTTCAGTACGTACTGCACCTATCCCCGCCTAGCGATACCTTATTCTTAAAGTAAATACACAGAGTTTGGCCTTTCGATCAGTTTTTATTCAAAATCTTTCTCTCTGTCTCTCGGGCTCTCTCTCTCTCTCATCTCCCTGTCTCTCTCTCTCTCTTCTCTCTTCTCTCGCCCTCATCTCCCTGTCTCTAGCTCTCTCTCCTCGCTCTCCTCTCTCTCTCTCTCTCTCTCTCTCTCTCTCTTCCCAAAGGTCCCTACAAATTTCCACGGCTTCTCAACCCCTGGAAAAACGCTTGATACACGTGGGATTGTTTTTGGCGGCGTGTTAGACGGGGGGATTAAACTAGCGATTAGTCAGAGTCGAGAATTTGAGTAGCTGACTTCGATTTTGCCTTTCATTCTCTTTTTTTAGGCTAATCTTCTCAATACAAAATTCTACTAATCACAGCCTCGTGTAGATTATACCAGAATTTAACTAAATTTGCTTTGAAAATCGGCTCAAATAAAAAATTTATACCAAAAGTCATATTTAATAAGATCCTATGAATTTGTTTATTTAGGGTGAATTTTAAGCTCAATTTTACTTTATTTTTGATTTTCTTATTCGTAATATAAATTATCTAAATTTAATGAAACTGTTTAACGTGCAAAAACTACATTTTAAGAAATCACCCCAAATCCCTTAAGAACCTACTTACACTGCAAAAATGTACACAAATAATTTGAGTAAAATGGCAATAACCTAAGATTTACTTGCGAAAAATCATCGCCCAGCGTCTAGAAGGCCAGGGCGCAAAATAGCCCGGGGATTAGTGATGTTGGTACGGTAGCTAGTCCCGTCGAGAGGTGTCGAGCGGAATTCGGGGATCCGTGGGTGGGAGGATGAGGAATTTTGAATTAAGCTCCGGAATACGTGGATAACCGGCAAAATGAGCTTTATTGGCATAGAAACTGAATTTCTTCTTAAAAAATGAATTTCGAATAAAAATGTCTCAGGCTCATGCTCATGCTCAGTTGAAATCCGCCCCTAAATAAAGAGATTTTTTGAGCATTCTAAATACTATTAGATTAGGCTATTTAAGTGCTAGCCTAAGCTATTCTTTTGCCACAAAATTCGCCGTGAAACTACCGGATTTAAAAATGACGACATGTAATTATTGCGAAGCTCAAAATAACGCCTAATTTTATTTAGTTATATTATATTTTTTTAATTTATTCAATTACGTCATCAAATGCATTAAAAACGTGCCATTAAAAGTGTATAAATACTTATAATAGAGCGTTAAAATGTTATGCAAATTGCGACGTTTTTTAAAAGGTTTACGTTAAACTAGAGGTTGAACGCTAGATTTTCCAAGTCTAAACATCCCGGTTCAATCCCACCCCCCGCCAAATTTTTGCTTTTTTCCCCAAATTTCCGTCTCTTTACGCCTCTAATTGCTTAACTTGTTATGAACCCCCAAAAGCAACGAATTGTCCTTTTTCCATCTCCGTTACCGTAGTGACGGTAATTTGTGCGAATTGTTTCACTCTCGTGACGGGCCGCTAAAAGTTGCCCCTATTGCCCCTTATTCCTGGAAGTTTTCGTACTTTCCCAATTCCGATGCCCAGGCAGTGGACCGCGATTTTAGAGGAGGGCAGAATGTTCGGGCCGCATCTTTTTCACTTGGTGAGTTTGTAAAGGTTAGAAAAATGGTTAAAATTGGCTTGACTTAGGCTTGGCTTAGGCTTTGGCTTAGGCTTTGGCTTAGGCCTGGCTTAGGTTTGGCTTAGGCTTGGCTTAGGCTTGGCTAAGGCTTGGCTTAGGCTTGGCTTAGGCTTGGCTAAGGCTTGGCTTAGGCTTGGCTTAGGCCTGGCTTGGCTTAGGCTTTGGCTTAGGCTTGGCTTAGGCTTGGCTAAGGCTTGGCTTAGGCTTGGCTTAGGTTTGGCTTAGGCTTTGGCTTAGCCTAGACCTAGATTTTGGTACAAGTAGGATAAGCGGGGGGGAAAATTTTAGGCGGGGGGGAAACCAACTTTTTTCCGCTCAAGCCTATTTTTTTATATAAATAATGGAAGTGTTTCTAAATTGTTTATAGCTATTCCTAAACATAAAAACTTTACAAAACTTAATTAAAAAATTTAATTTTAGGTCTAAAAATCACTTTTTTTGGCCCAAAAATGACCAAATTTTCGACTTTTTCAAGCGTTTTTCTAACTTTTTAAAAAATTTTTCGGATTCAAATAGGCTTAAATTTTGCTAAAAACAATGTGAAAACAATTTATATTTGATTACTATTCCCACCAGGGCCGACCAGGAAAAAGTTGGTTTCCCCCCCGCCTAAAATTTTCCCCCCCGCTTATCCTACTTGTACCATCATGTATAACTGTTCGATGTTTGCACATTATTTTGGAATGCCGAAACGTGGCAACTTTGCTATTTTTTAAAAAAAAGGCAAAAAAAAAGGCACTTCAATTTTTGAGCAAAATTGCAATTTTGTGAATTTTTTAATTTGAATATTTTTTATTTAAATCCGTTGCTAATTTTAGCAGGTCAGAATGAAAATTTCACAAAACACCCATTGACGCAGTTGCTCCCCCTCAAATTTTTGAGCCCAACTCCTCAAAATTTTACGGGTTTTGAGTGCAAATATTAACACCCTGGCGGCTTATCAGAGGCGGGGTATCCGGCGCGGGGGGTTGCACGCAAAAAGTTTTGGCTCTGTTCTCGCCGACAGTGGCTCCAAAAACCTTGTGAAGTTTTGTTATTGGCTGCGAGCGGCTTGCTTGATTTTTCGTGCCGGGACCCTCACCCTTCGAGGGAGACCATTGACGCGCAAGGTGCGTTTTTCGATTACCGGAATCTATGGGAATTTCCGGTCTATGCTTTTTGTGAAAGAATCCAGGCCGTAAGCCGATTTCCGATGCGTTATTAGCAGAGTATCTCGATGAAATTTGCATATGCTGATAAGATTTTAAGCTTGAAGAAACTGGGAAGAACTAATCGGCATTTTAGCTATAAATCTCGACAGCCATAATTTCAGTTTCGAAAATCCCGACAGCCAAAATACCGACAGCTAAACCATGGCGTATTCTTGACCCTAGTTTGAATGCTATTTCCCTTTAAACAGCTATTTATTTGCATTTCGGGATCTCAATTGTCGGCATTTTGGCGGTCGGGATTTTGGCCCGTCGAGATTTTGGATTTCGGGATTTAGGTTGTCGGGAATTTGGTTTTCGGGAACTTGGTTGTCGGCATTTTGGCTGTCGGGAGTATTGTTGTCGGGGTTTTGGCTATTGGGATGATTCTGGCTATCGGGATTTTGGGTTTTCACGGAGTGATTTCTTTATTTTTATAGACGATCGTTTTTATGCAAATTCTAGGCAAAATGTTTCCGCGATTTCAGGCAAGAGTCCTTTATGGCTTTTTAACGACTGCACTAGCTGATAATTTGCATAATTTGCGTATTTTAAAGTGTTTATTTGTAATTTTAAAATCTGTTATTTTGAGGTCAGAAGACGTTTCTGAAAGTTTCCACAACAAAAACCCCCAGACCAGCTGCGCGTTTTTTTTTGTAGACCGAAAAGTTGCCGAAATTCCCGGGGCCGGGCCAGCTGTAGTGGGCAAAAAAAGGAGACCGCATATTTATAGAGCTGAGAGAAAAGTAATTTTTGAGAATTTCCACGTCCCGCGACGATTTTTTCGAGCTTTGTTACCTGCTATTTTAATTTTGCACCTTAAATTGCCATTTTTATTTTTTTCAGCTTCAAAAAATCTTTTTTTAATCTTTCTAATACCACTTTTAATTTTTATACTATTTTCGGGAATTTTTGAAGCCTAAAACAGTATTAAAAATGCAGGCTACAATTTTATTGAACTCCTTTACCCCCCAAATCCAGGCGGGACCCAAATTAGGCGATTTTTCGGCCTAATTTACGAATTCCCCGCGGGGCCCAACCCGGCCGAGTTTTGTAGAGAAGCGTGAGGGTGGTTAGGAGCGTGGGGTATATAGATTCCGAGCCGGGAAAAGCTCGAGAAAATGATAAAAAGGCCACAATTCCCAGGGCTGGACCCCCCACCACGCCATCCACAGTAGCAGCATTACATTGATTATTTACGGACCGGTTTTCGTTAGAATATTGGTGTAGTTTGTAGTTCATAGGGCCAAGGTTTAGTAGCTAAATTACTACACCTGCGATACTTTGAAATCGACTTTGTAGCCTATATTTTAAGTAGGAAAAGCACTTTCGACATAATATTGATAAAAATTTCGAATTTTTCGATCATCATCGACTCAGAATAGCCGAAATTCAAAATAGCTTTTATAAAAATCCAAGTCGTTGCTTAGGTTTAGGCTTAGGCTTAGGTCAGGCTTGGCTTAGGTTTCGGCTCAGGCTTGGTCTTAGTCTTAGGCTCAGGCTTAGCCTTGGGCTTAGGCTTAGGCTTGGGCTTGGCCCAACAATATAATAATTCTAAATGAATTTCCTCAAATTCAAATTTGCTTCAGATGTTCGACAGCCGCTACCGAACACAAAAAGAGCGCAAAGCCATGAAGCCGAACATGAAGACGAAGGTGTACAACTTTTTGGAGCGGCCGACCGGGTGGAAATGTTTCTTGTATCATTGCGGGTGGGTGGGATCGATTACGCAATGTTATTTTGGGTTTTAGAGCGTGCTGCGTTTGCTTAAAAAACGCGATTATTTGTTTTTAGTGTGTTCCTCCTTGTATTGGCGTGCCTGGTGCTGTCGGTGCTCACCACCGTCGAGCGGTACACAGCAGCGGCCGCGCAGTGGTTGTTTTTGATGGTAGGTGGCTGCATGAAGACCCTTTTCGGTCAAAGAATCTCTGCTGGCTTGCCTCCTCTTCCCCAAGGTTCTCTGCTGGCTTGCCTCCGTTGCCTCAATTCCTAAAGAATCTCTGCTAGCCTGCCTCCAGCCACTCGAATTTTCAGGAGATCTTCCTAGTCACTTTTTTCGGCTGCGAGTACTGCGTCCGGTTATGGTCGGCCGGATGCCGGAGTACATATCTAGGCGTTAGGGGCCGGATACGGTTCGCCTTCAAGCCGATTTCAATTATTGGTAAGGGAGTGAGAGAGAGAGAGGGGGAGAGAGAGAAAGCGAGAGAGAGAGAGACAGAGAGAAAGAGAAAGCCCACAAAAACCATTATTTCAGATTTTTGCGTAGTCGTCGCCAGCATCGTGGTGATCATCTTCGGCGCTGAGGGCCAAGTCTTTGCCACGAGCGCCATCAGGTTGGTTTCTAACTTTAAAAGTGAAAACCCTTGCTTCTCCCCTGTCTCTTTAACCCCATCGTTTTTGCACACCGTTTTTTGCATGCATTTTTTCTGACCATTCTTCTACCCCCTTCCTAGCTATCGTGACGTGGACCTGCAGTGCTACAGCGTGATGGTGTAGGGCTAGCAAAGTGGCTCGTATTTTACCCACAAATTTTGCAGGGGCATCCGATTCCTGCAGATTTTGAGGATGCTGCATGTCGACAGGCAGGGAGGGACCTGGTAAGTGATTTTTAGCAGCATTGGTTCGCTCTTTTCTTCTATCACTCTCTCTCCCTCTCTCTCTCTCCCTCTCTCTCTCTCTTTCTCTATCTATGTCTCTTTCTCCCTCTCTCTCCCGCTCTCTTTTGCAATATCTCTCGTTTTTCTATATATCTCTTCACTCGCGCTCTTTTTATCGTCTGTAGCTCTCTCTCTCTCGATCGCTCTCTCTCTCTCTCTCTCTCTCTCTCTCTCTCTCTTTCTGGTTCTCGCTCGTTCTCTCTCGCTCTCTCTCTGCCTCTCGCTCTGTCTATCTATGTCTCTTTCATTCACTCTCTCTCTCTCTCTCTCTCTCTCTCTCTCTATCTCTCTCTATCTCTCTCATTTGAATTTTCAGGCGCCTCCTCGGATCCGTCGTGTTCATCCATCGCCAAGAATTGATCACCACTCTCTACATCGGCTTCCTGGGCCTCATTTTCTCCTCCTATTTCGTGTATCTTGCAGAAAAAGGTAACCTTGCTTGGTATACTGTAGTTAACGTGCTTTTAGACCACATTGGCCCCGAGGGACGGCAAACGTTCACTTCCTACGCTGATGCTCTGTGGTGGGGCGTGGTGAGTCGGGTTTTGGAGGGCAAACTAGCAGAGATCGTTCGATTTGACAAGGGAATCTAGCAATGATCCCTAAGGAATCCCTCCATTTCAGATAACGATGACGACAATCGGATACGGTGACGTGGTACCACAGACCTGGTTGGGTCGAGTGGTTGCCTCCTGCTTCTCCATATTTGCCATCTCGTTCTTCGCACTCCCTGCAGTAAGTTGGATCTCACTTTAAGGTCCACCATCTGATCCTTAGTTTTGATAGCTAAATTATCAGCTATTTTAGGGTATCCTCGGCTCGGGTTTTGCCCTGAAGGTGCAGCAGAAGCAGCGGCAGAAGCACTTCAACAGACAAATCCCGGCGGCCGCCACGCTGATTCAATGCGTTTGGAGGTGTCATGCGGCCGAGAAGAGTGATAATGGGCCGACGTGGTGGGTGAAAGGTTGCCTTCAATGGTCCTTTAAACCAGAATTCTCAAAGAAACTAGGCTAGCACGATTTCTCAAATTATCTCTGCTGGCTTGCGCTGGCGCAAAATACTTTCTCTCTTGCTCTCTCTCTCTCTCTCTCTCACTCTCTCTCTCTCTCTCTCTCTCTCCCTCTCTCTCCTCTACCCTCCATTCCAGGCAAGTCCACATCGACCCCCTTGCCCACGCCACCGAGGAGACCCATCGTCGCAAGGGGGCCGGAAGCGGAGATGAAGGAAAGAACACCATCCAGCAACGAAGAAAAGCGCCCGGATTGTTCCGGAATTACAACCGGCAGCTCACCAACAACAATAATAATGCAAAGTGGGTGGTTACTGTCGTTTTCAAGGTACCGGAAAGGCAAAAATGCTGGAAAAGGCTTTATTTAAATCCGCTATACATCGATTGAAGCCAAATTTATGTTTAACTTCCAGAAGGCACAAAAGCGACGACAGCGAGATGAGCGAGTGGAAACCGGTGACGAGGGGTTCCGACAACTTGGAGGAGGGCACAAGGTTGCTGGGTGAAGGTAAGGAAAGCGAGAGAGAGAGAGAGAGAGAGAGAGGAGAGAGAGAGAGAGAGAGAGAGAGAGAGAGAGAGAAAGAGAGAGAGCTAGAGAAACAGAGAGCGAGAGCGAGAGAAAGAGAGAGACGCCTTTTTAGGACGCCAAGACTCCCTCATCGAAAACGAAGACGATGGCGCAGATTCTTCCCCAGGAGCTCCTCTGAGATTTTCACAGTACGCCATAGTCGTCATTTTCGAGAAAACCCGACGAATTTAGCATCTGTGAGCTCACCGAAACGCATCGGAATGCGATTCGAGGAATCCGAAAAATCAAATATTTTGTGGCCCGGAAGAAGTTCCAGGTAGAATTTGGGTACTACACCTCTAACGCAATCTTAGCTGACATCGTCCCTTTAAAACACCAAAAACCACGAACTCCTCTTGTTTAAGCAAGCCCGAAAACCCTATGACGTGCGCGACGTCATCGAGCAGTACAGCCAGGGCCATTTGAACATGATGGTGCGCATCAAGGAGCTGCAGAGGAGGTAGTGTACGCGAGGATACTGTACCCAAATTTTCATTTTTCGATTAATTTTAACGATTTCAGACTCGATCAAACCCTCGGAAAACCCGGCCAATATCAGGGCAGCAATAAGAAGGGTCAGGCGCAGACGATTGGCAGCAGGTTGAGCAGGGTCGAGCTGCAGGCGAGTTTCAAAGGGATCGACAAGCCGGAATTATGCATTTTCTGGCTATGGTTTTCTAAAGTGTTTTCGGACCTTTTATTGCAAAATTTTTAAGGTTTAAATTACCGTTATTAAACTTACGGAGATACGGTATTATCGATTTTAAGCCTTTTTCAGGTCCACTCTATCGACCGAAAACTCGACGCGACAAATCGGTTACTACAAGCAATGTATCGATCGATATCGCAGCGGCAATCTGAAGATGTAGGTTGTTACAACATTTTTTAGGTATTAGGCTTAGGTTTGGCGTAGGCTTAGGCTTGGCTTAGGCTTGGCTTAGGCTTGGCTTAGGCTTGGCTTAGGCTTGGCTTAGGCTTGGCTTAGGCTTGGCTTAGGGTTGGCTTAGGCTTGGCTTAGGCTTGGCTTAGGCTTGGCTTAGGCTTGGCTTAGGCTTGGCTTAGGCTTGGCTTAGGCTTGGCTTAGGCTTGGCTTAGGCTTGGCTTAGGCTTGGCTTAGGCTTGGCTTAGGCTTGGCTTAGGCTTGGCTTAGGCTTGGCTTAGGCTTGGCTTAGGCTTGGCTTAGGCTTGGCTTAGGCTTGGCTTAGGCTTGGCTTAGGCTTGGCTTAGGCTTGGCTTAGGCTTGGCGTAGGTTTAGGCTTAGGCTTAGGCTTGGCTTAGGCTTAGGCTTAGGCTTGTCTTAGGCTTAGGTTCGGCTTGGCTTGGGCTTAGGCTTGGCTTGGGTTTAGGCTTAGGATTGGCCAAGGCCTGGCTTAGGCTTGGGGTAGGTTTAGGCTTAGGCTTGGCTTAGGTTTGGCTTGACTTAGGTTCATATAGCGGATTGGCTTGGGCTTTGCTAAAGAATTTTTCAGATGGGCTCCCTTCGCGCTGGCGCCACGCCAACCCCTCCCGCCATCGACAGGTTCACCCCTTTAAATCATACCGTAACACCTGGAAATTCCAGATACACCTCCGAACGCTCGCTGGCCCGATCCCCGTCACCAACACCTACCCCACAGATTTCCCCAAAATCCTCGGCTAGCTCCTCCCTGCTCCCGGCGATCGACCGCCCGGTTTCGCCCTCGCCCTCCCTCTCCCCGAATGGATTCCAGCGATAATATTGTGTGCCCCAGTTACAGTAATCCTCCATGAAACTATCGGGCAAAAAGCAAAAAGTTTGTTCCGGGCCGGGGGCCGAACCCGGGTCATGTAGAGGGGAAGCAAACGCACTACCAATTGGCCATGGGTCGTTTGCGTCAATTTTTTCTGTAGATTTACCAAAGTGCTACAAACTATGTAAATTTGAAGTAAATTTTGGGTATAATGTAGCAGATTACTGTATATTTTTAAAGGTACCGGGAAGGCGAGCTTTCTAAAAATAAATTTTTAGAAAATCACAACCATGGTTAAATATCGCCAATTTTATCTTTATCTGATTTATCTGTATTTTTGGCGTACTGTATATTTAAAGGGCCCGGGAATTCTAGCCTTCCATTAGGCCACAAAATCCAAATTTCCCTAAAAATCCAAACTCATTGTCGTCAAATTCGATCCACCAGGGTGCCTGCTGCCATATCGGATTTTCTTGTTTTTTTTTAAATACGCCCCATTACGCGCAGCAACGCAATACACACACTACCGGTCTGCTCACAGTATTGTTTTTCGTATGATTTCATTCATTTCAAATTTTTCCCCCCGATGAATTGTCCCGGTTACGGTAGTTTTTTGTGACATTTCTACTTATTATATCCACTGTACCTTGCTACTGCTATCGAGTTGATGTATTTTGATCTACGGGTATAATAGAATAAAGTTTCTGCCTACGCTTTACACGAAAATACACTTCTATACGTCCGTATGGTACGTTACAAGCCTGTTTACGCTTGAAAAACAGCTTATCTGCGCCTTTAAAGGTAGCGCGCATATAAATACGTTGCATTCCAGATTACGCCTGAAAAATGCATTATAAGCGCTTTCAGTAATTTTGAAGCGAAAGTCTACTCTTACGCCTACGTTACACTCCAGGTTACGCTAGAAAAACAGTTTTTGTACGTTTTAATAAAGAATAATGGTAACTCGTTCGCTACAACTACGTTAAGCATCAAATTACGACTGGGAAGATAGCTTTCTGATCAGATTCTGACGACAACTTGTGCGTCTACGACTACGCTACACTCCTTTCTACACTTGAAAAAAGGTTCGATGCGTTCTAAAGGAATTGTGAAGGCAACGGGTACCATAAGACTACGTAACGCACCGGATTACGCATCAAAAACGCAAGCAAGCCTTAATATACCATAAACCGAACTTTGCAACCTTCTACCCATGAAGAGGTGGAAAACAAGCGCGACAAAACGTGCCTTTTCTGCCCTTTTTTGCTGAGAGCCCCGGGTTGTTGACGATTTCAGGCCGCGGCCGGGCCTGCCTGCTCGACGCCCACTTCCCCCCACCAGCACACGAAAACAACCCAGTTCTGCTCCAGTTTATCGCCACGCACCAACCCTAGTTACTTTAGAAACGTAGAAAACCTCGTTTAAATTGCTTAAAAGGGACTGGAAAGCCATGAATTTTGGATTCCCGGCTTCCCAGTCCCTTTAAAATTTTCAAAAGCATCAAATAATTATGTGGTATCCAAAAATGTTGTCAGCTGCAGGAAATCCACCAAGATGTTTGACGACCCGATGGAAGCGATGATGATCTCCGAGCCGCTGGTTCGGATGCTGACGCAGGTCGGATTTTTGGGCTAGCATAGCGCAGCGTAGCTTTGTAAACGTAGTGTACCGTAGCCAAACGAAGCGTAAGGCCTTGAACTCGTAGCGTAGCCAAAAGTAGCCTAAGCAAGCAAAACGTGGAGGAATATAGCGAAATGTAATTAAAACATGGCTTATCGAAACTTAGCCATCGAAGCGTATCCAAACGTAGCCTCACGTCTTCGTCCTATCATCTTTAGCGACGAAACAACCAAATTCCAGGAAATCGGCCCACGCCCCTACGGCTACGGATGCCCAACCTGCCACTCGCCTCACTACCAAAACCAACTCGAACGCCGTCTCTCCAACGAGCAAAAGCACCATGACGCCGAGTTCAACAACACCCTCGAGCTCGGCACGTTCAAGCCGGATGATGTCAAGGTGTGATTGAGACCAAAAAGCAAAAATAAATTCAGGTCAACCTCACCGGACACACCCTCACGATCCACGGGACGCGCGCCGAAAAAAGCGACGACTGCGAGGTGTCGGCCAGCTTTATGCGTAGCTTCAAGTTTGTAGTTCAAATCTTATAAAACGCTGAAGAATTATAGGCTTCCCAAAGGGATCGACCCCGAATCGGTGACCTGCCACCTTTTGGATGGGAATAAGCTGCAGCTGCAGGGCATTCAAAAAGTGGGTTGATTTTGGCAAGTAAAACATCCAGTCCGAGTTAATTTAATACTACTTTTATACTATCTATTTCCTTAATAATAGCTATTTATAAACGCCTTTCCCAGGTCTAATCGATTTTGGGGCCCTTAAATTGAGAGCCGGAGCGCGCCCGTGCATTTTTAGAGGGACCGGGCCCGTAAACAAGGCATGTCGAAATGTGTTGATGCCCTCCCAAGGCTCCTCCTGCAGCTTGAGCCCCCTTGTTTTCAGCAGCCGGGGGCTTCAGGGCATTTTGACAAATCAAAAAAAGGAAGGAGCAATGACTTTCTGTTCTAAAAAAAGCAGTATTACGATCCATCAAGAATAATTGCCGTTTTAGAACGTTAAAAACCCCAAAAAGTTGAATTCTTATTCCATAAAAGGATTAATGGCAGCAAAACCCTTGAAAATTTTTTAGAAAGTACAAAGCAGCGCTAGAACATCGGAAAGTTGCGTTTTCTATACTAAAAAAAGTACTCAACTATACTATACTCAAAAAGGAATTCTACAATCCAGGGCTGGAAACGCTCGATCACGATCCCAATCGAAACCGATGAAATGCGAAAGCGACTCCAGAGCGACGCCACGCGACATGGTTTCGAAAAAGTAAGTAAAACTAGGAACTTCGTTAAAATTAAGATTGTTTCAGATTGAGCACGACACTAAGAAGATGCAGCTGGCCGAGATCCCCGGCGAGAAGCCGCACGAGATTCCGATTGAGAAGAAGTAAAAAAAAACTTATTCAAGCTCGAACGTGAAAAGCTGTCAACAAAAAAATCAACAAGGTGCATCGTAGTGTACATACCGCCGTCTTGTAAAACAAAGATTTTCTTGTAAATAAATCTCTGACTCTACGCCACGTTTTCAAAGCACAAGCCGTAAGTTTTTGAGCTTACAAGACTTTCTTGTTTGTGACAGCCGGCTGGCAATTGCGGGTACGTGACAGCCCCCCAGACAGTCTTTGCCTGTCGCGTCTTGGGCAACGGTGACGCCAGGGTTCTTGGGGGCGGAAATGGGAAGTTCTTGATAAGTGCAGTCTGAGCAGGACAACGAAGCAGCAAACGCTGGATTAGCGGGATGTTCTATAGTCATTTTGCTCAATACCATTAAAAATCCAAGCCGATTTTTTTGTGGAATTGACTTTCTAATTCGAAAAGAAACTTCTAATTTGCAAAGAAATAAGAAACAAATCGCGCAAAACGCTACGAAGTACACCTATCTACGCTGCAGGCCTGTTCACTGTAGCCGCGCGTAGTTTACTCGGTGTCTTTTCGTTACGGTAGGCCTTCATCAAATTCGCATTTTCATTTTCCTTTTTGATCGAAAAAAATTAATTTCTTGTTTCTAGAAATCTTGAAAGCTAAAAACTTTCTTTTCTTTGACTTTTGGACGAGGTTTCGGTTTCCGCCCTTCTCATCTGATTCCCAAACATGTTTTCGACTCATATCTCGTTCACGGTGTTTGCTTCATACTAATTCTTATTTTTAGTAATGGACTTCGAGGACTTCGAGTGGCTTCGGCCCGCCGTGGCCCCGTTCTTCTTCTATGTGTTTGCGTTTGCCTCCGCGGAGATTGCCAGGCAAGTCGTGTCGTTTTATACATGTCTAATGTTAAATTTACAGAAGGATCAGCGACTGGGTCCTCCAACGAACCGTGCGAAACTACCAAGACAGCTACCAATACCTCTTCATGAATGAGCTGATCGGCACGGCTCTGATGTGCGGTTGCGTATGGGAGAATGGTTAGTGGGAAGCTATTTTTTTGAGCCTTTTTTAGGCTTGATCGTTCAAGCCTTCGGCTGGAAGGGTTTTGGGATCACCGTCGCCGCGCTGCTCACCGGCAACATGCTCTGGAATCGCAGGGCTTGCGTGTCGCCCTTGATGCCTATTGAGAATGGGCTCTATGGCAGCTACAGGTACTACCGGTGTTTTTAGTAATCAGGAATTTGGGGCGAGCTGAGCAAAGTTTTCCTAGGATTCCAGATATGCATAATTGCCAGCATTATAGTAGTATTTTTAGTAAAATTTTTTTTCTTCTCGTACGGAGACTTTTGAAGTAACTTAAGAAACACGTTTAAAAATTGATAGGCCTAAAATCACCTATTTTTGCTCGAATAAAGATATTTTTCTCCTCCGTAATCCAGATTTGTAGAGTCCAGGGTCTCTCATTCTCACTGTTTTAGCCCGAAGAAGACAATCACGATCCTGACGGCCCAACTACTCGGAGGCATCGCAGCGCCAATCCTAGCGCACGGTGTTTGGTGGCACACCCGCAGTTACTCGATCGCCCACCGACAGGCCCACTTCAACTTGCGCGACGGCTGTGAATTCAGCTACAAGGTTGGGTATTTGAATTTGTTTTTAGCTGCTTGTCTAGACCGATTTCGTCTACGCTTGCCTATGGGAGTTCGTCGGGGCGTTCCTCATCCGCGCCGGGGCTCCAATCCTATCGCGCATCAGCCCGTTCACCATCCCGGTCTTCATCGCCAGCCTGCTGTCTGCCGGTGCGTTTGGGTGCTTTGGCATTATCGGGGGGTTGGGGGTGCAAGTTTTCTCTACAATAAAGATAGTCAATAGGTCGGCACCCGCTTGTATTATTCCTAAACGTGAATATACAAAAAAAATATCGATTTCTCGACCTAACTTCAATTTTTTATAGATTTTGAGGTTTTTCAACTTAAAGTATAATTCCATTTTATTAGAAACCATTAAAAAAAAACTAGCTATTGCGTTACTATGCAACCCACCCCCCCGAAGATGGAAAAGACACTCTTCCTAGTTCCGTCACTAATGTCATGATTTAGCTATGGTCTACGTCGGTATCCCCGGCCTGAACCCCACTGTCGTCACCTCACGACTCTGGCACTGCCGTGGTCTTTCTGCCAACTGGTAAACTCTTCAGTTATCGTTTTAAGATAATTGTTAATTTAGGTTCTTCCTTCTCTACTGGTTCTGCCCACTCTTTGGCTGGTTCTTCGGCGCTGAGGTGTACGGATTTTGCACGAACAAGAGGGTACTTTAATTTTTGAGATTCTGAATCAAGTTGTTGATTTCCAGGGTCGCCCAATTGAAGCGACGCCCAAGAAGGACCAGAGCAAAGACAAGAACAAGCCCAACAAGAAGCGCAAATATTACTAGAAAGAACGGTCGATATCAAGCCGTTACCTAGCCCAGTTTCCGTTTACAATTTTCATGTTTGTAAGTTGATTGTGCCTTTGCGCACATCTCTCCCCTTTCCTTTATAGTTGTGCCTTATTCCCCTGCAATTTATGGGTAACCGTGCTATGCCGATTGTGATATGACCAGCCAGTGATAAAGTTATTTTATCTACACCTGTAGCCCAGAAAATATTGATTTCTCTGCGATTTATGGGATTTAATTGAGTTTGGGGCTGGTTGTCGTTGAGAAGACTTTCCCGACTTGGCGATGGTCTTCTTGAAGCCGTTGCATATCTTGCTACCGGCTCGCCCAAGTTTCTCGATGTCTCAAGAAGCCGCTTCCAAATATACGCGTCTCCCGAAAGAGCAATGGCCCATGTTTTCGCACAATGTACAGCGGATGGTAAGGGCCTGCCTTCCGTCTGCTTTGTGGTCTTATCGGGCGGGGCCTCGCCAGAATGGGGTCCGCTTTGATAGGCGACCCCCTGCGGATCCACATATCGACCCCGCCGGCCATCACCGGCTACCTGAATACTAGATTGTTTACTGTTTTTGGCGTTGCCCTTTGTTTAAAAGAGCTGAATAACTTTGGTAATTAGGCAGTAAAGGCTTGAAAACAGTTAGTTCTTCCCTTACAGTCATGAAAACACTGCTCCTCCTCGTCGTTCTATGCACCCCGGCTTTTGGGTTGTTAAAAGAAGTCCCATCCGAGAAATGGCCTTCGTGGAAGCAGGTAAATATAAATTTTTAAGGTATCCTTTTACTTATACATCATAACAGAGGAGATAACTCAAAAACTTTCAGAAATTCGAAGCACGCCGAGCTGAATTCCAGGAGGAGGTCCAGCAGGAGCTTTCAGGGCTAAAACAGGTTTATTATTCGTTATGAAATCTTTAGTTTTCTTTTTCCTCTTTTTTCATTTATTTACACGTCCATTTTAGCAATTCGCCGACAAACAGGCCGAATTCGAGGTCGAGCGCCAGAAGCTCCGCGACACCGTCGATAGGTTGTACAACGAGGCTGAGAAGGTATTTTCTGAGTTTTGTAGGTAGTTATTAAAGGTTTAAGAGTTTATTTTAGTCTCCAAGCTAAAAGAATAACATTATTGAAATGTTTTAGAAGTTCCAAGCCAAGGTCAGCGAATGGGAGCAGAACCCGGGAAAGGGGAAGGCGAAGCCAGCCGGTTTTGCTATTGAGGTAAGGAACTAGCGGATAGTCTTGTTTAATATTTTACGAAGCTGACAAAGCTATAACTACAAACTACATTGCCTATAATTTATAAACTTTACAGATTGCCGGCGACCAATCGATGGACGAGGTGATCAGAAGTAAGTAATTTTTTTAAGAAAAATATTTGTAAAAACTCTAGGTAAGGTACGGTAAATTATATAGAAGAAGATAATTAAAGAAATGTTCTAGAAGTTATTGATTTTAGCAAAATACGAGGGCAACAAGGACTCTTTGGAAGGCCGTCTCAACTCCGAGCTCGACAAGCTGTACCCTGGCTTCCAAGAGGTTAGAAACCAATATTTTTATATAATCTGTCATTATCTAGACCGCCGAAGCCTACGCGGCCCAGCAAGCCGAGGTCCTCGCCGCGCGCAAGGAGAAGTTCGACGAGTTCAAGGCCAAGGCCGCCGAGTCGCTCAACGAGACCAAGCAGGTTGGGTTGGCTTTAATTTTTTTTATTTTTCCTACGTTTTCAGAGCTTCGAAGAATTCGCACAACAAGCCAACGAGAAGCTGAAGGCCGACTGGGAGACGAAGAAGGCCGAGCACGCCGCGAAGAAGGAGGTATCGGAATTAAAACCACTAAAATCAGGAAATTCTAAATCTAATCAATTTTTAGCACGCGAAGGAGGTGATGGGCAACGTCAAGGAGACGATCAAGAACGGCACGCACATGATCCTCGACAAGATCAAGGCCCAGAAGGAGGCCAAAGCTGCCGCGAATCTGGTAAGTTTTTTTAGTTTTCGAAATTCCTGGGTTTGAAAGATTTTTCTACGTTTTCTAAATAGTTTTTCCAGTTAAAATATACCTACGGTTGATTAGCAACACTATTTAAATATTTGCTATTACATTACTAGGAAAAACGATTGCCCGCTATATTGTAATAGCACCCAGTTTTCCCCACAGTTGCTAAAAGCTAGAAGTTAGGCTTTATAAAAGCTCCCAAATTTTAGCAAATGGCCCAATGGATCTCTGACCGGATGAAGAACAAAACGGCCGAGTGGAAGGCGAAGCACCCGCTCGCCGCCGCGCGCAGCATTTCGGACGTGACCAACTTCTTGAACCAGTTTGTTTAGCGTTTTGGACGAAAACGGCGCTTTTTAGAGCTTCTGGAGCTTCGGGCTGGCAGACGGCTTCCACTATTTATATGATCATCTGCTTCTTGGTCACTATTGGCCTGCTGGTGCTCATCTTCAGACAGCTGAAGGCCCGGGCGCCGTATGAGCGTCTTGATGGCGGAAATGTTCATGCTCCCAACCCGCTGGCGCAGCAGGGGTGAGTCTTAGAAAATGAAGCCCAATAATCAATATAAATAACTGATTAATTAATGAATAAATAGAAAATCAAAGAGCAATTAATGGAATAAAAACCTATATTGGGTTGAAAGTGCGTGTTTTTCGGCCTAAAATCCTCAAAATCCCGAAATTTTAAGTTTTGCGAAGTTTTCCAAATTTTTTTCGACTCCAAATAACCCTAACTTTTGACGAAAACGGCAAGAAAATTTACGAAACTTCAGGTACAACCCAAACTTTGGCAACAGCAACACGTTCGTCCCGACACATCTGGGCGCGCGGAAAGATCAGCTTTTCTAAAGCCCCACAGAACCCGTGTCCTTTTTCAAATTGGTGCATAAATATTTGTCTTTTATTTTTCCTGACTTTTTACGCCCAAAATCACCGGGGGATTCCCAGCAGCACACAGAAACGGAGCCGCGCGGATTGTTGCGTAGTCGAGCGAGCGGGCAGGCGAGCTGCTAGGAGGTGATTAGCGCCTGGCAGAGCGGCGATCAGAACGGGTTACCAGTTCTTTTGCGAACTATCAACACCAAGCTTCTCTTGCTAATCCGGGGATCCATCACAGACCGTTGTGGAGATGGAATGAAGCGTAAATCGAAATTTTGGAATTCTGGAAGCGGGGGTTGTAGGGTTATCAAACAAATCGTCTGGGACGCTGGAAAAAAGTGTAGAAAACAAGAAGAGCCTTTTGCCGTCGTAACTTCATACCCTTTTTTGAGTTTTGTAGAGATTTTGTAGATCTTATAAGGCTATTCTAAAGGAATTAGAGGTTCCTAAAAATATGTTGCCGCATTTTCCGGATATGCGGGAAAACGTGGAAATGCCGAAAGCGAAAATACCGACACGCCTAATAACGACAGACGAAAATCCCGACAATCAAAACCCTCAACATCCAAAATCCCGACATGCAAAATAGCTGTTTAAAACGAAGTGGCAAACCAAATTTGCGTGCGTACGAATCAACTAGTAGGACTCTCTAATAAGGTTATTGAGTTCAATTGGTAAAGCTCGAGACTAAGCCTAGGAAGCCTAAGCCTAAGCTACAACCTAAGCCTACGCTAAGCCTAGCCGATTTCTTCAACATTTCCCGGGCGAGCCGCCAACCCCGGCAAATCTGCCATCGCCCCCGCGGTTGATAGCCGCGGTTATCCGCACTGGGTAATGCTCCTCTATAAGCGCCCGAGGGTGTCGAGAGACGCTCTCAACCAGTTCAGCACCCATCCGCCTCGTTTCGTCGCCATACCCCACCCTCCTTCAAGTCGCCATTGTTTCGACAGGTCCAGCCTCTCGGGATGGCTCTCTCTCGAGAAGCCCGGATGATGAATGCCCACCATCACCCTATATAGGCAACCCAATGGCCCGACTGCAGTCTACAGTTTCCGAGAGAACACCAACAACACCCGCACCACACAATGGGCTACCGTAATCTGGTGTTGGCTGTACTGTTGCCTTTGGCTGTACGGGCAATTCCGATTGACAACGGTGTCGAGGGGGAGCCGGAAGTGGAGTGTGGCCCCAACTCGGTCACCATCAACTTCAACACGAGGTTTTTGCTTATTTAAAACGTACTTTAATTCCCAAAAATTTTTTCGCGCTTTAACGATAATTTGAGTTTTTTTTGCTTTAATCTGCATTTCATTAATGCGCTAATCTATTTTCTAGGCTTTTTATATCTACTACCAGCGCCCAAAACCCGCTTCGCGGGCCTTGGGCGCTGGAATGCGGCCCATGCATGAGAAATTGACTTTCCGATAGCTTGGGTCCTTCGCACCCCCCCCCCCCCAACCGACCACACACGCGAGCGCAACTTGCAAGAATGAAGAAATTTCTATTTTTCACATTATGCAAATTAGCCTTCAGGGACCCCAAAAATGAATAAAACCGACTTTAACTTTGTTAACTTGTATTTTATCGTAATTCTGAGAACGCCATCGGAAACAGAAGGGTCGATTCCCCCGGGTGACGAAGAATTGGGGCGTTTTGGACACGGGAAGGCCCTCAAATCGGGCCTCGAAACTGACATCCACACACACACACAAAGATACACACCAAAATTATATAAGGTAGGATATATAAATTTCTAATGTCCGTCTGCCCGTCCGACCGACCGGGAATTCAGCCAAATTTTGCATTAAAATTACAAATTCAAATTGTGAGGGTGGGAGAAGGCCAGCGCTGAACCCCCGCGTAGCGGGGGGTCAGCGCTGGTTCATATTAAACCGATATTTTTTGATCTACGCTACTTCTCGATTTTTTGAATACTTTTTTTTTGTTTTTATCACTACTTAAGACTTTCTATGATGCACCCTTGTGTTTTAACTACCGTAATCGATTGCCAGAGCCAAAAATTCTAGTTTTGCAGTTTAAAAATACTTTTAAGGTTTATTTTCCGATTTTGAAAGCTGTTTCAACAAAAACAAGAGTTACGTAATTTAGCTTCAAGCTACCGTAATCCAAGTTTGAAAAACTTGCTCCAACGCTATTTTTAGAAACACCTTCGAGGGCCATGTTTACGTCAAGGGACTTTATGATCAGCAGGAATGCCGTAGCGACGAGGGAGGGCGACAGGTGAGAGAGTGAGAGAGAGAGAGAGCGGGAGAGAGAGAGAGAGAGAAACGCGGTACTCCTTCAGGTCGCCGGCATCGAACTCCCCTTCGACTCTTGCAACGTGGCCCGTACCCGTTCTTTGAACCCCCGCGGAGTGTTTGTCACCACCACCGTCGTCATCTCCTTCCACCCGCAGTTCATCACCAAGGTGTTCAACAGCTGTAGATCGCAAACTAGAAGTTTCTCAGATTGATCGCGCCTATCGCATCCAGTGCTTCTACATGGAGGCCGACAAGACGGTGTCGCAGCAGATCGAAGTCTCGGACATTACCACGGCTTTCCAGACCCAGGTTGGTGACTCGGCTTCGTTGGCTTGGTCAGCTTTGCTTTGCTCTAATTTCAGCGAGCTTTAGGTCGTCCCAATGCCCATCTGCAAGTACGAGATTTTGGATGGCGGCCCATCCGGGCAGCCGATCCAGTTTGCCACCATTGGACAGCAGGTCGGGTTTAAGGCTACGTTAAATACCTTTAAAATCGTTTTAATCCTATTATAATACTACTGCTATTATTGTAATACTCTGAAATTCATTTTTAGGTGTACCACAAGTGGACGTGTGACTCCGAGACCACCGACACGTTCTGCGCTGTAGTTCACACCTGTACGGTTGATGATGGAAATGGGGATACCATCCAGGTATGAATTCAGAAGAAAAGCGTAGCCTAAGTAAAACCCTAAGAATTACTTGACTTCTCAATTATTCGACGTTGAAAAGATAGATTTTTTTTTTCTTCGCTTCTTTGTTCCATTAAGAGCATCACCTGTCGAGCCTCATCTTATAGATCCTCAACGACGAAGGCTGCGCCCTCGACAAGTTCTTACTTAATAACCTTGAATACCCCACCGACCTGATGGCCGGCCAGGAGGCTCACGTCTACAAGTACGCCGATCGGTCCCAGCTCTTCTATCAGTGCCAGGTAAGGTATAGCGAACCTTAAATACCGTCGACAAGCGTAATGTCCGATAACTCACTTTCTAGATCTCGATCACCATCAAGGAGCCGGGCAGCGAGTGCCCCCGCCCTCAATGCACTGAGCCCACCGGATTTGGAGCCGTCAAGCAGGGAGGAGGTGGAGGTGCGGCTGCCGCTCCCGCCGCCGCTCCGCCACGTCTTCTCCGCCGAAAGCGCTCGATCGAGGACACTCTCGATGTGCGCACCGAGCTCACCACTATTGACATCAACATTGGCGTAAGTTTCGGGTGGAAAAAGCGCCGGTAAAACATGGGTTTTGGCCGGGACACGACGGGTAACACAACCCAGATACTTTTCGATCTCGGCTTCCCGTTTGTCTACAGGGGTGTAAAGTATACCAAAATGTTGGTCTTGATCTGACGAGTATTTTCGCACACTTTACGCCCCTGCACAATCAAGGGCAGCCGAGATACAACAGTTTCGGGCGGCTGGCGGCCAGCTAGAGAAGTACAGCGACCGCAACTTTCGCAGCGCAACGCATTCGATGAGGCGCGTCGCGTGTCGCGACAGTTCTAGATAACCACGGCTTTTGAGCCCCCTTTAAAATCTCGAAAATTCCAGGCGAACAACGCTGCAGCTGCCCTGCTGCCCGCCCCGGCGGCGATGACCGCCGCCGAGCCGATCCAACGGGACGGCATCTGCCTTTCCCCCATCGGCTTCATGTTCTTCTTGGCCTTGGGAGGTACGTTACGTAAGAATACTAATTACGTCGAAACACGTACCGCTTTTGATGGCAACTTTCAGCCGGCGCGGCCACGATGTTCTCGGTGCTGATGTTCTACTTTATCCGCCCGTGCAAGCACTTCTAAGAAGGCGCCTAGCTGGCCGGGTGTTCACCCCCGTGTGCAATCTAAGCAATTACTATGACGATTACCATATTTATTTCGATACCTCGACCACTTCAATAAATAGTGCCATATCAAAGCAACACGCGAACCTCGAATTTTTGAGAATCTGGGATTTACAGAATCTCGAAATATGCCTAGGCTGGATTCAGTGCGTAGGCGTGCGATTTCCGGAGCCTTTAATGCTGATTTAGACCATGGGGATTTCGAGATTCTAGAAATTCGAAATTCTAAAAACTCGATATTGAAAATTCAAGACTCTGAAATTCGAGTTTCTGAAAGTTCGAGATTCTGAAAACTCGAGATTCTGATTTTCGACTATTGAATTGGAAAAGCGTGTTTCGAGAATTTTTGACGTTAAAGCGCTTCTGAGTCCTTTGCGACGGCGGAAGCAACAATTTCCCAAAGATATCTGAAAGTTCTTGGTTCTAAAAATTGCTAACAAGCCCAATTTCGATGCTGTTTTTCGAGCTGATTCCAAAAATATTAATTAGGAAAATTAGATTCTGGTATTTCGAAGTAAAAAACGGTATCTGAGGGCTAGGCGACGCAAACAACGCACGAACTTAAAAGTCAGCCTTCCAAATCAATCCCCTTGCTTTTATCGCCAAAACCATTCAATGTGGTTTTCTCTCAACTGGACAACACGAAATCCCCCGAAACATTTCCCAAGGTGCGCGAGCTGTGGGCCACTCTTGCTGGGGCATTGCCCGACTCCAGCGGCCCCAAATGTTAGGGCCATTGTTGTGGGCCGAAATTTATGCCGGTAGCCGGGGGTCTAGCCAAGCCAGGCGGCCTAGATGAAAGGGCGTCTCGCCTTGGGGTATGTGTCGTGCGAGGCGGATACGGTGGATTTATGGAAGCCTGGGACCGGGGGAGCCGAGCAAGACCCTTGCCCCCTCAACCTCCTTCAAAGATCCGATCAATCCCACCTGTGGCTCCCCCCGGTGCGTGGTGGGGACTACACGACTGTCCTCTTCACGAAAAAAAAACGGAGCGGAAACCTGGGGGTGATTAGTTGTGAAATGGAGGGCCGTCTGTTCGGGTTTTTGTCCCAGACGAGATGGCGGCCGCTTTGATCACGATGGATTTGTGGTGATCGCCCGGAAAAAGTGGAGGCTAATGGAGGGGGGAACCCCCGCGGCGTTGGGCTGGACCAAGCAGTCTGCCTTAAAAAAGTTTTTATTACCTTATTGAAACTCAACTTCCTCTTACACTAACAAGCAGACCTGGTTCTTTCCCATTATCGGGGGGAGGGGCCATAAAGTTTTTTCGTAGGAAATTTTTTTAGATACAAATTGCGGAAGCGTTTCTAAGCCTTAACATCAAAACGCTACAAACATTTATTGAAAAAATGCAAAACATCGATTTTTCGAACAATAACTGACCGTTTTTGACCAAATTTTCGACTTTTTGAATTTTTCAAAGTTTTAGAAAGTTTTTCTAGCCAAATATGGTTTTATTTTACTAAAAACCTTATGAAAACACTTTCTATTCTTAAATAATTATAAAAATCTTCTGATAAACCCTGAAAGGACGGGTTTTGCCCATTCTTGGCCCATTGCCATCAAAATTTCATTTTGAGAAACGTCGTCTCAAAGATATTTATCGTTCAGCAATTCTGAAAAGCAGATTGGAACAGAAATTCAAGTCCTATCAAATCAGGTACGTCACATTCCAAAAACCACCTAAACCGGCTCCTTCAAATCCCAAGCCGGATCGGTGCTTGTGATGCTTACCCGATGATGCTTACCTGATTACAGATGCTTACCTACTTCAGGACTGTACAACCATGTTATCTACCTTCCAACGAAATCTCATGGGTGCTGTCGGCCGACACCGGGGGCTCCCTTTGAAGACCATCGCTATGCAAATTTATGGGCCTTCTGCCAAGGTCAATGGGTGGCCTCAGCCCCCACCTGCACAGCGATGTCCCCGCAACCTTTTAGGATCTGGGGTTTGAAAAACGAAGATTTAGTCATGTTATGTTTAGCTTCAGCTTGGCTTAGACTCCGGCTTAGGCTTAGACCTAGGCTTAGGTTTAGCTGAACCCACGTTCTCTCGCAAGCGCCCTTGTCGAGATTTTTTACTTCTGGATTTTGGCGGTCGAGATCTCAAGCTCAGGCTCAGGCTAAGCTTCGACTCCGGCTTAAAAACTATATTCTTTTACCAAAAAACAAGCGAACATAAACGAACTACCCACGCGTTTCTACCCTTTTAAAAACTGCCCGGCTTGACCTGGTTCCCACCGACGGCCGGCAATAAAATGGAAATTTGCTACGTGGCCGGACTGGCGGGGCCGTCTCCCTCAACCAGCATTTTATGGCTCGGATCGTCGGGGGTGGTGGGGTTAGTGGAAGGGGGGGGGGGGGGGGCACGATGTCCGTGCACCTTGCAGCCGACGGTGTTTAGCCCATTGTAAGTGGAAACACAGCTCGGATCTACAGGGTAGACGGCCTACGCGCGCAGGGGGCAGGGGAGGAGGTATAATAAGCCCAGTCGACGCTAAGCCAACGTAAGCCCAAGCCTAAAAATGAAGTCGAAGCTACGTCTACCCAAACTGCTAAAGGAAACTTTCAAAAAAGTGAAAGGCTTAAAATTCTGCTTAAGCCTAAATTAAGCCTACTTGCAGTCTGAGCAAGATCAAGCCTAGCGAAAGTAAGCCCAGATCCAACTTCAAGCCTAGCTGAAACCCAAGCCCAAAGCTGGAAGTCGATCTGAAGCCCAAGCCTAAAAGACTTGTGAAAATCAGAAATTCTTGTTGCGCCAAAAATAAGGAACGAACCGCTAGCTTAGAAAATACAAAGAGATGAAAATAGAAAATGCATGATTTTCCTGCAAAAAAAACTGTAAAATGATATGCTAAATAATTTACATAACCTAGACAACAAAAAACGTCCAAAATTTAAATCGGAAAATTCCGTAAATATCTCCAAATAAAACGTACCAGCCAGCTCGACGACCCATCGAATCCGTACCACCACTAGCAACGTCTAGGCGAAGGTCGAAATGGCGACAGTGTGTCGAGGTGGCCCCTGAAGGAAGGGGGAAGGGGAGTGTCCGCCGTCCACACGGGTCGGCCCGTAACTTTTACGAGCGAACGGCCGGGCGGCCTCGCCCTCGCTGCTCCTCCTCCCCCTCCTTCTCATTCTCTCCGCCCAACACCACATGCCGCGAGCCGACCGTGAGGGCGGTAAATTCCGTCACCCAGCCTCCCCTACAGTGCTTTTTAGCAGGCCTCCGCGCGCGCGCTTCGCCTGGGCCAAACTGCCTTTGTCCCCGGGGCTGGGCACCCCCAAATCTACTCCGGTGCCCACGAAATTTAGTGCTGTAAATTTCGGGGACAAAGAAGGGGGACAGGTGCGCTGGCTTTTAGTAAATTCGACAAAATGCGCGCTAGACCGGAAATAAAATGATTTTTTGATCCTGAGCCTAAGCCTTAGCCTAAGCTTAAGCCTAAGCCTGAACTAAGCCCAAGCCTGGGCCTAAGCCTAAGCCTAAACCTACGCCAAGCCGAAGCCAACTGAAATTTCCTTCAACAGCCAATTTTGCGGCGTAAAAGTATGACAAAAATATAAGATTTAGATAAGATAAAAAAATATTAAAGTAAAGGTAAAAAGGCAGGTAAAACTGTGCTTAACGATAACCTGAACGATACGCCTAACTTTGAGCAGCTATTACGCATAACCGATGCTAAAACTATTTTAGCTAAAACGTACCGATCTAAGCGGAGCGTCTCGTAGTTATTTCCTTAAATTAGAAACCGAAGCCAGCACTGAATCCGAATCCGGCCAGCCAACACCGCCAAAGCCCGGGGCTATGAAGGCGGAAATCGGCAACGCCCCCGGATCCTGAAAAAAGGATTAGCCCGCTCCCCCCAAATACCCGGATTGTAGCTAACTGCTCCCGGCAAAACAACATATGAAAAAGGTCTCGCTGGGCCGGGTTTATTGGCCGGATCCGAATGAACCCTCTAGCTGGCTCGGCGTGAAATATTTGTACTTGGCTGGACGGTTCTGGAATAAATGGTACTGGACTATTAGCGGGGGGATTGATCGGTCAGCGGAAATAATTGCTGTTTTTTTACCTATTCTAATGGTTATAATTTTCAGTATAGTTTTATAGCATATTTTTAGAAAGCATTTTCGAGGAATCAAGGCCGAAAAAGGGTACTGGACTGTTAGCGGGGGGGGGGGGGTAGTAGCGAGACGGCAGGATGCAATTTTTTAATTTTCGTCTGTTCCATTATTAATAAATTTTTTTATATGTTATCGCCTTTTTAGTAGTTTTTGATTTCTTGAAAACTCTAACCAAGATCAAAAAACGTAGAATCGGAGAAATTCATCTTTTCTCATATATCATAAATTTTTGAACCAGAACTCAAAGTATTTCAAAAATTTTTAGAATTTTTAGTGCTTTTCATACCCAAAAACCTTTTATAAAGCTATTAAAATGAACTATATTTCGTTATAGGACCGTAAGGAACGATTGGGGGCTGCTCCCCCCCGCTAATAAACAAGTACCAAAAAAAGTAGAAGTCATGAAATGTTCAATCCTAAAAGACTAAAAATTCTGTAGAAACCTAGCCAAACCCTTTTACTGATCCCGCCGGAATGGATCGATCGTTGCCTTGCCCATTGTCCGCCAGGCACAGAAACACGTAAAATTTTATGGGCCAAGCTGGGCCGACCCACTCTGCCTCCAGCCCACTTCCCCCATCAAACGTTCCTTTTTAAATAGCCTTCCAAATCGATGAGATCCGCATTCGGAAGCGTCTCTAAAAATTGATTGCTCAAAAAAGACGGCTCAGGGGAAGCTGAAGAACTTTTTACTTTTTATTGCAAAAAGTAAAGTCATAGTTAGGAAATAGATCACATAAATTTTAGTCAAAATTTTCCTAAAAAATTTGGCATTTTTGTCGAAAAAATCGAAATTTTTGTATTTTTGAATTTCCGAATAGTAAAAGTTAAAACGCTAAACTTAAAAAAATCTTCTCTTCCAGAACCGGATGACCTGAACCGAAAAAGCACGACACTTTGGGGAAATGGCTGCCCGTAATTTGCCACTTTATGAGTCGAAGCCTATGAAGATGCGGCTGAAGATGATTTCTACATGCCAAATAACCCAAAATCCGAGCTACGTAAAAAATGTAACACTTTGCGGGCAAACGCCGGGTTTCCTAGAAACGAAGGGCAGCGTTGCAACAATTTATACAAAAAAAAACTAACAAATTTGAACAACAAGAAAATCAACGCTTTCTGCTATAGAAGCCGCCAGTGTCCTTGGTCCCGGGGAAACACTTCTCCCAAACGAGTTCGTAGCAGGCGTGTTCGAAATTCCTATAAAAATCAATATGCGAGGGCAATGCACGTACGTATTTTTAAAGTGATCCGTGACCGCCTCTTTTTCTTCCTGACTCAGCTCGAGGCGAGAGTAATTGGGAGGCCGAAAGAAGCGTCCGCCATACCTAAGCACGCAAAATAAATTATTGTGTCAAAAACTTACTCATATCGAGGCGGCATGTGGTAATTATCCACATGCTGCTTGGCGGTTACGGCACCCCTCCGTCCAGCCCCTTTACAATCGCGTATCTGGCACTTCCAGTTCGAGTCTAAAACAGCGAACTTGGCAAAAACCAAACAAAAGTATTATTAGATCCTTAATCTCCAAAAAAGGGGCATAAACCGAACCTATTGGCGTGCCGGTGCCACCCCCTCGTTTCGGCGGATCCGGATATTCGATCACATTCGAATAATCCGCGAAAAATTTGCGTACTACTAAAAAAGCGTTCACTGCAATGCAAAACGGCTACCATCGGGGGAGATTTTGTCCGACTTCATGAGCGCAATTGTCTCCAAGTCCCGCTCGAATCCGGGGGGCCAGACACGACGGTCTTGGCCCACGCACCCGCCCTGAAATCAGAAAATGATATCGTTTAGCAAAAAAAGGCATTTAGGTACTTCCGCGTTAGTGGGGGAGCCAGGCATCATATTTTTTCGATGCCAGTTCAGGGGCAAAGTAATTAAATTAAACAATTTCCATAGCATTTTACAATGTTTCAAATTAAAATTACACCTGTTTCGAAAACGCTAGGTTTTTTCACAAAAACGCATGAAAAGTCCCTAAAACTGGTCTAAATCTTTAGATTAATAAGATGTTCTAATCAGGTTTCATTTATTCTAACAAGTTCATGTCTTCTTCTAAGGTCTCATATTGTTTTAATATTCGAAGAATATTATTAAGTATATTTTTATTCATTAACATGAAAGCATAGGCTCAATTTAAAAATTTGCCTTGTTCCCCGGCTAACACGGAAGCACCTGCATTTATGGGAAAAAATCAAACCTGGTCCCCAAAAGGCCCCACGCCGCGCTCGCCTGCATCACTGATGCGAGTGCGGCGTGTGGCGACAGAAGCGGCGCCGCGTCCGGCATGGCCCACAGGAAAAGCCGGGTCAGCTAAAAACTGCTGTAGAAAAGCTTACTAAAAGATAATACCGTCTTGACTAGCGGAAGCCTCGCCGTCGGTGAGCTGCTCATCTACTCCCTCCACATCGACCTGCAAATAAGAAAGAATAAATCAGCGGGGGCTAAGCGTACTTTAAAGCACTTAAAAATACGTACCACGTTAATGGGGCTACCATCATGGACGTCGCGGAAGTGTTGGGTCTCCTGAACGGATCATAAATCTCACATTTTTTTTCTTGCAAAAATTGTCGTTTCAACATCACGGCCTCTCTATGCCACCCGATTTCAAATACAAAAACTACCAAAACCCGTAAAAATTCCAAAATTTAGCCGAGATTAATTATTTCTTGCATTTTTTAGCCAAAAGAATTTCACTCCGAGCCGCCAGGTAGCAATCAGAGCTGCGTTAAAAATAAAGTGAAAAAGCACCTCATCATACGCGTCCGCCATAGGTGCCTGCACCGGTGAGCCGTTAGGGCCAATAAAGGCCTAAATCTGTGTTTTCAAGCGGTTGGGGACTAAAACCTGAGAATCGTAGGAGTGGAAGGTTGAACCCGCTTGGCCCAACGGCAGCGGATACGGTCGGCCGTATGAAGTCGCGGAGGCGTATTGGAGAGGCTAAAAATAAGATGTAACTTTCGCAAAAGTCGGGTGGTACCTGTTCTTTGGCAGCCGGGGATGCGTTGGCAAAAGCCCGGTTCATCGCCTATAAAGAAAATTGAAAGGTATTGGGAAAAATCAAACCTGTGAGGGGGCTGCAAGGTCGTGGGTGAACTGTCGCGGTTCCTAAGAAAATTTCTTTCAAAAAAAAACTAGAATTTACCGCGAGAATGGCGATCTTGCCGTTGCTCATCTTCCGGCGCTTATACTCGGGTGAAGGCGTCGTGGGGTGCATTTCTGTAACAATTAAATGATATAATATGGTGCTATTAAGATCGAGTTACTTTTAAATTTTGCAATTTATCTGCCAAAGACATTTATTTATCTAGCGTTAGAGCCAAAATAGTGATAAAATTTCGCAAAGATACACTTATACCTATTGGAATTTCAATTTGGAAATAAAGGTCGTTTATAATTATTAAAAAAAACTTACCGTCTTTTTTCCAAAGTAGAAATTATTTGGAAGAGGGTGAAGCGGTAGAAAAAAAAACGTAGGACCGCCGGCGGCCGGTCACTGTAACTGTCATTATGTGTCGCGCGTACTTCAAAAACGAAACCTGCCATTTTTTACTGTTTTTATATTATTTGAAACAAAACTTTTTAACCCTTTATAGAACATAAAAGTAGTGAATTTTTAGTTTCATTTTGCTACTTTTTGGTGAGAAAGCTCCAGGTCCTCGCTTCGCGGTCAGTCTATTCTGCTGATCATCACTAATCCAATTTTTAGCTCTCATCTCGACGATATCAAGCAATTTCTGGTCTTCTCGTGCCGTTCAGCCGTCTACGGATCAGGCTTGATAGCGCCAGGCTGCGAGGACAGGCCCCTGAAGAGTCCTCGAAACGCCCTCCCGAGCCGGCTCATGCTCGCGGCACACGCTCCCCGCTACCCTACTCTCCAGCATATTCAGCACCGTTTTCGGGATCAATTTGCTTTTTTCAGACGGAATTCAGCGAAGAGGCGATGCTTTATCGTGCTGCTGCCGGAAGTGTGCTTTTCGCGCAGCTGCTGCTGGCGATGAAGTACCCGAATGAGATCCTGGAAACGCCTATGGTTTTTTGCGAGCCGGAGAGGGTTGTTGTTAAGGTTAGTGGATCGTTTTTGGCAAACCGTTCGTGGTTCGACTTTTTGCGATCCAGAAATGATTGTGGTTAAGGTTATTGACCGTTTTGCAAAGGCTTAGTGCCAAAAACTTGGTTCTGACTTTTTAAAACTAAAATGGCTTTTTAGACTTTTAAAAACAACTTTAAACTTTTACTTTCACGTAAAACAACTTTTTAAAGACTAAAATTACCTCTCCGTCCAGATCAAAACCACCTCCTCGAACCCGTCGCACATCTACGTCGAGGAGATGGCCGAAGAAGAGAGGTGCTCGGTGTCGAATCAAAATTTCCTGGCCATCCCGGTTGGGAAATGTGGGATGAGCTCGGAAAGAACGGTTGGTTTGGCGTAGTAGGGTTTAAAAAACGCCAAAATTTTCATTTCAGGACAACCCGATGGGCATGATCCAGCGCGTGTGCATCACCGTGCAGCTCCACCCGCTTTTCGTCACCGAGGCCGATCGGTTTGATTTTTAGAGGCACTTCTTAGGAAATGAGCATGATTTTCAGGTCATATTGCGCGCAATGTGTCTACGTCGAGAATCAAGTGCTGGAGGATTTTGAGCAGACGCTGGCTATCAGGTCAGGCTAAATTTTCGCGAAACATTAGATTTCTAGCGAGCACCAGGCGACCGAGTTGGACCCGCAGTTTGACTTTGAGGAGACGCCAAAGTGCTCTTACCGCATCCGCAAGAACGACAAGGATGGGCCTGAGGTATCTAAAACGACATATTTCTATGTTTTTCCAAATTCTAGGTCCATTACGCCTCGGTGGGCGAGCGCGTTTTTCATGTGTGGAGTTGCGAGAGCGGTAAGTCACTGAAATACATGATTTTCGCCTTTTTCATCACCAATTTTAAGTTTTTTAAATATTTAAAGAATTTTAAAAGAAAAGAAAGTAAGATATTTAGCCAACGCCGGGATTCTCGTGCAGAACTGCTACGTCGAAGACGGGCAGGGAAATCGAATCCTGATCATCGACCAAAATGGGTAGGAAATTTCCCGCTAAAAAATTCCTTCAGATGCGGCGTCGATCATTATGTGATGGCGACCCCGAACTACACCACGGATCTAACCATGGCGTACCAGGTAAAAAACAGCCTTCATCAATGTTAGGACAACCCTTCAGGAGACGCACGTCTTCAAGTTTGCGCAGAAGACGATCACCCGCTTCACGTGCCAGATTCGGATATGTTATAAGGGCAAAGATTGCACAGAGTTGTCGGTACGCGGTTCGTACAGGCGAAAAATACACTTTTTTAGCCGCCTCGTGCTTGTCCGACGCTTGAAGAGCGGCTGGCAGCCGTTCGGAAACTGCGCGATCAACCGGCGGTCGGAAGGAAGGACATTTATTCGTCATTGATCGATATCGAAAAGGTAAATAGCTGTATTTTCCTATTTTTAGATCCGTTAGCGCATTTCTAAGGGAATTTTCGCGTAAAACAATTGTAATTTGGCAATGGCGTCATTGGGGCTTGACTTTCGCGGGGGGAGGTGCAAACTTGGCCCTGACGCCCGTCCCACTAATGATATGCACACTTTTTGTCGCGTTTTTCCCGTTTTTAAATATGATTCCTAAAAGGTATCAAAACGTCGATAATTTTTGCTTGTTCCTCAAAAATTTAAATTTTTATGTTTTCTTGGTTTTTAGTGTTCTGAAACTACTCTAAAAGCGCTAAAGATACAGCATAAAGTTCAATTTTTTGCTAAATAGGTAGAGGCTAGCTTTTCCACCCCCACTAACCGTCCAGAAGATAATTTTTTGATTTTTCAAATTTAGGTAAGCTACCTAGCGTAATTTTTCTCATAAATTTTCAGGAGCTCCAACGCCAAACTCCCAAGACAACGTCTCCTCGCCCCCTCGTCAACTTCACGGCCCAGACGAAGGGCCGCATCTATTTCGAGTGAGTCACAAGCTCTCGCCCACCTCGCGCTCCACAACCAACTCGAGGGCAAAAAGCGATCCAACCACTTATGGGGTGTTTGCACCAGAAAAGGGAGGCGTCTGTCTAGTGTTGAGGAAGGGGAAAGTGCTATCCGAATGTTGCTTTCAGCGGGAACTCATCGTTGCCAAAGCAGCAGCGCCTCCGCCGTGCCCTCGACATCGATGGCGGCCAAGGGCGTCTGGTACGCAGCGAACAGGGGTATCCCCGGATGGACGTCACCGGAGAGCTGAGAGTGTTGGACAGCCGCGAGGACGCGCGTTATTATGGTAATATCGCAAAGTCTTTACAAAACCTTAGAAGATTTTTAAAAATCTGATTTTTTTTCGTGGGAAATCTATATTTTTAAAGTTTTACACAAATCTTGTAGTATGCTCGTTTACGGCCAGAAAAAAAAACGGTGGTTCTTTCGCTTTATCGGCAGCCCTAAATTTTCCCAACCCTGAAAAATGCATGTTGAAGTTATACGAAGATGTTAAGATTTTAGTTAAATGCAGCTCAATTTTAAGTAAAAACTATTTAGAAAACTTTGAAAAATTTTGAGAAATTCGCATTTTTATCGAAAATCGATATTTTTTTTGCATTTCTAATATAATTATTAAACTTATACCTTCATTAATATTAAAAACTGTTTAGTAATCTATATTCTAAGGAAAAGGCGATAATATTGAGAACATAAGTAACTTTATAACATTTCAGAAGAGCATGGCGTCACTGACGGGGCACCTGAAAAGTGCAGCCAATCAACCACGCTCCTTTGGATCTGGCTGGGGAGCCTGATCGCTTCGTCGATCCTGCTAATTATTCTCATCTTTACGATCGCTCGCAAAACGCTCCGCTTTTCCAGCAAGGAGACTTGGATCCCCAATTAAAATTAGTTTTTAACGTCTTCTCTATCTATTAAAATACCTACAATCTCTCCCGATATCCGCATTCCCTTTCACGGGTTCGTCGAATAAATTATAATACATAAAGAAAGTGACATCTTCACACTAACGATTTATTCAGGGCCCAACACTGAGAAACCAGAAAAAAAAAACAGGCGAGCAACGAGACGAATTGCGACTAATGATTGAGATGAATAGATTAAGCAACGATATTAATTTTTAAGACGCGTGCATTTTTGGGGCTATCCGGCGAGTACTTTCGGCGGTTGGGCGAGCTTCGGGTTCGACTTGATGCGGGTGGCGGCCAGGATGACGCGCTTGTGGTCGGGGGCCATTACCTGAAGTTTTAATCGGTAATTGTTCGTCATCGATTGGCGAGTATTTTGGCATAGTTTGTGTTTTTTCGCATTTCCCACCAAAAACGAGCACTTCAGCTCCGAGTCGACACACATCACGGCGCCCTTGTTTTGAAAACTGCCGCAGTAGTGCGCCACCGAGAAGATGGTGACGAGGTGGCGGTCGGCGAAGAACAGGTACCCATCCTCGACCACCTACGAATTTAACAGTTTTTTTTAATTGGGAATGAGTTCTTTAGCTATATCGAGAGAGAGAGAAACCCGAAAGAAAACCTAAAAATTCTTAAAATGTGACATTTTCGCCGAAAATCGGGTTTTTTTTGTAAATCTGCCAAAATTTTACGTTTTGGAATGACGAAAATACAGTAGAAACACATTTTCTCCACCCAGCGATATTGCGAGTGCATAAAGACCTGATGCGCCCTGGCCACCAGGTCGAGACCAAGCTTCGCACACATCTCCTTGCAAACGTCGGCGCCGAACGAGTAGCTGACCCCGCGATTATTCGACTGCCAACCCTAAAATTTAGCGGTTCAGCTCATCCTCTGGTCGCCCACGTTGATGTACAACTCGGGGTCGGCCCACATCAAGTCGAGCTGCAGCGAGGGGTTCGGGGGATCGATCGGTCTTTCTAGCTGAAATCGAGCGTCTCCCAAAATCAGGCGAAAGCCCTACCTTGCGCAGCTGATCAAGCGACGTCAACCTCGGGCTCAGCCCGCCATGCATACATAGAATCCGCCCTCCAATCAGCCCGACCAGCGGCATACAGTTGAAGACGTCCTAAGACTAACACATTTCAAGATTTAACTGGATGTCACCTGAAAGATGTACCACAAGCGCAACGAGCTGCACCGCTTTTGGATCTCCGCGTAGAAACCGTAGACCTAAAGCGAGCTTTAGAAAATAAAGAAAAACTTGCATACCTTGTTGATTGCCGAGCATTCGTGGTTTCCGCGTAACAAGAAGAAGTTTTCCGGATATTTGACCTAAAAAACTATATCCTCTGGGATGACAAAAACCTTGAAGCAAAAGAGGAGTGCAATGTTTTCCAGCGAGTGCGAGCCCCTGTCGACGTAGTCGCCCAGGAAGATGTAGTTGTGCTTGGGAGGGAAGCCGGCCTTGTCGAACATCCGTAGGACATCTAACAACCATTGTCGTCTTCGATTTTTGGCATCATTCAAAAGAGTACAAAAGCGTGGAAACATTGCTACCGTCATATTGTCCATGCGTATCTCCACAAACTCGTATCGGTGGTGACACCTCGATCAGCGACGGCTGTGAGATAAAAACTGCCCTAAAACTGGCACCTTCCAAAGCTCACAAAGCCAAGCTACTTTGCAGCACTGCAGAGGGCGGCGATCGTGTCCTGCTTCACCGTCTCCAGAATCGAGTTCTTCGCCGTCGTCCCGACCGTCAGCAGCTGCACGATCAGCGCATCCAAGTCGAGCTTGATGCCGCCGATTGTCGGATCGGTCATCCTGGGCTGGTTGAAGCCGCCGGTGACGCAGCGGACTTTAGTAAAAATAATCCCAAAAGAATGTAAAATCCAGTGAAACTTCCAAAATTCTTTATACAACATGTAAATATGTAAATGTAAACACCCGTAAATTCACATTAGCCCGCACTAGTTTGGATTCGGCGTCACCGGTCCACTGTCACCTCCTTCGATCTAAAACAGCGTTTTGCAAAAATTTATTTTTCTACCTCATCTCTATGCTGGACGATCAGCTTGTACGCATCCCGGAGCGCGTCTCTCAAGTCCTCAATCTCCTTGCCGATCTCTTGTTTCGCCTGCTCGACATTTTCTACTATCCGTTGCTTCTTATCTTCAACTAAAAAAAAACAAATCAAAAACAAATTCTAACAAAGGTACTTACAGTCATTATAAAACCGTCTGCTGCGCTCTTTCTTGGCCGACGTAGAGGTTAGCGCCCGTTGCATCATTGGTGTCGGATCTTTGAACACCTGAAGGACTATTGGAAACTTGATAAAGTTTACCAATTCATCGTAGAATTCAGCGGCCACTACACTTCTTCCTGCTCCCGCGTTAAAAACGGGTTGGAATAGCCGCAAATAGTGGAATGCCGTCACCTAAAAAACCTCAAAAATCTGTATCAATGAAAAGGTTACCGGTTTCTCATTTTGGTCGACAAAATATATCCTGATCTGCACTTCAAATTCGCCCCACCCTGTCTCCGTCACTTCAAAGGGTGGGTGGTCGATGGCTAAAAGATGGATTTCCTTCCCGAAATGCAAAACCCACTCCGTACTGCATTCTCGTAGCTCTCGTGGAGCTTGAACTGGACCTTCCGGACGTAGACCGACATGTCTTCATTCTCGTAGGGCTTCACAAACACGGTCCACGCGTGCGTGTGCCCATCCGTTTCTCTAGGGTTGAGGTCAGCTTCAAAGTCGAACAAATACCGTTTGTAGCCAAAAGCCTCAGCCGTATTCCCGTAAACGATAGCCTTGGTCGTTACTTGTCCGTGTAGACGTTCTGTCATCTTTGGCGGCTTCTGAAAATGGTTTATATCAATGAAAATTAAAAATCTAAGGCCTAATACAACAAAAAAGGTACTTCTTCCATCGGCGATTTTGACTTTGATTTGGATTTTGTTTTCGTGAAGCGGACATGGTGCTTTCTCGACATCTTGAGTAAAATAAAAATATCAAAAGTCAAAAAGCTGCTGATGCAGTACGGTACGCTACAATAAACGATTACTGTAAGGGTGTTGGGTGTAACCTCGCGTACTGAAGCGATCTATCGTTCGATTTTTGAAAAAATCATTTTCAATTTTTTTAATTTTTGGCACAAAAATTAGATGTTTTCTTGAACATTATAAGCTATTTTGATTTGTAAGGCGATGGATTTGCCTCGAGTAAATGGTTTCTTCGAATGGGTAGCATACAACCACTGGTCAAAGGGCAGCTCTGTTTGGGTGGCGCCTCGAACCGCCGTTCAAAAATTTGGGAACACCATAAGGGTATGTAAATCGTTTTATATCATTTCTAGAGCTTTGTTGCTCTTGAAATCATCGAAATTTGGTAACTAACCGCTCCCTGATCTCACAATTACTTTCATTTCCGTTATGCCTTCATTCAATGGCACCCTCAAAATAACCCTAATTTAGTACGCGATGGCCTTCCGACAACAAAACTCTACGGCTACGACGCCCGTCAGCAAAATGATGCGAGGGCTAGGAGAAGTCAGCTTGGGCAAAACGCCAGGCAGCGCCGGACGGAACACAAAGTTCTCGAAGACGCCGACCGGAGCTTTCAACAATCGGCGGCCACTCGGAAGGCGAGAGCTCACCCCGTCGCGGTCAAACGCCAATGCCGCGCAGCGATTTGACGGAGACAGGTTCAAATTCTCTGATTTTTTTATAGAACCGGTTGTTTTTTCAGGATGATCCCCTCCCGGTGTGCAAGTCAGCTCGAGCTGGCCAGCTTCCTCCACAGCCAAAGTCTTGCGGTTAGCAATCGTTTTGGAAACCCACGTTTTAATTTAGAACGAGACGATGAACACCTCGAAGAGTGCCCCCACCAGTCCGTCTAAAGAAGAGCTTGAAAAGCGCAAATTTATGAAAATGATGCGAGGTTGGTAGCGCTCTCGTTGCTAAAATCTTTTTTAGTTAAATCTTCCTCTGATCTTGGCGGTGCCGAGGACCAAGATAGAATCTTGGTTTTCCGGAAGAACAATGCGCCATTGCCCCCGGTCGGCCATATGAACACAAAAGTTCTCTTCACAACATGCGTCCAACCGTCATCGACAGTCAAGAAATCCTCACGCCAGATCCCATCGATGGCCGATAGGTATAAACCTCTCGAATTTCTGAATGACTTTTGCCATTTCAGGATTCTTGATGCTCCCAATCTCGTTGACGACTACTACACCGAGCTGATCGACTGGGGAGAGGGTGGCCTGCTAGCGGCCGCTCTGGGTTCCGAGCTCTACCTGTGGAACCCGGACAGTGGCGATATCTCGGTACCCCGAATAAAATTGGTTCTTTTTATGATTCATTTAGGTATTGATCGACCAAGACTCGGCTGAAGATATGATCACCGCCGCCAAATGGTCGAACGAGGGCCGTTTTCTGGCAGTCGGCGGAGAATCGGGCGTCATTCGGGTTCGAGATAAACTTGCTTTTCATAAAATTTGAATCCTTAGCTCTTCGACCCGTCCAAGGGAAAGGAACTTCGTAAGCTGACGGCTCCCCGACTCTGTCGTGCCACGTGCATGGCCTGGAAAGACCACATGCTGTCGATCGGGTACAAGAGCGGCCAAGTCGTTTCCCATGACGTGCGCATCAAGGAGTCGGTAGTTGGGTGCGTTTTCTTTTCTTTGTTTGAGATTATTTTTGGTTTCCAGTGTGCTTGAAGGCCACTCCCAGCCCGTCTGCGGAGTCCATTGGTCACCGGACGGGGCCCAGTTCGCCACCGGTGGCAGCGATAACCTCGTCCACGTCTGGGACAGCAGCCGGGTGACGGCCCGAGGCCAGGTAAGGGAAGGGGTCAAAGCCATTGAAATCCGTTTTTTCGATTATTTTGGCCTCCGTCATTTAGTGATCAAGGCAACTAGTAGGTCTTGGAGCACTCGAAGTGGCGCGTCTCTTCATGTACTTTAATGTTCTCTAAAATGTAGAATCTATTTTTATGGGCAAAACTGTTCAAGTGCTATAAGACGTGCTATTTGACTTACTTACAAAATCAAGGAGGCTGAGCTAATAGCGAAAGATGTTGACCCGCTTTTTGACACATATCGTATTATCTTTTTCGTTCTTTCTTGTATCTTTTCTAATATTGTTCTTTAGACGCCGACCTATGTGCTGAACGATCACACAGCTTCCGTGAAGGCCGTCCAATTCTCCAACTTCAAACGCGGACTCCTTGCGACAGGCGGTGGGACCACGGATCCAACCGTGAAGCTTTGGGACACGATGACTGGAGCCCTGACAAAGACGATCAAAGTCGACTCGCAGGTTTGTGTTCTCTTTTCAGGCTTCATCCCCGCGCTTCTAGGTCACCGCCATCCGCTTCAACAAGGACTACAAGGAGATGATTGTCGGGCTGGGCCGCACGGCTAATACGCTCAAGATATTCAAGCACCCCAACTACCAGGAGATTGCTAATATTGCAGGTTCGTTTTTGGGCTCCATTCTCAGTCATTTTTCGTTTCTGGTGTAGAAATTTAGTGTCGAAAAATGATCGCAAATTGTATGAAATTTTGGGCAGAAGTGCCAACCTTGTCGTTGATTTAGTTTCTTTTTCCAGGGCATACGGATCGCGTGCTCGGCCTATCGATGTCGCCATGCGGCCAATACGTGATGAGCGCCAGCGCTGACGAGACGCTCCGGTTATGGCACCTCTTCAAGGTTTTATCTATTCTTGTTGCTTTTTAAACTTTTTTTTTTAGGTCGACAAGAGCACCCAACGTCTCCAACACCACCGCAGCAAGCTGTCGACCCTGGAGGCCATGCGCTGAACACTGACTGCCCCCCTTATTCGCTTGTCTATTCTACTGACATGTTTAATGTTCACTCGATCTTCAAGCTCGGGTTATTGATCAGATTGACTTGCTTTACCATTGGTTCTCATTTTAATTGCTTTCGGAAGTTACGTATCTGGTTCAACGAAATAAATTTTATTGAATGCAGCCCAGCTTCACAAGAATCCCAGTGCCTGTTTTTGATCGAGTATACTCTGCTTTAAGGTTGAAATGCGGGCCCGTCGTGGTTTCACTGGAGCAGTTCGCTGCAGTACTGGCTGTCGATGGTGCGAGCGTAGCGATCGCCGCCGGAAGCGGCAAAGAATGGGCGCTTGGCCATCTAAAACCGTATGATCTGTAAGCAGGCGATTATTGGTCGCTTACCGGTGTGAGGTGCTTGCCAACCGTCGACCCGTAACGCGAGTTGGTAGGGGTTGCCGGGCCGTTAAGGGAAAAGTCGGCCCCTTCTGTCACGGTTGGCTCATCCATCTGGACTTGAGAAATTAGGCTCAAACCGCTCTTTCCACCTCTTTGACCGTGCACATGGTCGTGTACGGGGTCGCGGCCACGTCGATGCAGCACGTCTCCGACAACTCGCCGAACGCGTACTCCGACGGAGCTGGGGCCAGCCGAGGCGCGCAGGGCACTAGAGATGAAGCATCAATTCGCAAGTTTTGCATACCCTGGAACCGGTTCATCTCTGGCATATGGTAGAAGGAGGGGGCGCCATGTTCGGCCATCCGGACGGCGTGCAGAATCGTGTCCTGGGTGAGGCCCGACGGGAACGAGGTGGTCGCCGAGAAGTGGGCGGCGTTATCTGGACGTTCATTTTTCTTTCAATTTACTGAAGGTCTAGATACCATTGTCGGCGTGCTCGTACTTGCCGATCTGGTCCACGGGCAGGCTGATGCCGTGCTCCATCTGACAACACGTGAATTTGTGAGAATTAGGGTTCATTCTGGTAAGAGTCTAGAAACCCCCCCCCCCCCCCCAGCCGGCACCAACTTTTGTATCTCGGCCCCCATTTGTGCTAGCGAGCTCTAAAGTATACCAAAATGTTCGCCGTAGGCTAATTAGTAAGACTACATTGCCGTTCAGTCGAAAAAAGTGGCGAAAAATAAAAATAAGGAAGGTAGAAAAGTTGAAAAGTCGGCGGGGGGGGGGGGGGTTTCCTAGACTTGAGCCTTCATTCTTCGTTAATTTTCGCGAAAAACTGACGAGGTTCCTTCTGAAGTTGTAATCATCGACGTCGAACTCGAAGGCGGTCGTCGCTTCGGCGGACTCGCTGAGCGTGGCCATCCGAGTAGGTGTTGATCAAGTGTAATGGCGGAATGTTTCTGTGCTTTTTCTATTCGGGCAAGCGGAAATGGGTTGCATTTGTGTATTCTAGGGCTTGATGCAAATAATTTATTCATGGCAAAATTTTTGTTCACAACTTTCGGCTACCAGAATGCTCCTCGAAGGTAGATAATGCCATGGTGGCGATGAGTAGTTCTAGAAACCCCTTTGACACTTTTTCGGGTTTTCTCCCTAGCGTCTTTGCGCGTTTTCTTGGATCGTTTCACAGCCTGAAGCCTGTCTTTGTGATCTCGTATTTTCTTTTCTTCCGTTCTCGATCCGTTTCTCATTATTTTGATGTTTTGATCTTTAGTTTTGGCTTCACTTTTAGGCTAGGGTAGCCCGGCTCAGGTGCGTCTCAATAAGTCCCTTGCAGGTTTCCAGTTGGGCCGTCAGCCGCTTCGTCATGTCCTTTTCAGCGAGCAGTTCGGCCTCCAGCGAGTTTAGGCGTTCGTTTAGTCTTTCTAGCTCTTGGTCCTGAAATGGGGTGCGTTAGATTTGTCTCGAACAGATTTTTTCACGCGAAAAATTAAGTTTTACCACCGGTAGAGTTATTTTTAGTACCTTTAGCAACTGTAGCCGCTTCGCCTTGTCCCGATTCCTCTTCACAGCCTCATTGTTCGCCCGTCTCATGTCCAGATATTTCGGGTCGTTTTTCGCCTGAACATATTATTGTCGGTGGTCGGCCGGGAAGCTACAGGGGACGATTTTGGCGCGGGGCAGCCGGGCATATCTTATCATCCGCCGGGCCCGAACAAACAGTTTCCCAATGTATTTTGCGCGCTCAAACTCGCCGGCTACGAGCAGCAGAGACGGCTGGCAGGTAAACAAGATTGCGGCGCGCATTTTCATGTGTATTCCATGTGGATTGAGTGTTGCAGACTCGCAGGAATCTTATATGGAGGCTCGTATATTTTTTTAGTCACCCGGAAAGACGGGAAATAGCTCGTCCGATTGAGAAATCAAAACGGCCCACCAGTTTCGCCTTCCCCCTGCTAACAGTTAAGTTCCCAATGGGCTGTCTAGGGTCGCTTTCCGGATTTCCGAAATAGAGCCCCTTATTATCAATCTCCGTTCCATATCACCCACCAAAAACGAGGCGTATTTCCGGCGCTTCGTCCCATCGGGCCCTTCCGTTAGCTCGTCAAAGCCGGCCCCTAAAATTTCAAATGCCCATTTGACATCATTTTTGAGAATTGCATAAGCCCGAGCGGGCCGTTTTATCACTTTGGCTAGTGCTTTCAGAGCCGAAATACCGGCTTATCTGTCGCCACGTAAACCACAGGCCCTTGGACTCTTGGTAAACATTGCAAAATCGTAGTTTGGTGGGTTACTGTATGGTTTTTTGATTTCCAAGTTGGGTTGGTCATTATTTTGGGACGTTGCCCCGCGCGTAAAATTATCATAGTTCGCCTAATAAAAAGCGGAACGCGCCGGCAGCTACTGATAAACGGAAGGCAATCATTACTTTAAAAACCTTATCTAATGGAAAAGGGATCGGCGAGTGACTGTAGTACCGAAAATAATATATCGATAAGCATAGAAAGCGTTAGAATAATTTTTAGGTTATTTTCCGCCTAACTTTTTCCCCTTCTACCGTACCCTGTTGCTCAGTTGGTTCGTCCTTTGGTCCCCCATCGTCTTCCCCTTCTTGCTTAATCGACGTGTGATAGATTCGGGGGCGTCCACGGGGCCTTTTTTGGGCGCTCTCCTAAAAAAATGCCGATGAGCTAATTTCGGAGGATTCGTGGCTTTTCCCGACAGTATTGCAAATTTTTGAACTCGGCGGAAAAGACTTTCGGAAAAAAGTTTTTAGGTAAATAAAAGGATTTACAATCTCGCTTACCTGAGACCCAGGTCGTTTTCGGTCTCCCATTTTCGCCATTCTCTCGACACTTTTCGGGGATAGTGATCGCTCACTGCTCGGGGATGTGTGCTAAAATTGACATGGTCTTAGTTTCGAAAATAGCTTTTTCAAAAGCCGTTTTTCGAAAAGTTATATCTCCAAGTTCTGAATAATTTTTAAAATTCAGGCTTTGGAAAATAACGGGTCCCTGATTTTCATACCGTCATCGGTTCTCCAAAGTTCATCGTCGCCGGCAGCAAGATCGGCTTTGTCTGCATCTGCATGCCCGGTATCTGAAGCGATAGCCCCATCCTCGGCTGGGCCGCAGACCAGAGGTGGTTCCAGAACATATGAGTTTGGTCCATCTGCCGCGTTCCTTTTCTTTTTCTTCTTTTTCGTCGACAACGTCTTCAAACAGCCTCCGCCCCGGTTCCGTCGCCTGCCTTGCCCTTCTCCGGCTTGGCGTACCAACTCGGCTGGGTAGCGTGTGGACTATTGTTTTTCCGCCTCTTCGTCTTGAACACCCTGAAGCGCCAGCAGCGGCGTTTGTCTGGCGTAGTGCTGCGAGTGACGGCCTGTCTAGCTACAGGCCGATCCAATCGGGTATGGTCAGCAGTAGGGAGGTGCTGCCTGAAAAGAAGCGGTTATATCGAAAGGGGTCCTTGCAAAATGTTGCAATTTATACTATCAAAATTCATGCTTCCGAAATTTTATAATATCGAAAGTTCTAGATGTTGAAAATTGCATCAAAATCTCCGGGGAATACCCCAAACTACTGTGCAAAAAATTTTGACATTAAGGAATTTCGCCATTTTGTTGGCAAATTTTCGAAAATATATAAAGGATGTCCCAAAAAGTAGACCGCCAAAATTTCTGTGAGACGAACGGGCTGTATTGCTCAATGGTGGCACAATCCGCAGCCTTATAACTGAGGCGGAAAGATAAGGGGGGTGAGGGCGGAGCCACCTGCCCCAATCCGGGACTCCATCCAAGACCCAAGCCACGTCTCCAATTCTTTTGATCCTTTCAGGTAATTATTGTATTTAGAAATCTAGCGCCCCTGTCATCAGAGATTTCATAATTGGATACTAGGTGGATCTTCTACGGGAAGTTTTGAATGTAGCCCAAAAAATGCCGTTCTTTTAGCTTTTTTGCGTTTTGTATGTTATCCTCGTTTGCATAAACTTGTAAAAGCGTAACAAAAACAGTCGTAGAAAAATTCGGCTCTTAGGGGGTCAGCCCCCCAAGAAAGGCCAAAGTTTTCCGACACCCCCGAGATGTTTTTCTGGCTACGCCCCTGCCCACTAGCAACGAAACAAAGGATCTTGACACTAGCGCAAGATTACCGATTAAAATTAATTAACCATTTTGACTATGTTGTTCGAAAATTTCGCTTAGAAAAATCGTTTTTCTCGGAAATATAATTCCGAAAATAGGTAAGCTAACCACATACCTCGAATCTGGTGCTAAGGTAACTGACTTCGCTTCAGCAGGATTGCGAAAAGCCCCGTTTCAGCGACTTGGTGTTGAACTCAAGCCTAGATCTAATTTTGTTTTGCTATATGTAGCTTAAGCTCATGCTCAGGTCATACTAGAAGGTCCCCTTGCTTAGCTGTAATTTTCCTTGTGACCCGAAAAGCCGGACCTATGAGTGTATAACTTAGAAAGTCTACGGTAACTAGGTCAGGGCAACACCGTCTCGATAACCCCTATGGAATTCGTGACCGTTCGATGGGGGGTTATCAGAATTTTCGCCGAAATGACGGCCTGGCTACGTAAATGCTGCGATTAGGAAATTTCTGGAAATATCGGACCACCATCATTTCCAAACTATAAAGTGCGTCTGCAAACGCTGGAAAAAAATAAGATAATCTTGGAAAAAATTTCATTCCGTCATAGTTCTCGTCAGAGATCAAGCCTGATTACCGGTTTATGACAGTGTAAGATAAGAAAATCCTGTCGCAACCTAGAAGCGGACGCTTACGCAATATTAGTTCCATCACACAGTACGACATCACGTCAGTCACGTACCACAAAGTGATAACTTGTTTTTAGAGTCAAATCAAATAATTTGTCATCGTCGATAAAGGTGTTGCAATCAATGAATCATATCTTATTCACCGGTTATCAAAATCGGCTTTAAAACTAGGTAAGATCGGGCCCATGATGACAAAAAGGTCCGGGATCGGGTTGGGCAATGCTTGAAAACTATATTCTACTGACTGCATTTTACTGACAATTGACGGCATTATAATTCATACACTAACTACGTACTTTAATAGCTATCCGACTACATTTCTCGGTAAAAGCTGTAACAACGCTACGATATTATGATGTCATCGGGGTTAGCGGGAGGAGCCCGCTAACCCTTTTTGGGTTGAGGTACCCCCCCACGCGGCTCTTTTTGGGTCCTTTACCCGATTTCCGCGGAAACCATGCATCGGATCGTAAAACTAAATATACCACCGGAACCGGCCGGATTTTTTGCATAACATCAGCTTTTTAAATTTTCAAAAAAGTTAATTTTCGAATTTTAAGAGCGATTTTATTTTGTACTCAGAGGGGGGGGGTCTGCGTTTGTCACGATGTTTGTATGTCCGCAAAACCTTTGTAGTCGTCGAAAAGTGCCTTCCCATGGACGGTTTTGGCTGAAAATTTGCACAGGTATTGGCTTAATGCTAATCTCGGACAGGAAGAAGCGTTTTTTTCAAAATAGGCCTTCAAAAAATTTTAATTTAAATTTGAAGTTCAAAATTTAAATTGGGGTCAAAAGGTGTCTTGTCGAGGTCCGTTTGCGCTGAAATTTCTCATAGTGATGCACTATATATTGTTTTAATATTAACTGAACAGATTATCGTAAAATAAATGTTCTACGTTGAGATACGGTCGGATTGCGTGAAAATCTGAGGTCGCAATACGGGGCGCGCGCCCTTTCTGTCTGGGCCTCTCCTTGCCCTCCCCACTAATAGACCCCTATCTCCCCCCCCGCCAATTAACAGACCCCACTTGTTACATTATTTTTATCAAACTTATTTGGTTGGATAGGACGATTATAGCACCGATGATCAATCTTTTCGGTTGACCATTAGCGCGCCCATAATGCGCCCGAGCATTTGGAGGCACATTCGAAAAGATTTTTGCGCAGAATCAGCACCACAGGCAAAAATATCCGAAGAATATATTTAGTCAGAAATTGTATTAAAACCACTATTTAAAGGGGCAGGAGGCTAAAAGGGGACAATTAAAAAAAATCATAAGGGACCTGGCAAGGAGGTGCGGCAATTATTAGCGAACCCCTCTATATTCTTATGATTCAATCGATCATTTCCTATGTCAAAGTTTCGAATCAACTACTACTCCCCGAGTGGAAAGAGATGCAGCCTACAAAAAGGATGCGTTAGCGCAATTTTGATGATTTCCGATTTGTCATATGTAGCCGTTAAGTATTAAGTAGCAGGTGTATTTGCATTGCATGTCGTCGTAGCTGTCAGACCCTTTTAGTCTTTTGCATAAAGACTAGTCGAGGTGGAGTGCGGTTGAATGTCGGTCATTAGTGCGCCCCAGCGTCGGGCTCGTTAGAGGTCAGGCTGATAATGATAACGACATCTGCCTTACGCGGGAATAATAAAAAAATATCCCCGTTCCTGGGGTCAATTAAAAAGCTGTTCTGCACGAAAGTGTATTATTGTAAGAACAGAGTTCAGTCAAAAAAGGCGAAATTCTCTTTAGCTAAAAAGAGATTCTTTAAAAAAAAGGGTTTTTGGGTTTGAAAAAAGAGCGAGATTCTCTGATGCAGCAAAAAGCGTCAAATTCCCTAACCTCCGAAACATGAGAAAATTCGAAGGATCAACCAAAAATTGCCGGGTACAGGCTCAAAGCGCAGTTTCAAACGCCATTCACTTCCAATATTTGGTATTTTGCCGCTTTTCGATGTTCTTCGTCACCACGTCGTATCACGAGGTAACCACATGCTTGAAAATAGCATGATTATGACAGTTATATTCGACTTTATTTTTGATTAAGACTAGAGCAGAAAAATTTCAACGTGCCGAAATGAAAAAACCAATTAAAGTGCCAAAATTCGGCCGGTTTTCCTAGGTGCCAGCAATTTTTGGTTGATCCTTCGAATTTTCTCATGTTTCGGAGGTTAGGGAATTTGACGCTTTTTGCTGCATCAGAGAATCTCGCTCTTTTTTCAAACCCAAAAACCCTTTTTTTTAAAGAATCTCTTTTTAGCTAAAGAGTTACGTAACTACTATAGCGATTACATAGAAACGAACGATTGGAAAAATCACGCTTACAAAACCCGCTTATATAGCCACTTTCGCGAAATGTTGCTCGAATTTCGTTACAAATCATGTCCGCTCCGTTACAAAGCATTCTTTTTCACAGCGTGACCCTTTTTAGCTACCCTGTGTATCGAACTCGGTTCGTGGATTCTATGGATTCTTCACTCGAGATAAGGCCCACACGTGCCAAAGTGCCAAGGATAGCTGATCTGGTCGGCGTTAATTCCGTGGTAAACAGAGCCCAGCGCTTCAGATAACGAACGAACCAGGCCGTCATTGCTAAATTTTACCGACAGTACTTTTCAGGAACAAAGCGGCGCAGTACCACTATATAGGCCGTGCGCTTGCCCCCCGAATCGAATCAGTAGCAGCACATCCCGTACAGACCTAGAGAAGATAACACAGTAGCTGAACGAATTCACCAATACCTGAATTGCTAGTGTAACAATTTATTTGCCAAAAACAAAATGTCAATCAGTATCACAAACTTACAACGGGGTGTTAGTCGGAGCAGGTGGGAGGGGGTTGTTAGAAAAGGTGCCAACGTCGAGCAGTCCGCGCTTGATTTTGTCGACCAGGTATCTGAAAAACAAAATTTCAGAAAATCGGCGTGTATGAATGACGACAATTGGAAGCTCGTAGTGGAACATTTTTTAAGATAATATTTCCAAAAAGTTTTGCAAAAAATCGGCGTTTCGGCCATGATTTGGAAGGTCATGTTTCCGATTCACGAAACACTGGATTTCAAAAATCTAGATGGAAATCAGAAAATAAATTGCCGAACCTCTCGACGCGCTTCTCAATCCCAGGAAAGTAGAGCGGGGCCACGTCCTTTAGACGCCTCATCGTGTCAGGGTGCCTGCATGGCGAAAATTAAGTACAGCTACAAAACTACAAACCACAATTGGCACGAGTTCTTTCTGATGGCCCACTTCTGCGTGCACCGATGCATTCGTGCCAGGTGGGTGGCAATGCAGCTCTCGTAGTTGGTGTTGAAATCGCAGCGGCGACATCTGAAAACAAAAGTGGGAAGCGTTAAAAAGGTAATGCACCTCCAGATTTTCGCTTCATTGCCGTCACAATGGGCGGCGAGTAGGTGGAGGACGACCTGGCCTACGCTGAGGAAATTCTTGCGGGATTTTTGGCATTTCTAAAAAAGATATTTTTCTAAATGTTGTATACCTGAACCGGGCATCGTAACCCGACAGATTTTTTGATGACCTTGCTGGAGGGAGGGAGAGGGTTCTGAAATGAAAAACGCTATACGAAAATCCGAAGCCATACAGTATTTTTAGTAGCGTTAGGATCCCAAATTCACAGTCCTCATTTCCCGAAGTCTATCATTCGAACCCGCGTCAGGAGGTACCTAGGCAAAAAAAGCTCTAGCACCCTTAAAAAGCCTACTTTGAAATGCGGGGCAGGAGTACCGGGAAATTTATCCCGGCCTGGTTGTTGAGCTCGCGCAGGGTGTCGGGGTGCCTAGGACAGGATCGTCGGTTAGAAAAATAGTTCTTTTGTATTACCAGCGGGATCCGATTTTTTAATAATTAATAAACAACATACAGACAGCTCTCAAGCGAAAAAAACTAGCGAAAAAACTTAAAAACTTGGCAAAACAGCTATAACCATTTTCGTATTTTTCAGCAAAAATTTGTACCTTTTTTACGTTTAGGAGCTCGTCCTCTATTTCAATTAGGAAAACTAGATGGTTAAGAAAAAACTCGGACTCTCCCGGAAATATCAAAGAACCAAAAAGATCGAGAATTTCTCCCACCAGCGTTCAACAATCCTCTCTTTGCACCAGGCCACCGGCTTTTGCAGACGATGCCGGCGTCTCATGTGGCTGACCAGATTATATTTGTGCGCGCAGGCGTGGGAGCAAGAGCGACAGCTAAATTGGGGAGCTAATTGCGAAGCAAGACTCAAAAGCACCGATATGGGTAGGGCAGGCGGCCGCAGTGCTTGCTAAGTAGATGCTCAACGATTCGGGTGAGGCTGTTAAACGCCGTTGCGCAACTCTAAAGATCCCGCTCAGAAAAGTTGTAGACCAGGCTTACGCTACAGCGGAGGAGCAGGAGCTTTTGTTTCCTGACGGCTAGCTGAGTTTTCTATTTTGGTAAGTGATTGGAGGGTGAGAAAGGCAGACCGTTGTTGGGGCTTCGTCCTCATTGGTAGCTGGTGCTCCGGTGTTGAAACTTCCGTAAGCATCGATATAATCGCACAGGTCTTCGCTGACGTCGGAGATCTGAAAATGGATATTTTAAGCGAGATTGCCGACCCTTAACGTAATTTTACTAAAGTTTGTCTTAAAAACACGAAGTTTTCCTCGTAAAAGTTATTTAAAGTGAAAACAAAAAAAAACTGACATAAAAAAGTGTAAAGAATATTGATCTCACGTAAATAATAACACCAAAAAGGGCATCTGGCGCTTTTTGACTTCTTAGGGATTTTGGATGAAGGTATTCGCGGCATTTCCAAATCCCAGTTTCAGCAAAGTTGTTTCCAAGCACGTACACCTTCAAGATCGGGAATTTCACCCCGCTCGGCGGCCGTGATCGCTTCTTCGAGATCCATCGGTGGACTCTCCAAGATGTTAGCGTGCTCGGCGATTGGGGCATTTTCAACTTCTCGATTTTCTTTGTTGGCATCCAGATCCTGGCCCGGCACGTCGTGATTCTCGAAGCTCTATGATCCAATTCTGACGCTAACTACAGAATCTTACCGCTTCAATGCAGCTAGACGACCGATGATGGAGCAGCAGTGCCATTTCCGGAAATTCGCTGTCTAGGGCTGGGCTTCGATCCAGGAGATTCTCCTAAATTCTAATAAGGCAAGTTAAAAACAGCTAAACCATTTGAGAAGCGAAGCCGACCGAGCTGGACCACGATCGTTTCAACGAAACATTGTAGAACTGAGGATCGCGCTCACTAAAAGTTCATGTAGACTAAATTACAAGAAAAAAACGTACACAGGCTCTTCTGTGAAATCTTCGATAGATATGGCTTCCGCTTTGACAACGTTGGGTACCTCGAAAGACGTTTGATCGGGGATGGTGTTGAGACTAAACCAATCGAGGGATATATTTTAAAAAACACCTGATTTCCGCAACGGGGTGGAGTTCCAGGAGCTGGGCCGAGAGGCTAGCACAGTGTACAGGAGCCTGAAGCTTTTGTTTTTAGGGAATGGAGTTAAAAACCTCCGCGAAAGCGCTTGAATTTGGAGTGTTGGGCTTGACGATACTCTCAGAAACGATTTGCTCAGGTCTATCCAACGGCGGCGCCACTTCGATGAGCTGGAGATCTTCAACCTCGCTTTCCTGCCGAACTGGAGCCGGCTGAACATCTTCTGATGTCGCGGCACAAGCTCTAAAAGTAGTTTTTTTTTTCCGGAGCAAAACACCAACCCGCGCTCATTCGGTATCGACCGGTTGACAGGAGCGAGCGAAGCCTCTTCGAGGCCCTCACTAAAAGACTGGATAGTTCTTAAAACAGACAAACCTATCAGCAGGCTCCGCGCAGTCCAAATACTGCGTCATATTGCGGCTGGTCTAAATCTAAACATACCAGGCATGAAAACTGCCAAACCGTTTCAGGGCTAAAGAAGGCACGCGAAGCCACAGTTTCATTTGCCGAATCGTTGGCAACCTCGGCAAGCGGCCGCTGATCCCTGTAGAAATGAACCGTCTGCGCGTCCATTGAATTCTGAAAACGATTTACTAGGAAAACCGTATCATCGACTTCTAATTCATCCAATCGACAAAGACAAGGCCCGCAAGCTGACAAGTCGTCCACAAAATCCGTAGAAGCTGAGTGGTCATCGTGAAGCTAAACAAATTTTACGAACATACAGTAGAAAGTACCTGGCTTATGTCAATGGTCACTCCATAGTGGCGTCTCGGCGATACATCGTGGGTTACGGAAAGGCGGTGGATTTCTCGATATCGCTAGAAAGGGGAATAATTCATGGGACCCGTTACAGATCCGATTCAAGGTATTTTCGTACTGGCGGGGAGCAAAGCAAATTTTTTGTATTTTTTCTTCACAATTTTAGCAGCTCTTTTCATGCTTCTAGAAAAAGTGCACTGCTCCCCCGCTACGGAAAAGCCCGATTCAATTTTATCACGTTCCAAAATACCTCGAGAAGCGCGTAGCAAAGACGGTTGACGTCCCGCCGAGAGATTCCATCGACCAGAGCCAGCTCGACTAATACAGTCATGCTGAATTGATAATTTCAAAGACTGAAAAATTCTGCAGAGATATTCTTCGCGAATGAAACGCGACGTGTTCATAAAGACATCAAACAAACGTTATAACAATTTATCAACAAGTTTAACAATAACAAGGGAACGAGGGCCGATTGGTCAATTATTTGGTACCGGTACCTCGGTACCGGCCGCTACCGTCGATTTTTCCGGGGAAGCAACGGCCCCATAGGATTTCGTAGGACTTGAGGTAGAAGGATCTAAAGCAAAGATAGGTCTGGATATACAGTCGTAACCGCCAATTGTCCCCATTTTCCATCATGTCCTCAGGGACTCGCCGGGTATGGCGCTCGGCCTTCTTTTTCTGGCGGTAGAGGACGGCGTCCACCCTAAACCGTGGAAGATTATGGAAAAACTCGATTGAACGCACCTGTAACGTCCTGGAAGGTGTTTATTCTCGATATGGTGACGTGCATCGGCCTGGCCATTCACTTTAGCGGGGCAAAGGGCGCAATCCCATGCGGTGCCTAAAACAACAATTTTTCTACTAAAAAGTAAAACCGAAGAAACCTTGATTTACGCGGAGCGGCGGGGAAGCTCTTTTAGCTCTTTTTGGGGCTACGTAACGTGCGCAGACATGGGCGTATTTCTCGCGGAGCCCGTCGATTTCTAAAACCATAAATACAATCGAGAGAATGATCGTACCGTCGATATCGTGGGGTTCGGCTTCATCGGCGACTTTTTCGAGATCCGCCGTAAGATCACAGACATCTTGGTCTTGGTCCACTGGTCCACATGGGGCACAGAGGGCCGAAGCCCGGGGCGACGCCGCGCCCGAAACACCATCCAACTGCAAATAGAATGAAATTAGAGTGCCAAAAATAAAAAATTACCTCCTCCTCCTCAATCCGCACCTCGTCGGGCGGCAGGTGCTGGGGGGTGCCCTAGAAAACAAATCAATGAGCATGATTCGGGCAGTTTCGATTAAAGAACTACCAATAGTAAGAAAACTTATATTATATGAAAATTGGTCATTTTTTGATCAAAATTTAGAATCTATGAAAAATCGTCAAATATATCAAAGTTTCTAAGTTCTTTAGAATTTTTTATAGCTGTTTAGCTACAGGAAATGCGACAAATATAAAAGCAACTAAAAACGCTATTTGGTTACTAGGCGTGTACCGCTTCGACGCAAAAAATGGTTTTGCTCTCCCGACAATGATCCGGCACCAGAATACCTTGAAAGTGGCAATAAAACTGGCTTTAGAAACCCTTGAAAAACAACCTGCAGGGCCGACCACGTCGGGGAGGCGGCGAAGCCGGCGAAAATCTGAAAATCAAATATATTTAGATTTTTAAGGGTTGAAACCTTGGCATGGCCGACCATGTACTCCTGGCAGGAGTAGAGGCGGGTCCTCTTGGGTGGTGGCGGTGGCGCGCCCAGGTCGGGATCCTGAAAATTCAAGGTGAAAAAACTTCCAAACACTACCTGCAGGACTAGCCAGGTCTTGCCTTCGCTCTCAACCGTCGAGTAGGCGTGTGGGGTTTCCATCACTAAAATAAGGTAATCATAAAACCCGACTTTTTACAATTGCTAAAGAGGAATTTACAGAAAATAATCACTAGTTTCCCATTCGCATCCCACCTGACCGTCATTAGGAAAGTTCTACGGTAAAAATTCAAGAATTGCAATTTGGCGAACTTTAGCGTGGGTTAATAGTTACTTTTATTTATATAAATGTTCTACATTACACTGTTTTCAACTTTTTGACGTTAGATATTTGAGTCTGCTGCATGTGTTTTGCCAATTGCAGAAATGGGATGGAATTTTTCTTGGCGACGTGTTTCTTTAGTGTAAATCTATGGTATTTGTTATTATGACGTGTTTTTTTATTAAAAAATAGAAAGATTTAGCGCCTTTCGCTGCTTTCCAATGGGACCTCGTCGAGAAAGGCGTCGTGGCGCACATCCCTTTTGTAAAATAGGAAAGTGAGGACCAATAAGAACATCCCCAGGGTTATCTGGAAGTGTTTTTGTCTGTTTGATGTCTACAGGGTGTCCCAAAAAAAAAACCCCTCCTCGACATTTGGCCGTCTTCTATCCCATCGGGACCAAACTTTTACCAGCGCTGGGGACCCATAAAAACTATGTGCAGCCGAATTTTCTAAGCAAAATACTCTAAAACAAAAAGTTATCGCTAAAAAACTGATTTTTGGGAAACGCTAGTACCGATTTTTCGCTATGTTTTCGCAATTAGCATGCCGATTTTGAGTAATTTTTCCAAAAATCGTCATTTTCGGGTCCGTTTCTGTTCGTTTTGATAATAAAAATTGATGAGAAGTCCCGATTTGACGTAATTTTTGTAAATCAAAAAATTCCTCCGGGTGGAAAAAAGTGCCCTCTTCATTTTTGCTAAACATTTCGAGGCCCTAATCCATCAAAATCCTAGTGAAATCGGCAAAATAAACCTTAATTTCAGAATAACTTTTTCGTCTTACAATATTTTGCTTCGAAAATTCGGCTGCACATAGTTTTTATGGGTCCCCATCACTGGTAAAAATTTGGCCCCGATCCGATAGAAGACGGCCAAATTCCGAGGGGGGGGTGTTTTTTTTTGGGACACCCTGTATAAGCCTTACCGGCACTAAAATTGACCCGTAGAGCAAGGATTTATACGATTCTTTAGGCGAAGGACAGTGAAAACGCGCGTAATCCCAAGGCCGAACAGGTAGAAGATTCAACTTTTGGATTTCGGGCAGGAAGCTTTTCCTGAAAAGCTTTATTATCTACGTGTTTAGTTATAAAAATTTCTGAAGAACTTTTCTAATAGTTTTCTTTCGATGTAACATTTGTAGAAACACTTTTTTCAACGTTCAGCTCTACACTCTAAATTTTAACTTGCCAAAAATAATATTCCTCGAGAAAAAACGATTCTTGCGTAACATGTGCGTTTATAATTCGATTCATTATTGGATTTGTTGCTTTGAAAGCTTGCAACTGTTGAATGGACCTAAAACGGTGTTATTTAGAGCCCTAGAGAGGCTCGGGATTACCCATTTTTAGCAAAATCGGCGATAACATTCAGGACCGGGCCGTCGAAAAGGCCCGCCGCGTCCAAATTCGTAAAGTTTTCCGCCTCTAAGTTAACTTGTTGTTTGTATAAGCAGCCTAATACCTCCGCTTTTTGGATTATAATCTTTTAACGTTACATAGACCCGCGAGTTATTGGAATAATATAGGGCATCCTGATGAGAATCGGCCAAGGCTTTACCTAAAGCTTGTAGTTTACTCTTGTTCGTTAGTTCTTTTACCAATGATTAAACGCGATAAGCTGCTTACTGCTGCATCGCCAGTACGATTATTTGGAGGTAGGTATCTCAATGGTTTTGATAGTTTAATGTAATACCGAACTACCTTTGTCTTAGTAGTTTTCTGAGCACATTTGCTGAGGGCGTGCCTCGTGATATCGTCGAATCAATTAGCGTTTCTAGCGATACCTTTTCTACTAAAAGGCTTTGGTTTTGAACTTTTAGAGCCATTCTTACGATAATCTTTTGCCAATTCGTGCCCTTCTCGTGTGGATGCAAGAATTAGAAGCGGCGGAGGTTTCCAGCTGTATTTTTGCTTTTTTAACTTATAGTTTGTACTTTAAAGCTTGATTAAGTGTCTCGTGGGCTTCATTTCGGATAAATTCATCCGGAACCGGGGTTAGAATCGTGAATCCCATCGCCATTAACTCATGGTATTTCTGAATATAAAATTTTAAGGGTATTTTAGGTATTTTCAAGATGTTTAGAATAGTATACGCTAAAAAAAACATACGCTTAACATTTCCCCATGCCGCAACTCGTCGTGAATTAGTTGAACGGCTTCTTGAAAGCATGTAGGTGGTGCCTGGGTTTGGAAAATTATAGAAAGGCCCAGAAAATTACCTTTTTCATGCATTCCTTGACTTCTAGGGCCGTAGTCTCCGTGCAATTGCAATACGTGATAATTATCGCCGAGTTTATTTCCTAAATTTTAGCTTTTAGAGGCCCTTCCGGATCAAAATTTTCACGCAAACTGACCGTGCTCTGGGGCCGCATTGTTCGCGCGGCAGTTGGTGAGCCGGAGATGAAGATGAACTTAGAAAAATGGCCTAATTTTAAGCTTTGAATTTTCCGAATCGTTCTACCGGTTGCGCGTTTGCTTCCGGAAATCAGCCCGGCCATCCCGGCGCCCTCGCCCTCACCGACTAGCACGATATTTTCGGGGTCGCCCCCAAAATGGAGCGCATTTTTCTAGAAAATTTTTGGCGGGCTTTTTTGAAGTTTACATGTATAAATTTCAGACCGAGCAGCACGTCTTCTAGTCCGAAATTGCCCGGGAAATGGCGGTTTCGCATTGAGAGGAAGCCTGGTATAGGGAAATATGATAATTGAACGCTAAAGTATCGGGATTACCTTGATAAAATTTGTTTAGGCTTTTGTTAAAGAGAAAGTTTATAGTTTTTTGCTAGTAATACAAAAAAATTAGGCTTTTGGGCTAAAATCTTCGTTTAAATTATTATATTGGACTTAGCAAATAAACAAGTAGTAGTATAATTACTCTTACAATACGAAAATCGATGGTTTCGTCGGTACGAAATTTTGTAAAAATTGGTTTTTTTATATAAACGCGTAAGTGTGGCTTGTTATAAATCACTTTAGCCTTAATCAATGGAAACGCTATCAGCCAACCTTTATTCCCCAATCGATAATTCGCAAAAACCGTGATCAGTTTTCGAGTTGAGAAATTTTTGATGACATCGGTGGTGTTATAATTGTGCTTTCCGCCTGTCTAAAAATAATTTTAAACGTGTTTGAAGATTTTAGAATATTCTCTACCAAAAACGAGCCACCATGGATCCAGAATAAAATTGGCAGCGGCTCGGGGAGTCTCTAAATTTAATTTAAAGTTTATTGTAACGAATTGTTCCAAACTCTTCGTTTTTTATCAAGTGGTATCACAATTTTAAGGTGCAGGCAGTCTTCCGATTCGTGGGGAAGCTTTTTTAGGAGGTGCTAAAAAGAGCTTCAGGAATTATGGTAGAAATCCTACGCCTGGGTACTGGATACAACTCGTTTCTTGGGTAGCGTCGCGTACTGTTTCCCAGTTTTCCGGCTCTTTCGGAGGCTAAAATTCGTTTCAATAATTTGTAGAATTTTCAACACGGACCCACCTCGAATCTGAGCTCTCCAATTGGGGCCCTGGCATACGGGACCGAGATGTAGATTTCGGCCTGTTGCCCGGAAGCCTAGAACTTTCGCATTATCGGGGGGGGGGTATCAGGAAGTAACCAACTTGTTTTACTATTCATCCTTTGATAGTTTTAATAAACTTAAATAGAGGAAATGTGTCTACATTTTTGGTTCAACCCTCCCCCCGATAATGTACAAGCACCTCTACCTCGGCATATTCACCCCTTATCGATCCATATTCGGTATTTGCTGTCGGCCATTTTGCGGTAGCGATCGGGCATAATAAAAGAAAAATTAGAATCTGGATCATCGGGTTTTCATCTGGGCTGAAATTGACCGATAAACACAAGCAGTAAAATTATTTTAAAGGGCAGATGAAGGAAAAGACTTAAAAAAATAAAATGAGGATTAAAACACTAAAGGAGCTCCAGTTTTGCAGAAACTCTTTACGACCCTCCACGAAAAGAAATTATGAGCCGCCGGGATTAGTGGGTGCGCATAAATCGCGTTTTTTCGGGGCCCAAGGTGTCCCGACGGGAAGATGGAAGACCGAACAGGGATTGGAGAGCGGGTTTTTCTTTTGCTTTTTCTTCAGAAAATTCTTGGGATTTCTAGACAAAGTCTAGCCGGTGAATGATTATTTTAAAATAGAGAGAGCGAGAGAAAGAGAGAGATAGATAGGGAGCGAGATAGGGAGAGAGAGAGAGAGAGAGAGAGAGAGAGAGAGAGAGACAGAGAGAGACAGAAACAGAGACAGCGAGGAGAACGAGTGAGGCGAGAGATTGTGAGTGCGAGAGAGAGAGAGCGAGAGAGTGAGAGATACTCAATACAAAAATTTATTCAATTTTTCGTCAGCACATGGGGTCAATGTTGCTCCAAAATTAAAACCTATGCGGGGGGGGGGGGGAGTGAGGGTAAATCCATCAACTGGACGATTAGGGATCGGGTCCCGGGGACCTGCACGGATTGATCTATCGCCGCCAGGTGACACGTTTGAGCAAGACGTCTTGAGGAGGAGGAGAAGGAGCACATCGCTCGCTCGTCACAGGGATTATGAAGCAAGAATCGACCCCCTACTATGTTGGGTCTCGACAGTTACGTGATACACCAATCATCATCATCTGCTATTTTTTTGTACATGAATTTTTTATGTCGTTTTGTGTATTTTTTACGTTTGATCCATCAGCTGCGATCTCCCCCATTTCCCGCCCTACTTTTTATTTCATACATAAAAGCAAAATATACAATCGCAACACTACACGTAAATTCAGAGAATTTCAGGGAAAAATGGCAAGAAGCAGATGCAGACTCGGCCAAATTACATAGAGCAACAAAATACTGGCAAATTAAAATAGGTAAAAAAGCAAAATATACAGGTCCTGGCTAGCAGAGCTGGGCGTACGGGTGCATAGGGCGGGAAGTTGTTTTTTGGGGTTTTCAAAATTTTATGATTTTTTTGGGTTTTGAAGGTTTATAATTTTTTTAGGATTTTTTGTTTTGTAAAAAATCAAATATCGTGAAAAAGGCGAGAGAGACCGAGAGCGAGAGCGAGAGAGAGAGAGAGAGAGAGAGAGAGAGAGAGAGAGAGAGAGAGAGATATCGCGAAATCTCAACAAAATCTTGAAAAACTGTATAAAGGGAGCCTGGAAGGTAGGTTTTTCGGGTTATTTTCCAAATCCAAATCCAAGTTTTCTTCCAGGCCCCTTTAGGCTTAGGCTTAGGCTTAGGCTTGGGCTTAGGCTTAGCTTGGGCTTAGCCGGGGGTTGACCAGTAACGCGCAAGGCCGAGGCCAGCGGTTGGGGGGGTGGGGTGGGGAAAAGGGACGGTAGGGGCGGGCGGGGTATGGAATTTAATTTAAAAGGAATGAACCCCAATGTGCCTTGCCCCTACCGTACCCCTTGCGGAGGCGGCGCACTAATGGCGCCTGACGCCTCTAAATTGGGGAAAGCCTGTCACTACCAAAAATTCCTTTTTGAATTTCTTGGGTGAGAACAGGCTACAATTCAAAAATCCCTCTTAAAAATACAACTCAGCTTTAGTATCAGGTATAGGTATACGAGATACTATATCTTCTTTCCACGCTTTTTTGTAAAGACGAGCTGGATCTCGTACTCGCAGATGAGGGCGGATACCTTGGCGTTTTGCCAAAACTCAAGGTATTCCAGGATTGCCGGCGCGACTTTCTCTCTGAAATTTCATAGTAATTGTAGGCAAAAACGGATTATTATAGCTGAAATGGGTGCTTTTGTATTATCAGGGGGGATGAATTTCATTAATTTCGCTAAATTTTACCCTAGTGTCCGATTTTTCTAGTCAAAGAATGTTCCACACTGTTTTTTATCCTGATTTTAATTTTTTCTAGTTTTTAAAAACGCACCAATTGTCGAACAAAAATGGCCGATTTTCGACCAAATTTAAAAATTATTTAATTAATAAACATAATTTTAATTTTTCAAAGATTGTTTCCAAACTGGAAATAAACCTAAATTTTACTAAAAATTATTGCAACCTTTACTATCATGTTACTAGGCATTTCTAAACTTTTACAAAAAATTTCGGTTCACCCTTTCCCCGAGCACTACGCGACGCTACGCTTCCCCCGATAATGCCCAAGTACCTATGTACGCTACGGTAGATTAAATTCAAGACGTAAATTTGATTCATATATCGTTGCGTTACTTACTCAAAATGATCGGCTTCCTTCTTCGTGGCTTCCCTTGATTTCCTCTGTGCCTCTTTGTTTTGTCGCTTGCGCCTTTCCGGGTCCGGATCCTTCTGGTAAGTCGTCTTCGCACCTAAAGCTCATTTTTGCACCGTAACCAAGAGCATGATCGTCGTGAGCATCTAAAAACTCACGGGCCTCCCTGTTACTGGGCTGCAATTTCTCTTGTGCCTTCAACAGCACGGCTACGTCGAGCCAAACCGCATCAGACAAACGCAGTTCTTGCAAGGCGGTTACAAAGAGACTAAAATATGTTTTTATACTTTTAAAATCTCGTGCTCACCGCCGATTGACCTCCTTGCTCCTCTTCTTCCCGGCATAGCGCTTCTGCGTCTCCTTAGTCCGGGCTTGCTTGACCGTTTCGGTTCCTTTCGGCTCGGGCGAAGGGTATTTCTGCGGCCTTCCGCGTTCTAAAATTTTGTTCTTTCATTTTCTTCATTGTTCTAGCGTTTTCTTTGGCTCTAAATGGTTCTTGGTATATTTTTTTACAAGCAGTTGCAAAGCTTTACTTTTTTTCTGGGGCGGAGACGGTTGTGGCGTGTTTGCGATCACATCGACTTCCTGGAAAAGCTCATCTTGATCGAGGGTTTCTTCAAATATCGAAAGAAAATATTGATTCTGAAGCTCATGCCTAAGCCAAGCCTAAGCCAAGCCTAAGCTATGCCTAAGCCAAGCCTAAGCCAATCCTAAGCCAAGCCTAAGCTATGCCTAAGCCAAGCCTAAGCCGAGCTTAAGCCTAAGCCTAAGCCTAAGCGCAAGCCTAAGCCTACTCCAAAAACTGGAAAAACTAAAGACTAAAGCTAAGCCTAACAAGAAGTCGAAGCCTAAACCTCTGCTTACCTTTTTTTGGATGTAGCGTGGGAATGGCTCGTATTCCTCAATGCCGCCAGCGAGGCTTTGGATTTGCGTGGGAGATACGCATGGAGGAGACCTTAAAACGTATTTCTGAGGTATTCTGAATTCCCAAAGCATATATAAAGCCATTTTTGAATTAATCTTTTTCAAAGTTTTTAAATCAAGGTATAAGCCAAAAACCCACAGTGGTGGCGAAGAAGTCGGCGAAGGCGTGCGGGACGAGTTCATTCCCATGTACCCGTCGCTGACGTGGTACAGGCCGGGGTTGCCCGGCGCAGTTGGAGGCCATACTTGGCCATTAGCAGCATGGCCATATCCATAACCCTGATTTTGAGCAATTTGATGTCCGCCCAGGCTTCCCTCAACAGGCCCAGTTTCGTGCTGGGACTGCGTCCTAAAAATTCAGATTAAGATGGGTTGGATAATGCCGGAAATCGAGAAACTCGATGGTTTTCATGCTCTCTCTCTCTGTCTGTCTCTCTGTCTCTCTCTCTCTCTCTCTCGACTTACATCGGGGCCTGGGCTTGAGCATCGCCGGCAGCCTGATGCAGTTCAATATCATCGTCGTCGCAGCTAAATTTCATTGTTCCAAGTGAATTCAGATATTTGCTTACATGCCGTGCGCGTCGAGGTCGCTTTTTTCGATGCTGCAAAAGATGTAGATGGTTTTGAGATCAAATTAAGGTCTTACTTTTCCCACCACTCTACCGCCTTGATGACCGACGTCTCATCGACGCTGAAAATTCATAGTTTTTAGGGATTTTTAGGTTTTAGCGCTAGTTTTATAGAGAGAGAGCGAGAGGGAGAGAGAGATAGAGAGAGCGAGCGAGAGAGAGACCGAGAGAGAAACTGAAGGATAGCGAGAGAGATCAAGCGAGGGAGAGAGTGAGCGAGAGTAAAAAAAACATACTCCAACTTCTGGTCCGCCTCCTCGTCGGCCCCTTGCTTTTGGATCACTTGTTGTTCCACTCCATTGAAACCCTGGCGCATCATTTTTTGCGCCGGAGAAACGCAATTTCCGGAGATCATGGGGTCAGTTTCCTAACAAAAAAAAGGTTGAAGCGCTATAAGCCTCAACATACCCCGGTGAACGGCGTGCTGACGTCGAGCTCGTCCTGGAGGTCCAGAACCCCGTCGATGATTTTTCTACAATCGGAATTGACGAAAAATTGCGGGTTTTTTTACCCGGCCAAGTCGTCAGAGACCTCGGCTTTGTTGTTGTGGTCAGCCGGGACAGCCCTAAAATCCTGGATTATTTTTGAAAGAGGGTTAAAAATTGTATAACTTTGTTAACGCTAATTAGCAACGAACCCCGGGTGGCCGAAGTTCGGCCCCATCCCGTGGTCGAATTGTTGAGGGGCCTAGGAAACTAGAATTCTAAAAAGTGGGGAACTTACCGTAGAAAAAGACGGCGGTCTGCCACCTTGATGCGCCAGTTGGGGCTTGGAGAGCCTGAAAAAAAGTTGCTCTGGCTTGGCTTGAGCATAAGCTGAGGCTTAGGCTTAGCTTAGGCTTAGCTTAAGCTTAGCTTAGGCTTAGATTAGACTTATATAGAAGGCTTTATCTGCTTTAAAAACTTACCCATTGGCCTCAATCCTAGGCATTCCGCCATCATCAATATACATATCTCGGACTCTAAAATAAAGCATTTACTAATCAGAATAAATCGATAAGTGCCTACCTATTGTTGAGCCCAAAATCAACATATTTGATATCATTCTCAAAGCCCGTATTTGGACTAAAATATATGTTGTATTCTTCTTATCAAACTAGTCACATACCTTTGAGGAGCTACAATTCGCCGGGGCGGCTCATTGTATTGCGGCCTGAAAATTATCATACTTCGAGCCTTGTTGGTGGAACTTACCCCGTTGGGACCTGACCAGTAGCGCGCAGTGCGGGATTGCCACTCTGAACGTGAATAAATATATCTTTTTTAGCTCTGCTAGATCAAGCGAAGCCGCGACACGCCACGTGTACGCAAGCGGATCTCCATGAAAAAGTCTTAATAATCGATTACACAATTCAATGGCAAGCGCGCGTTGCGTGTCGCGGTCCCGTCCAGTCTGGATTTTTGCCCAAAAGACAGCAATTTACGTTTCTTAAGTCTTAAGCCTATTAAGATCCTAAGATATGCTTGAGTCTTGGCCTAGCTTGACCCAAGCCAAGTCGCAGCTTAGCTTAAGTCTGCGCCGCAGCCAAGCCAGGCCAAGCTCGGGTAAACGAACTGTGCGTAGCCAGAGCTAACTTGAGATTTGTAGTAAGTAGGGTTAAACCCTGGCTTAAGCTACTTAAAGTTTATGTGATGTTTCAAATGATTTGAATGTTTGAAAGTTTGAGAAGTGAAGTTTGAAAGGGGTAAGCCGCTGCACTTACGCGAATGCGCGGTTGTTGAAGCGCCAGGTGGTCGGGCGGTGGGTCATGGTCGGTGGAGCGCATGTTGGGCTAAAATTTGGAGTTCGTTTTTTTGTAATTCTGATTTTTTAGTTAGTTTTCTCTCACTCCAAAAATAGCCGATCAATCGATAATCGGCAAAAAACCCGCCGAGAAGCCTTGTAAAAAAACTTACAAAGATGTTGTCGCAATTTGTCTTCGCCAAGAAGAGACAAGCTGAAAAACCAAGTTTAAACCGGAAATAACGAGTTACGAGGGGTAAATTGAGAAGCACAAACAAAACTGGGAAGGGTCTTGGAAGGGGTGAGGGAGTGGGGAGAGTGAGGAGAGGGCAGAGAAACGAGAGGACAGGACCGGAAGAGGGGAGGGAGAGTGGGGCGAGAGAAGAGAGTGCAGAGAAGCGAGAGAGTGGGTAGAAGGTAGAGAGGGCAGAGAGACGAGACAGAGGAGCGGAAGAGGGGCTAGAGAGCGGGTAGAGGGAAGAGATCCGAGAGAAGCGAGAGAGTGGGTCGAGGACAGAGAGTACGAGAGGTAGCCCCCCGGCCGGACCGCACTTCTAGAACCCCCGTTCGCAACGCATCCGCCGCAGCCCCGGATTTAACTCTGGTATAGCATTGTTTGGGACACGTCGTGTTAAGCGGAAGACTACAGACTACAAAGAGCCATTTAGAGGATCAAAAATTGAGCCGGAACCCGGAAAAATGGCTTCAAAAGGTCCGAGGGTTACGGTAGTCGGGTGAAAAGCGCGGTAATTCGTGGTGAACAAACTGGAGAATAGTGATATGAGAGAGGGTATGTTTAAAACTGTTTTTGATACCTCTGTGCTAAAAACGTCATGCGTTTTACATAAAAATTAAGAAAATGTCGATTTTTGACCGAAAATGGCGGACTTCTATTTGAAAATTGGCAGAATTGATTTGAGTCGATAAATGAAAAATTGACAAATTTTCTAAGGTTTTGAAAACAGTTGTTCCATACTGTTAGAGCATAAAAAGCTACGATTTTTGAAGATATGCAATTTCCCATCAAAAATTGGTAATCCACTTCCGGTTTTCCTTTGGGCTGGCCGGCTTAGTCTAGCTTGCTCCTATGCTATGGCTGAAGCTTTAGGCTTTACTTATTCTATCCTTGGCCTGGCTTGGCTCTTCTAAAAACTCGCTAACTTCTGCCGTGCAGGCAAACTTTAAAAATCTCCCTCGAGCAGCCATTTTTTTGTGCCGAATTTTTGTGAGGGTGATCCTTCTTTCGGTGGGTTGGAGGTGGTTTTGGAGGTGGAGGGGGCAGACGACGATGCCACGCCCCGCTTCTAGAAGCGTCGAGAAGCGGGTAGATGGGGACAAAAAAGCACATTTTGATTCAACTCGAGTATGGTTAGGAAAATGAAGAGTAGTGCGAGAGATAGAGAGGGAGAGATATAGGGAACGAGAGAGATAGAGAGCAAGGGCGCTGACAGAGAGAGCGTGAGAGAGAGAGAGGGAAAGAGAGAGAGAGAGAGAGAGAGAGAAAAGCACGAAAGTGACAAGGCCCTAAATTTTCATACTAGATGGGTGGAGTGATACCCGGCTCCAAAAATTAGACAGGTCCGCGCACGCATATCCCCCAACGGGGCACCATATGTGTCGCAGTCCGTCTCTTTTCGGCAATCAATCGGAGGGAGGTGAGAAAAGAGAGAGAGAGAGAGAGAGAGAGAGAGAGAGAGATAGAGAGAGAGAGACAAGAGAAGGAGAGCAACAGTTGCCTGAAACCGGCACGTTCGACAGTGCTACCCCAAACAAAAACCCTCAAAAAGAGCGTGTAATTGGCAATCGAGGCTCGCATCTCGTTTCCAAGCCCGGAACGGCTTTAAAGGGAGATTGAAGGTAATTAGGAACCTTAATGGGCTTAAACAGAATTTTATGATTTTTAATTAGACGAAAACCAAGCAGCCAAGCTAGCTAAGCGAAGCTGGCGAAGTCAAGCTAGTCGAGCCGGCTAAGCTAAGTAAGCTAGCTAAGCAAGTCCCAAAGAAAGCTAAGCTAAGCTACCTAACCTAAGATACGCTAGTTAAGCCAAGCCAGCTCAACCAAGCTAGGCAAGCCCCAGATCTTATCTGTCCCCCGGGAGATGCGCGACACGTCCTGCTAATGTGTGCGGTTGTAGTGGTCATATTTCACGCCCGGGCTCCCCGGCTGACACAAATACAACTTCAGAGCCAACTGCTGGTCGTTGGGTAGTGCCCGGGGTCTGGTTTGGGGGGGCATTGTGAAATCGGGCGAGTCGATACGGCTGAAGGGGTACTGTACCTGCGCCATCGGAGGGGTGCCTTCGTAAAAGCCGGGTTAGGATCGATAAGCCCCGAGAGCTGAACGTTAAAATTCATAATATGGCTTAAGATCTTAGCTTAGGCTTAGGCTTAGGCTTATACTCATGCTTAGGATAGGCTTAGCGTTAGGCTTAGGCTTTTAGGCTTAACTTATTCAGCACAGGCTTGACTCGTTTAGACTAATTAGCTTGCTTCGCTTGCTTAGTTTACTTATCTTGCTTAGGTTTAGGCTTAAGTTAGGCTTACGTAAAGCCTGGCATAAGCCCAACTTAAATATAGATTATAGCTCCCCCCTTGTTGTCGAGAAATGTCGACAGAAAAGCCTTTGTGGAAAATATGAGAGCGCACAAGTATGAATCACGAGGTGATAAGAGGTATCACTGAAGATGGACTAAATTTTGACGTGAAAGAATCGTAAGTTCACGGCAGACACTTGCTGAAGTATTTATTGTAAACTAACAGATCAGAAAACTACAAAATATGATCGAAAAGTTCTATGAAGAAGATGGTTAAGATATTGTTTAAAGGGATTTTTCAGAAAAAGGAGAAAACCGATAAAAAGGGCAATAAACGGTAGGAGGAGTTGAAGAAGAGTTGCTAAAAAATCGGGCAAGGTATGGTGATGGATTTTGCCGCGACGCGACACGCAACGCCGATACGTATTGGTGGAAATTTCGCGTCGGGTGTCGCAAACGCGGCGGATTTTTAAGAACTCTCCAGCGAAAAAAGGTATGGAATCGCGCAGAAAAGAGGAAAATCAGGCAACTATCACGAGGGGTTGAACTTCGACATGATCTGATAGATTTTTTTGTTGTTCTCGTTGTCACGGTGCAGCATGGCGACGAAGTTCTCGATTTCCATAATGTTCTCACTAAAACAGAACCGTTAATGAGAGCGAGAGAGAGAGAGAGAGAGAGAGAGAGAGAGAGAGAGAGAGAGAAAGCGATACCGAAGCCGAATAAAAACCCACTCGAACATCCTCATCTCCTCGTTGTCACGTTCGCGATTCCGGGTTTGAGCGGCTTTGCCTTGATCTCGACGACGATCATCCCGTTCCTCAGGGCGCCCGAGTACGTATGACGCCTTTGATACTAAAAATTAAAGCTTTAGGATTCAGCTTATCTCCGAGGCCGGAATACCGACGGCTCAATTGCCTAAATGAAAATACCGACAAAAAACGAACAAGTCTGTAAGTTGCGAAGTGCGGAGTGCGATTACAAATTCGAAAACCTGCATTTTGGATGTCGGTATTTTTTGTCGGGCTTTTGGATCCTTTAGCTAAAAAATCTTATAAAACTTACCAGCCGTTCGAAAACCCGGTTGGTGACTTCGCTGACGAATCAGCAGCTCCTTCAAGTCTTCATAAACCCGAGGAATCGAGTGATTCTCCGGGTTCTCCAACTTTTCCGTGTCGTACAGATTGGACTTGTTGAGTCTCGGGGGTGTGGGAGTCGGCTCGGCAATTTTGGCTCCGATGGTGTGCTGCTTGGCGGGTTTCATGTTGTCGTGCGCCTCGACGACGGCGGCCAGCATGTCGATGATGAAGTCGCTGAAGATGAACTTGGCGAAAGGTTTGAGCAACACCTACCGCTTGACCTTCTTGCTGGCCGCCTTCTTGACGCGGTGGCGGGAGTTGGCTTGGCGGATGGAGGCCTTTTTCAAGGTCTCGCCAGGGAGGAGATGAACGGTGTGGATACGAGGACGACCGGCGCCTGGAAGGAGGTCATTCATTATGCCAAGCCTAAGCTAAGCCTGGTCGGAGCCTAAGCTAAGCCTAATCTAAACCTAAACTAAGCCTAAGCTAAGCGTAAGTCCAAACCAAGTCCAAACTAAGCCAAGCAAGCTTAAACGCATTCCTACCTTTGCGCGCCGGACCGGGAGCCGAGTGACCTTCAGGCGGTTGGGCGAACTGCTCGCTGACGTTGACGGCGACTTCGACGTTGTAGATGTGAGGGGTGTGGTTGACGACGTGGCCGACGGGGTCAACAACTTCCTCATGATGGACACCAGGCACGGTGTCGAATACCGCGCCGGCAAGTTCGACCGGGGTGATGCTTAGTAGGTGCATCGGACGGTCGCTGGTGTTGCGGAAGACGCAGTCGGTGTTGGGAGGAATGACGTAGCCGTTAACGGGGTGGTTGGATGGTGGTAGATGACCCCCAAGAGGTCGATGGTCGGCGTACCGTTGAAATGCTTCGAAGCCGCCGCCATCCTGAACTGCTTGCTGAAGCGGCTTGGCGTCATCGAGGTCCTCGGGGGCGACGTTGAGCTCGGGAAAGTGGTCGTCGGGCTCGAAGTCGTAGGCGGAGAGGTAGGGGTCCTAAAAACGAGGCCAATGAACTTGCTGAAATTGAGGGGCGCTTACCTCGAGGGCAGTTTGGAAGGGTTGCCCCGTACGGTAGTCGGGGTCCCTCAACAGCGCGCTTTCCGACGTCGGCGAGAAGTTTGGAGGGCTTCTGAAAAGCCTTTTAAAGGGATTGACATGGTAATAAAAAACAAGGTCCTAAACTTTTGCTTCAAAATGACATTCGTAGCTTTTTGACTACACTACGCGCCTATGTACGCTAGATTTCTATGACCTCAGGACCCTCAGAAAAATTCCTTGCCTGGTTCCTGAGCTCGAGGTGTCGCTCCAGGCCCTGCTCGGGTCGTTGAAGTCGACCTTGACCATGTCGGTGAGCACCGGCGCGTCGTCGAACGAGTTCCCCTCGTCCCTAAAAACGTTTATTCCTTGCAGAAATCAAGAAAATTACAGTATCTCCAACTCTCCGGACTCGTCGCCACTACCATATCGGGACCCGAACTCAAACTCGCCTCTGGAAGTTGTAGTTTGTAGTTAAAATTCGTTAAAAATTCCAAACATTTAAAATTTGGTCTTATTACCCTAAGCGCTCAGGCTTGGCTTAGAATAATCCGCCGTCGGCTTAGCGTAGGCTTAGCTTAGGTTTGGCTTAGCTTAGGCTTAGCTTGTGCTTACCTTCGGTCCTTAGGCTTATCTTAGGCTTAGCCTAGACTTAGCTTAAGTTTAGCTTAGGCTTATATTAGTTAGCTAACTTAGGTATAGGCTTGGGGTTCGGTAACTTACCGAGGCAGCCGAGGAGGCTTATGCTTACTTGCCATAAGTTGGTCTAGACAAATTTGATAACTGGGGTTGTCGAAGGAGCGGCAAACGCGAAAATCCCGACAGTCAAATGCAGACAACCGTGATGCCGACAGGCCAAAATCCTGGCAGCCACGATACACCACCACAACCACCTACCTAAGCCGAGATCTCCCGTTTAACACCAAATGATTAGATCCCAGGGGCATTTTTTAGCTTTCCGGGATGGGGGGACATTCAACGAAATGAGGGAAGCAGTCCCGTGCCGCCTGCGAATTTCTACTGCAGAGACAAAGTGAGTGTGCGGTGTGCGTCAATCACAGGGGTTACGGTGGTGGCCCTTGCCCAGGGTCATAATTGGGGTATTGTTTTCGTGAATGCGGATTGGATTTCATCATGCTGTACTAATCATCTACCGTACCTGCCGAAATTCGGCTGCTCGCCCCCGCTGCCAATCATCGGATCGCCGGCGCTGATCAGGCCATTTTGGGGGGTTGTTGGCCTGAAAAATTATGGCATTTTAGGTGAATTTATAGGAATGTAGCTTGGACTGAGCATAGGCTTAGTTTAGGCTTGGGCTTTGAAAACAATGTTCTATATACAGGGTGTCCCAAAAAAAACGAACCATCTGGCATTTCGCCGTGTTACATCCAATCGGCCCGAAAATTGGACCAGAGGTGTATCAGACCCTAAATAACAACAATCCTGACTTATAGCCCTGTAGCTACAGTAGTTCTAGAGTTATGGCAAAAACAAACCTTAGTTTCTATTTTTCATAGGGTTTTCGTGGAATTAGACCCCCTAAACATTAAGTGAAAATGATCCGGAAGGCCTTCTTTACCTTAAGAAATTTTTTCCAGAGTAAAATGAATTAAATAAGCTTTGATTTAAGCGATTTTACAACGCGAAATTACCCAAGTTCTTAAGCGAAATTAGGGATTCGCAGCCGGAAGTCGATGCAAATCGATGCAAAGTCCAAAAACATAGCCGGAAAAACTGTTCAGACTTCAGGGAAAATCAGTAATTTCCTTATAACTCGAGAACGACTGTAGCTACAGGGCTATAAGTCAGGATTGTTGTTATTTAGGGTCTGATACACCTCTGGTCCAATTTTCGGGCCGATTGGATGTAACACGGCGAAATGCCAGATGGTTCGTTTTTTTTGGGACACCCTGTAGTTTATAGCATATAGTCAGGCCCGCTGGCATCGGTCCAAACACTATGCCTATTATTGTTTATACAAACGGTAACCTGACCCCAACACTATGACAACTTTCAGGACTTTACGTCCACGTAAATTTCGCTTTAATTTAACACCTACCACTCGTTTCCAGGTTCATTTTCATCGCCGGCATCGGGTAGACGCCATCCTTCACGGGCCGAAGCCCTAAATTCGACTTTCTGTTAATAACCGAGCCTCACCATTGACCAGTAGAACGCAAATGTCCGGCGGGGGTCTGAAAAATTTTTTTGAACCTTTGAATTTCATCCTACAAAACTATGCTAAAAAACTTACAGACAAGGCGCCCCCATTCTCAAGGTGGTAGTTGTCATACCTGGAAATGAGAATTAAAGGGGCTGTAACGCCAAAATTTGGTTTTTCGTTATGAATTTCGAGCGCTGACTGCTGACTTCAACCCTCAAAAGCCTTCAAAAAAGCCAAGATAAGCAGACTTAAAGCCATGTCAGAACTGAATATGGCATCTAAAGAATTCACGTCACTGAGGTACGCAACGGAACGCGCAACGCGTCGAAATTTTTAGAAAATCCGCGACCGAAAAAACGATACTACGCCTTATACGGCCCTTTAAAAAACGTGAAAACCCACATCTCGGCAATCTTCTCCTTTCTTCAGCTGATCTCTTCAAACGAGCGCTGCAAAAAGCGTTTGATTTTTTTGTAAATTCGCAAAAAATTGAGTAAGCGGAGACTTTATATAGCGACAAGGATACGTTGTCGTTTCGGGAAATATTTCCCACTGAATCAGCGTGACTCAAAAATGGCCCCGGTTGGGACAATTGTTAGGGGGCTCAAAACTGTTTTCGCACAGGGTTTGCAAAAGTGGTCTTTGATCTCGGGAAAAAAATGGAGGGTTACGAAACGGAACGGAACCTTTAGAATGAATAGAAACTAAGGAAAAACAGAAGCGAGAGAGAGGGCGCGAGAGAGAGAGAGTGAGAGAGAGAAAAGAACTCAGGAATGAATAAGTCATCGAAGTAAATAAAAGTCTCGGCATGAGAAAAACGCACCGGTATTTAGAAGGCAGAAGGTCAGGCAAACAAGAAGAGAGACAGAGAGAGAGAGAGAGAGAGAGAGGGGAGAGAGAGAGGGGAGAGAGGGAGAGAGAGACACATGCAAGGAGCGAGAAACAGAGATAACACGCTACTTAAGGCAAAAGAAGCCCCCCCCCCAAGGGGTTGCCTGCCAAAAATGCAAAAAAGATTCGATGGAAGAGCGCGCGTGAGAGTGACACACATAGAGAGAGAGGGGGGGGGGAGAGAGAGAGAGAACGAATCGAAGAAAGTGAAACAGTCCGCAACCGAGGAGTGAGGCCCAAAAACCGAAGGGAACGCAGCATGGCGAAATTCTAAAAGGGAAACCGTGGAAAAACTGTTGCGAACTCCTCAATGATTGCCATGCCGCGTTCCAAGGCCATTCCCCTGCCCGAAAGAGAACCCCGAAAAAAACAGCTGGGAACGGAGGGAGGAAGAGGTGGCCCAATGGCCAGCCGACCCGTCGAGTTGATGCTGTTTACGTCGGGCTCTCTCTCTCTTTTTCTCTTTCTCTCTCTCTCTCTCTCGGCCTTCCCTGTGCGAAGGCGCCCTGCAAAAAGACCCTCCACCACAAAGCAACATTTCCAGGGCAGGAGCAAGAAAGACCATCAATCCATCCGGGCCTGAGTTTTGAGCCCTAGGCAGAACTGTTGTTAAGAAAAACCAAAACAGGTACCAACTGTTTGGAAACCTAAGCTACGTCTAAGCAGATCCTAAGCAAGCCTAAGCAAGTCTACGCTAAGCCTAAGTTAAGTCTAAGCTAAGCCTAAGCTAAGCCTAAGCTATGCCTAAGCTAAGCTTAGGCTAAGTCTAAACTAAACCTAGGCTAACCTTAAACTTTGTGACGACCAAGCCGGAAGCTTCTTTGAACCGGAAAAATTAGGAAGTAAAGTCCGAAAGGAGGGAACCCTGGTTTGGCGGGAGAGTGGAGAGAGAGAGAGAGAGAGAGAGAGAGAGAGAGAGAAAGAGAGAAAGAAAGAGAGAAGGAGAGAGTTAGAAGGAGAGCGAAGGAGAAACTAGAAATTTTAAGATCAGGGAAATGGCGTGGAGCGGTCCTAGGGTGTGGATATTAACCCGATCCGGGTATCGCTAATATCCCAGCGGGGTACCATATGCGCCGGGGCGGCTCGATTCGACTGTGTAGAGAGAGAGAGAGAGGGAGGGAGAGAGCGAGAGAGAGGCGGCAACTGTTGCCCGAAACCGTCCCGGGCGGACAGTCACCCCAGAAACTTTCAAAAGGGGGTGTTTATGTAACTTCCATACCCTTTAGGGCAAAATTTACAACGTTTCAGGGAGATAGATAGTATAAAAAAAGGGTAAGCTAGAGTCGGCTTTTTTCCCGGGGCTGCCCCGGATGCATCTCGAAGTTTTTCATGTTTCCCTTTCAACCTGGCGCACCTACCCCAGCGCGCCGGTCCAATTATCGCGCCCGGCGATCCGGGCGAAAGTCACGCGCGTGAGGGACGGGGGGTGTTGCGGCAAGAGGATCGACAATGGACTCATAAGGGGATTTGGCTTCTCCCGTAAATATTTTACGATACCGCGGATGGGGGGCATTAGCCGGAGAGGACGGAAATGAAATGTTGCCTTGGCTATAGTGGGACCAAGAACAACCGTTGAGATCAGATCTCATTCAGAATCGGCAAAAGCCCAACCGGAAACGCTACACTTAAAATTCGAGGCCTCCAGGGAAGAGGGAGCGGAGCCGCTTTTTGCGGATCCCAGTTTTATGCTAAAAATGCCAGTTTAAAGCCGATTAGTTGGATCGCGGTTAGCAAGGTAACAAAGACACGCTCTCTCTCTCTCTCTCTCTCTCTCTCTCTCTCTCTCCGCTGGCACGTGCAAGCGCTTTCAACTGGCCGCGGGGGATAAGGGTGCCATCCTGACACCTCTAGTTGTATCCCCAACCGATTAGGATCCTCTAACCCCTTTGTCTGTGACACATTGATCCCCTGGGGCGACAAACACTCGACCCCGTCACAATGGCACTGTGTTCCTTAGATATTACACATCTTGGTGGTCTGGATGGGTTGCGCAAATACCTTCGTGTGGCCGCACCTTTTTTGTGCTGCCAAGGTGTCCCACGAAACTTTAAAGGGACCGGCTGTAATGGGAAACTGCCAAAATTCACATAATTAATTTTGGCAACATACAAAAATACCGACAAGCCGGAAAACCGCCTTTTGTCGTGCCTATACTTATTCCGGTTGACTTTTTCGCCGCTTTTTGCCTCTAAATTGCCTGGGTTTTTTTAAAATGTTGTATTTTCTGCGGAAAAACGCGCTGCGTTGCATGCCGTAGAAAATTCTTAGACAAAAATTCCGTCGCTCTGCCTTATCAGTTTCTTAGGGGCTAAACCAGCCAATGATTTTAGCTTGTGTATGTGCTACTTCTATCCCCTCATCCGCTTATCTGTTCCTCCAGTGGGCTCACTTACGCGTTGAAATCGGGAATGAAGCATCGTATGCGGCGCCTTATGCAATTTTTCAGCACGGTAATATATAGTGAGGAATTTCGACTACGGCTTCTGCTTTCTGAGTTTATTGCTTGGAAAGAGCGGCTCCAGGGGGGTTGCATCTCCTGAGATTCCTGGGCTGTCCATCCCTCCGAGTTCTCTCTGCTCCTTCACCCGCAGCCGAAGATACCCAATTTTTTTCATATTTTAACTATTTTACTGGATTTTTCATGCCATTCGGTAGAGCAAGAAAAATTATCCTAAGCGCAAGATTTTCAGCACAAAATAACTTTCTATAAATTTGTTATGCATTCAATAGGTTTTAACCTTGGTTGTCAAATGGGAAAATATAGTGATTGTCGAAATTTTCAGTATTTTTCGGTTCTCTTAAGCACCATTAGATGATTATTAGAAGGAATTGGATAAACACAGCGTTTGAATTTCAGAACTACCCGGTTTTAATGCGTTTTTATCCAGGTTTGATTTCTAAAGTTTATTTCAAAGTATCCAATGTCATACAAGCATTAAATGTCATAAATTGGCCATTTGTTAGCAAAAACGGCATAAAACACAATTCAGGGGTAAGTATAAGACTATATAGAAATTGGGAAACTATTGCACATTTCAAAGCGTCTTAATTTTCAAAAGCGGTGTCATATCAATCTGTGGTCAGTGAATCTAGGGTTTTCTTGATGAAACCAGCTCTTTTCTCGATGTCCGCAGCGGTATCCTTGTCGGCGTTTAGCTCCGTGTTCTTCGTTAAAGCCAGTTTTGCAACCAGTAGCTGAATCTTCTTTAAATCCAGTTTTTTAGCCAGTAGCTGAGCCTTCCTGAAAAAGAGCGCTTTGAAGTATGATATATTGATCTGTTTCGGGGCCTCGTTCCACCCCCAGCGCGAGGGTCTCAAAATTGTCGATACTTTCGCTATTATCGGGATTTTTTGACGCTATTCGAAAGCGCAGCGAAAACTATACTAACTGTTTTAATCACAATCCAAAATCAGGAAATACAGGGTGTCCCAATAAAAAAGGTCACGCTGACATTTTGTCATTTCAAATCCGATCCAAATTGAAATTTTGCACAGAGGTGCAAAAGGGAATTTTAAATGTTCGCAGAAACTTTCAACCCGATCGGTACAGTAGTTTTTGAGTTATTGCAAAACTGCTGTTTTTCGCAAACTTTCGCTTCACTTTTTCGGTTATCTTTTTTATTTTAACGCAATTCACTTACTTAAAGGCACCCATTTTTGCCTTGTTTTTCTTGCGATTTTTGGCAACGTCCCGGGTGTTACGCAGTCTCTTTTGCTTCTTTTTTTCGTCGTCGCTAAGTCCGTCGACCTTCTTGCTTGGCTTAGCGCGTGGAGGATCATAAACCTAAGATACTTTTCATACGCGTTGTCAGCAAGTTCCCACCACCACATCCAGTTGCCCCAAAATTTCGCCGATTTCGGAAATTCCACGATACTCCTCGAGTCCTTGGAGCGCCACCGTGGTGCGGGACCTAAGCATTTCTTGCATTGGATCTGGTGGATTCAACCTACATTGCGAATTTCCTTTGATTTTTCTGCTTCGTGTAAGATCTTTGTCTGGAGAGTTCCGGCCCGCCCTGCCATGGAGCGCCGGGGCCTAGAAAAGAAAAATTGCGGCTATGATAGGTACCAGTTTTTTCTTGGCTCAACGCGTTGTGATGTTTTCGGTTCTTATACACTAGCAGGGGGGTTGCATCCAACTTTTTACCCTGAAATCCAGAAATGCCTAGACAGTAAGGATCGTAACTGTGTTTTCAGCGAAATGTAGCTATATTTCAAGTGCAAAACTATCCTAGAAGCCTCGGAAATTTTTAATTTTTAAATTTCAGTAAAATCGGCCATATTTTTTCGAAACACCGATTTTTTTTGTACGGCTTTAAATCGACGTTTGTCAGGTTTTACGTTTAAGAATATAAAAACCCTTTAGAATCGGTGCTCGTCTAGTTAAATTAACAAATCAGAAGGACGTTGGGCACCCCCCGTAAAGCACCGTAATGACCATGTAAAAACCCACGTTTGCGCGCAGCTGGGGATCCTTCCACGCTATTCGGCTGGTTGCTGAGGGTGCTCGCCATCGAATCGGGCGAATCGGCTACAGTATCCGGTTGGGCATAGTTGGCTGGCGGCGTCGTGAGCTGTGACTGCTGCATGCCGAGGTGGCTTGCATTCGACGAGGTATCTTTTGTTGAGCCAATCGTGTGATGGTCGAGGAATTCGGGTGTTGTCAGCTGGGGAGGCGATGCGTAGGGGTCGGTGAGATTGGTACAGGTCTTAGCCGAAACAGCGACAGTCGGTTGTGCATAGTACGCTGGCGACGCCGCCAGCTGCGACTTTTGAATGTCGCCGTAGTTTGCCTTGGGCGAGGCATTTGCATGATGATGGTGATGGTGGAATCCGGGCGTTACAGGAGGGGCCGCGGAAGCAACGGGCGGGGTAGCTTCGAACCATGTCTCAGACGAAACCGCGACAGTTTCCGTTTGCGCATAGTACGCCGGGGATCCCGTCAGCTGCAACTTTTGAATGTCGACGTAGTTTGCGTTCGGCGAGACATGCTTATCATGATGATGGTGGAATCCGGACGTGGCCAGGTGAGCACGGGAACCGTAGGACTGGGCTACATCGACCCACGTCTCCGACGCTGTATCGAACACCCATCTGCATTCCGAATTTGCATTGGTTTGATCATCTGCTAGGCTACGGATCGCCAGCGGAAACTCGGAGTCGAGCTCGCGGTCAGCCTTCTCGATCCACTGGCGCAAGGAGACCCTAAAAATTGTTTGTTAGTGGGGAGAAAGCCAGACACCAGCAGGTAAGCCTGAGCTTAGGCTCTTTATTTTTAGAAGATGGGATAAAGGCCGTTTTGCAAAATCAGACTTGTGCTTTTGCATTATCGGGGGGGTAGAGGCGGTACCAACTTTTTTCCTACGATCCAGTTTTTCTGCTACAAATACGTAAAAATTACAAAAATTATTTTTACTATTCCGAAGCGTCGAAAATTTGGAAATTTGTATACCAAAATACAAAAAAAATCGATTTTTCTATCAAAATGGGCGATTTTCGATCAAATTTTAGCCTTTGTTATTTTCGGTGGTTTTTCCAATCCAGGAAAAAATTGGTTCGCGCTCGGGATTTTGGGGAAAGAACCATTCTGATTAACATTCCGACTCACTTGTTTCCTTCTTGCTGACTGCGTGACATTCTTGATTCGGAGTATTGATATTGTTATAGAATCCGAATATTGATACTGATATGCCGGTGTGCCAGACGTCCGCCAGAGTTGCGCCTGAAAAATTCGTTCAAATTTAGGAACCGGAAAATACAACAAAAGTTGAGCTTACGACAGAGAATTGTTTACGGTAAGGGGAGAAAGGGAAAGGCGGACGGGAAAACAGAATGCGTGCCCGGAGAGGCGGGAGGGCCTTATCAGCGCGCCAACGCCTTCTTGCTTTGCGAAATTCAAGAATTCTGCAGTAAGCCTACAGGGAAAATCGCTGATTAGCTGGGCAAACAAAAACGGCAAAAATTAACGAAGTCCAGGTCGTACGAAACGTACTTTAACGTAGGCTCCGTGAACTGTAGCATAACGTACTAACGGCTACAAAAAGCCTAGTTCAGTTCTTTCCGTTTTTTAGGCATTTCTTACAATTTACGTTTGCTTCCTTTCCTAGAAATACCTTCACGTAATGTACGTCAAGCTCCGTGCGAATTCTTAGCAACAGTTTATTCGAACAAAATTGGCGGTATAAAAGTATTGAAATGACAATATCGACGTTCTGTGCTTTTGTAAGCATCAAAAATTCTAATTAAAAAAACGTCTTCAAATGGGGGGCTGGAAAACTATCGGATGTATATGTTCATATTGGATCAATCATTTCAGGAGCGCTGCAAAGCACTTCTGGAGGAACGTCTTCTCGTTCGATGGCATCGTGGTGTAATCAAACTTTCTGGCGAGTTGTTGGGCCCTTCTAAAAAGTTAAATATTGATCGAGATTAAGTCCAAGATAGAACTCACTTGTAGGCGTCTTTTTTGGCCCTCTGATTCATGCGGTGGGTGGCCTGGTAGAGGCGGTTGCGCTCGCGGTTCTGGGCCTTGCGCTGGGCTACGGTAAGCCCGGCGATTGGTCCGGCGCGAGGGGCACGAGGAGGTTGTGAGACCTAAAGTTGGGGCTTAGATTTTTAGGCTTCGGCTTCGACTACGGCTTAGGCTTAGGCTTAGGCTCAAGCTTAGGCTAAAACTTAGACTTAGGCTACTGCTTAGGCTTAGGCTTAGGCTGAGGCCTATGTAAGCTTAGGCTTTGGCTTAGACTTGGGTCTAGGCTCAGCTTAAAGTGCCAAACTTTCACCAAAAACCCACAACAATTCTCAGCGGCTCGATCACCTCCGCAACCTCCGTATTCCGCTGGTAGCTGGCCAGGGCGGCGAGCACGGCCTTGCTGGACGACCTAAGTTGTTGTACAATCAGGCTTGGCCGTTAAAACCCACTCGTTCAAGGCGCGCGTCCTCTTGTCGCTGTCGCGCCATCGCTGTTCGGCCAGCTGCTTGCCGCCCTTGTTGGGTCGACCAGGGCCTAAAAGTCCAATTAAATCTTAAATATAAATTGTATAAAATTATTTATGTAAATCATGATCTAAAATATTGTCCAACCTCGTCTAGCAGTCGGCGATCCCGCCAAGCTGTTCAGCGGGCTGCTGCCGGTCGACAGGGAGGAGTACGGAGAGCCGGCATCGCAACCGACAGCGCCGTTGTTCCAGCCATTCCATTCCATCCCGTATCCTTCTCCAATCTGCTGTGAGTAGGGCGACATCATCTGCTGTGAGTATGGAGATTGATGCTCCGTAAACACGCTCCCGATCGCGGCGGAGTAGGGCGAGCCCTGCCCTCCTTGATGTTGGCCATCGTAACCCATCACGATGTATTCATCATTCATCGAGTCGGCAATGTAGATGTCTTCCGGAGAGTCGGGGCTGCTCATCATCGCGTCGATATGTCGCTGCCATTCCTCGTCGGAGCTGTTCAGGAGAGAGAAGCTGGATAGGGGCGACCCATTGTCGAGCAGGTCGTTAACCCAGTCGTCGCTGAAATTAATGTAGGTTTGTCATAGAATCAGATGAACATCAAGTTCTAGCCGTACAACCTAGCGAAATTGTTCTTACTGAATTGAAATACGCCTCTTCAAACCCCTAATATGTTGCTGCCACAAGTTCTAGCAGTTCACCCCAGAGCAGTAGATAAGTAAAAATACGTATAAAAGACTAGAATCTGAGCTTATTCTGCAGCTCCCTCAAAATCAAGCCGTTCACCCCCCGGGCTGTTTTTTGTCCCGCATCAAACTCAAATACACCCTTTGGAGATTCGATCGCCAATTCCCTCAAGTTCTAGCCGTTCGTCCCGCGACCAAACAATTCTTACTTGGTCTCTAGAATCTGGCCGTTGAACATCTTGATCTAACGTCTGACGCGTGCGCAGCAATGGCGTAATTTTCCTGAAAAAGAGCAAATTTAGGCGAATTCTAGCGTTTCGAAATGGTTACAGTATCGCTTGTTTGCGAAGGGCCGAGGGGCCAAAAAATGGCTTGCGGGGTGGACGGCCAGCTTTTCTACCGCCCCTCTTGCCCTTATCTTCTGGCGCCGGCGGGTCGACGGTCCAAAGGTGACGATTGATTTTATGAATACGGCTTGAGTCACAGTGCTCGAAGCGACCTTCTGAGGCGTTTCCGACGTCACGGGTAGAGGAGTAAAATGGCGTTTTGGGGATCAGAATGGAAAATTTTTGAGATTTTAGAAACTCACGCCGTAGCCTACAAACATATGAGGCTGCCAAAAAAGCATCATACTCCGTCTGTTACGTACGTTACGTTACGTCTGTTACGTGTTCCGTTAGAGTGGTTTGAGTGATACTGAAAATAATGCTTTCCCGAAGTTTCTTGACGTCTCTTCCGGGTAAATCTCACAGTTTCGGATCCCGGCTTTTAATTCCTGGAAAGCTGATGCCAGAGAGAACGCAAGAGAGAGAGAGGAGAGAGAGAGAGAGAGAGAGAGAGAGAGAGAGTGACAGAGAGAGATAAAGAGAGAGAGCTAATGAGAGTGAGAGAGAGGGAGAGAGAGAAAGAAAGAGGCATAAAGAGAGATGAGCGAGTAAGAGTGAGAGAGAGGGAGAGAGTATGAGAGAGAGACATAGCGAGAGAGGGGGGAGAGGGAAAGAGAGCGAAAGATATAAAGGGAGAGAGCGGGAGAAAGAGGGAGGGCGAGAGAGAGAGAGAGAGAGAGAGAGAGAGAGAGAGATAAAGAGCGAGAGAGCTAGTACTTCCTTCATGATCCCTCGACTTCAATCAATCAATATCTCCGTCGTGGTTCCTGTGAACCTCTAGCCAGCGCCAAACCGCCTCAAATTTTTTCTCCATATTTTTCCCTTTATTCCTCTAATTTTGCACCACCTCAACGCCTTTCTCAATCCATTGTTTTGCTGGAAGCCTCGCAAACCGTTCAAAACTTATAATTCTGAAAATCGTGGAAAGAAATCCAACGTATCCAACCCGGTACGTTTTGATACGCATCGCAACGTTTTGTGTGTTGTCAAAATTTGCGAGCTTCCAGCGGGAGAATTCAGGCGGACCTGGCGGATGGGAGCCAGCGATAAGCCCTCCACTATTTTGGCCACGCCATGTTGACATCTTATTTTATTTTCCACCAATCAGTGGATGCCTCTGCCCTCCAATTTCCTCTGAACTCTTTTAAATTAGCTTTAATTTTATTTTCAGGCAATTGAATGGAGCTGTTGACGTGGGCGATGAGGAAGTTGAAGCTAAAATTTTGTGAAATAAATCCTGTATTTTTTTTGTCGAATAAAGCATACAAATTTATCCTGATTTTTTGAAGTCGGGGCGCATTTTCACGATTTTTCACTCGGTCCCTTTCCAGCCCCTTTAGACGATAATCCTTTGTGCATTGGTGCAGTATCAGAAAGCAAACAAACGCGGAAACGTCTAGCCCCCCACTATCCCACACACCATGGCCAAAATATTACGCATTTTTTCGACTATCACAAGCTGTAAGGAAATCGCTAAGGCAAACCGTTGGCGGACAGTTTCAGTTACAGATTGTGTCAAAGTTAGAGACGCGTCGAAACCGGTCAGCTCTTCTATGAGCTGTAAAACGCCGAGAACGTCCTTAAATATTTCTATCCAGTATTTTTCTCATTCCTAAATGTTTCCCAAGCCTCAAATTGTCTTTACTGGCTTGCATTGCCTAAATATTAGCCTTGCCTTTCTTGGTCGTCTATACTAAAAATTCGATGCCGAAAAGCCGATTTCCAAGAATTCTGAACCTGACATTTCTGATAAGCAGCGCGTCCCGAATTTGATTGGCGACACCATTTCTCGATATCTTTATATAGTTCATGCAAGGAATTTTCAGCGAAAAAGTGAGTTAATATAACTGCCCTTAGCAGGTTATATAAGACGTATAAATCGGGGCGTGGCGCTACCTGGTTCTTCTTCGTTGTATTCGCCTGCTCACGTTTTAAATCCAATTTGAATAGCTTTATAACTTCCAGGTCTTCCAGGGCTGGAACCATTACGTGGATACAAATTTCCGAGTTTTAATTTTCTTTAATGGTGTCTACCCGCGCGAGGCCGCGACCATAAGGCTTTGCAATCCCGTGAACGGTACAACCATTTAACTCGATAGATCACTAAATCATTAAAGGGCCCTCTCCTAGGCTTAGTCTTAGGCTTCGCTAAGGTCTAGGCTTAGGATTATTGCTTATTGCTTATTGCCCTTCTTTCGAGGCGGCCGAAGCAAACCGCAACCATATCAATCGCTGATAACACCCTCCTGATCTTGTCAGGCGACGCCAGGCGAATCAAGCTTGGTTGCCCGTCGTATCCGTAGGACCCAACAACCTTTCATAACGTTTCCCTTATTTGGAACACCAGTCTCTCAAATCCCCCTAGCATCCCAGATTCCACTCCCTTTTTCTCTTTTACGCGATACCCTTATCAGCTATAAAAGTCGCGCCTCTACAACAGTGACTGTTGTGATGATAACGCTACCTTACTGGTTAGAAATCGCGGGGAAAGAAGAGGGCCAGGGGAACAGGCAAAAACTTCCAAGAAACGCGCGATGCACGCTCGAAAAACGTATTCCGCCGCCTATTTTCTCGCGTAAGATTCCTCTTGGTATGCGATAACGGGAAACGTTCAGTAAATGACTTTCTTCCGAATTAATTCCAGGGTTCAATAATAAAATTTATTTCTAGGCGCTGAGATCAGATCAATATGGGTGTCAACTGATTTGTGTTTTGTGCGCCTGATGATTCATGCTGCGCGGTGATACGTGTAGCACTAGTGAATCACCAGAAGTCATACCTTTAAGGCGCAAAATCACCAACGAAATTCATTGCTTCGGCGATGCTGGTTAGCCCGCCGCCCTATCAGAATCTCTAAAAATCAGAATCTCTAAATGTCGGAATCTCTAAATTTCGGAATCTCTAAATTTCGGAATCTCTAAATTTCGGAATCTCTAAATTTCGGAATCTCTAAATTTCTTTGTTCAGAAACCCATACAGATTTTGGCGCAAATTGAAACTGAAATGCGCTTTTACCCAAAGTCGCCTCGGGAAACTTTTACTGGGGTAGTTTTTTGCGCTGATCAAAAAAAACGTAACCACGAAACACAAAAATTTCAAAATGACTTTCTTATATCAAAAAGAATTTTTGGGCTTTTTAGCCAACATTTGTAACGAAGCATGTCAAAATGTTGATATGTGAGTGCATCAAGATCCCGTTACACCGGCATTTATGGCGATGTTCGGATCACTTGCGTGGCCGCGTTTTGACCTTTTGACCCTTGAGGTGTAGGCCCTGTTAGAAAGAATGATAACCGGGCATCAACTGAAAAAATGGTTTTACAAATTCGTGGTTACGTTTTCGTGATCAGCGCAAAAAACTACTCCAGAAAGAGTTTTGCGAGGCGACTTGGATAAAAGCACGTTACAGTTTCAATTTGCGCCAAAATATATATGGGTTTCTGAACAAAGAAATTTAGAGATTCCGACATTTAGAGATTCCGAAATTTAGAGATTCCGACATTTAGAGATTCTGATTTTTAGAGATTCTGATTTTTAGAGATTCTGATTTTTAGAGATTCTGAAAGTTCACCGGTTAGCCCCTTATAATCCGTTCACTTCCTTGTCCATTAAGGTACTTTCCTTCAACCACAATCCCGATTAGTGTAATGTTGTTCCAACATGGCTAGGTAGGCGTCACGCTATCTCCAAAACGCACCCACTCATTTCCGGTCAGCTTTCGAAAATGACGCCTATATAATCACTCGTGTTGCCACTTCCGGTATGCTCTCACGCCGGAAGCGCCTTACCTACTTTCCCGGGACACCCGTTATGCTCCTAGAGATTTCTTATTCTATCTAGGCCATTCAATTAACAATGAATTTGGCTTCTACAAAGCTACAACAATTCGGTTTCGTCATCAATGTCACCACCACGTATCAAATTTGCGAAATCTAGCTCTTAAAAGGCCGTCCGCGGCTCACCCGAACAGGCCCCCTTATGACTTGGCACAGTTTTTTTCGACCCCGTTTTTTTGACGGCATCGGAAAGAGCATGGTCAAATTAGTAGGGCTGCATAGTTTTGAAAGTTTCAAAAGTTTAATTTTGGGGTTAAAATGAACGTTAAAGTTGCCGACCTCAAAAAAATATCTCGAAAAATACCCAACAAAATTTGCTAAAAATTTGTGACGATACTAATTTTGGAATGGGGATCATTTCTCTAATACATTGTGAAGCATGAAAATGGCCGGAACGTAGTTAAATCAAATACTAAAAACAGTTTTTCGACATTTTCGACATTTTAGAGAAACCAGCGCATATTGGCTATATCATGGGCAGACGCACCTAAAGTTTCTGTATCGAATGGTGTATCGCTTGATATCCGCCGACTTCTCTAAAATTTAGTTTTATCCGCTTTTATGTGTGAACCCCGAAAAATGAAAATTTTTGCTTTCGAAAAATCTGAGATATAGAAATGCATCTAGAGAGCGAGACGAATCGATTGCAAAAAAGAGCAAAAAGAAATTTCGTTTTTTTTCGATCGCGGACTCGAACCCGGACCCTCCGCCTGGGAGCCCAGTGGCGCAGTGAGTAGAGCGTCGGCGTGCCAATCCAGAGCTGGCGCCAGTTCAATCCCAGCCCCCTCTCAGGAGCCGAATTTCCTTTTGCTCTTTTTGCAATCGATTCGTCTTGCTCTCTAGATGAATTTCTATAACTCAGATTTTTCGAAAGCAAAAATTTTCATTTTTTGAGGTCAATTTTACCCCATTTTCACACATAAAAGCGGATAAAACTAATTTTTAGAGAAGTCGGCGCATATCAAGCGATACACCATTCGATACAGAAACTTTAGGTGCGTCTGCCCATGATATAGCCAATATGCGCTGGTTTCTCTAAAATGTCGAAAAACTGTTTTTAGTATTTGATTTAACTACGTTCCGGCCATTTTCATGCTTCACAATGTATTAGAGAAATGATCCCCACCCCAAAATTAGTATCGTCACAAATTTTTAGCAAATTTTGTTGGGTATTTTTCGAGATATTTTTTTGAGGTCGGCAACTTTAACGTTCATTTTAACCCCAAAATTAAACTTTTGAAACTTTCAAAACTATGCAGCCCTACTAATTTGACCATGCTCTATGCGATGCCGTCAAAAAAACGGGGTCGAAAAAACTGTGCCAAGCCTTGTTCGGGTGGCTCGCAAACGGTCTTTTAAAAGACCTGGCAAGCCACGAATAGCCAGTTGCTATTGCGGTTCTTTCGATTCCACCGGCTCGATACCTCCACCTTCCTTTCGCTCTTTCTCACTCGCTCTCTTGCCTTTAACAGTCATATAACTTCCAATTTCTAGAGCATAGAGCGGCCGCCCGCATCGAGATTGAGATCAATACGGTGGGGTTGAATGATCTGCAGCAGTTGTCAAAATATCAAGAACCTCCGTGACCTCCAGATATGTGAAACAACGCTGCGCAAGCTTGGCCTCCCCGCGCTCGATCTGAAGAAAGATGAGGTTTTGAGACTAGCTCATCCCCAAAATACCTTTTTTTAGCTGATGAAACATGTACTCTGCCAAGGTTGCCTCGCCAAACACCCATGGAATTGCCAGGGACATATGCACTTTCTAGTATACAGGGTAAGACACCGAGCACCGAAAGACGCAGTCGTTTAGCGGCAAAACTCACAGGCCCAAGTGGCGGATCTGTTGAGCTATTATAAACGATTTGAGCACGACGCCCGAAGGTACTATAATACCGCAGTGGCTTGCTGCCAGGTAGGAACGGGGCAAAACTTTCGCAACTGACTCCTAGCACCTAAAAGACGACATCAATAACACCGATCATGTCCAAGATCCGGCGGAAATGAACACATTACTTGACCACACCGAGAATCGAATAATCTCCCTATTCACCTATTTTGAACAACTCGTAGCGACCGGAAATGGCTTAGAACAGTTGAAGAAGGTAGTCTCAGCCAGTTCCAGCGCAAACTGAAAACATCTCTTCAGGAGCTCCAAGAGAAGCAACCTAGCACATCTACAGCAGAAGCCACCTCTTCGCTAAGCCGGTCAGAATCAAAAGAATGGGACGAGCGGAGCGTCGGCTCATTCGAAGCCCCACCACGATATGTCCAAGCAGAATCGCCGCCACGTCCGAACAAATCGTAGCTTTCAAGTGTAGCGGCCAGTCGACTTTTAGATCAAATCGACCGCCACTTGATGATGACTGGTACAACCCGAACGTGCCGACGTACGCGACCAGCTTGGCCGCGGGCGTCAGGCACCTGCAGCTGGGTCCAAGAACAACTCCGCCGCCAATCCAGCCGCCATACAACAATCCAAACTATTTCCCCAGTTCCAATGAACTGACAGCGCTCGGTGCGACGCCAGATGAGGTGTTATATGTAAGTTCTTATCCTTGAGGCTTGCAAATTGCGCATTTTTCCAAATTAATCTTTCCAAAAAATCCTTTTCTGTCTTTTTCGGCGCCAAGGTTTTTACGACTACCCGCCAATCGTTTCGTTCAGTTTTTTATCATATGTATCTTACAAGAAAAGCAAAAAGGACAAATTAATTATTGGAAAAACGGAATTCGCTAGACTCAACCACAAAACATCAGCTACGATTATATGGGCGCGGATTATCATATCGAAAATGCGGTGCGAAAACGATGGCATGTCAAGGTAGGTGAGGAACAAAATTAGCTCAAACTTTGTAAAAAACACTCCAGCTCGCCGATTTATAGAGGTCGATATAAAAACAGACATTTAGTTATGGGGCCTCTGCGCCGTCGACCAGGAGATCTCGTTCCGGATCGAGAACAAAAGCGAGACGCCAATGCTCATCCGGTTCGAGCAGTGGACGGCCGGGATGGTGATACGCTTCCGCGGCAGCGACAGCTACCAGGAGCGCAGAGAATTTAGAGTAAATAGCATGTTGTTAACAAGCTCTTATAGCAAAATGCTTGCAAAGTGGAAATCAGGCACAAACAAAGGGAGGCATAACAGCAACCGCCAATTCTAAAATTTAGCGAGCATTCGAGCTGAACTCCCGGGAATCGGAAATGGTGAAAGTGATAATGACGCCCCGAGTCCGGGCGAGCATGGTGAGTCAATCCCTTTCTATGTCGCCATACAAAAAAAGCTGATAAAATTTTCTATGTTTACTCTGCACTTTAGGACGAATTCGGAGGCCAGCCACCATCGTTCCGATTCCATGGAATCGGGCAGCTAATGGATAGAAAATATAACTTTGTGGCGCGGACGATCAGTTGCCCGCTCGAGGACGGCAAGTGGAAACCGATCGAGATTTGAGAATTCTAGTCGCTGACCGCGCCCGAAATGCCTTGATTCATTTGTGTCGAATAGGACATTTTAGGATTACTTAGTATTTTTATACTATATTTCATTTATATTTCCGTTTCAAAATGTGATACTCTATATTCTATATTCGGCGCAATTATATTGCAAGAATCTAACGATTGAAAACCCATTATCGTTCCCGATAAACGAAAACGATGACTTGACGCGTAATTCAACCTAGGTTGGAGCGCATGTTTATCGACTTACTTCTGCATCATGATGTTAATTGATCCAATAAAATATCGTTTTACTGCAAACCACAAACATAAAAAGCATCAGGTTACAGTACGCTGTAGTACGTAGTAGGTACCCTAATGAAAACAGTTTTTCATTGTTTGTTTTTTTTCAGTTTTCCTTATTATTTTTTTGTTTAAATCCAAAAGAAAAGTCTCGAAAAATTCAGGCGGAAGCTACAGACAATCCTCCGTACAAATCTACCGTAATCAGGTGTCACGCGTGACAATCGTGGAATTTTCCTTTTTTTTTCTAATTCAATCAATTTTGCATTTTTCGAGATTTAAAAAAAAAAGTCTGCGTTCTTATAATATTCATCCCTCCATTTAGTGCCACCATGTCGGTCATCTACCGGCAGTTCAAACCAATCGACATACACGGCTTCACGAAAATAAACTCGGATCCAATGGTCGAGGCGGTACGATCTTGGTCCAGGAAAAGTAGCCATCTTTAGTACAATATCGGTTTCTACTTTCAATACTGGAGCCGCTGGAAGGAGTATTTTCTGGTGGCGACGACCCTAAATGGCGAGATCGCTGCCTTTAGTAAGAAGCGCGTTTTTACATAAATTTTCTTGCAGTTATGGGTAAAGACGAGGGCTTGGAAACCGATCATCATGGCCACGTCACCGCGGTTTGGCGTTTCTTGGACGGATACATCTGTTTTAGATCACCGTCCGGCATGATTATCGAAAGAGGGGTATCGCCAGGCAATTGATGCAATATTTTGAGGAGACCAGCATCGAGTATGCATGAATTTTTGCGACAATTTTGTTGTTTAGAAAGGGCTGCTACTTTGTGGATTTATTCGTGCGCAAATCGAATACGGCCGCTATTCGATTGTACGAGAAGCTCGGATACGTGGTTTATCGGTATTTTTCGGGTTGTTGTTTTTTTTAAACTTTGTCTTTAGCGAGATCAAGAACTACTATAGCGGCAAGAACCCCGAGAATGCTTATGGTATAATATCGTTATTGGTTTTTAGCCGATTTTTTATAGAAATGCGCAAGGCCCTGCCGCGCGATGCCGACAAGAAAAGCGTGGTCCCGATAGCCGGAATCGTGGATGTTTCAAGCCTGAATGAATGAGATACTTCCCCTCTTCCCCCTGCATCCCGCCATCTTGCTACGAATTTCTGGCTATAAACCGTTTTTGTCTACAATTTTTCTCTGGATAATTTGTTTCCAGCCATTTTTTACCTGGTGGGTGTGTTTATATTGGCCTATACTTTTTAGATGTCCTCAGGCGCTCCTTCGCATGATCTGGAGCCGCGTCCCGTTTCTGCTCGTACAAATTATATCTCTAATCTTCAATATGTAACTACCGGTAATCTATTACAATCTTCCGTCTAGGGTTTCTAGGTGGCGCTGTGCTCCTTTTCCTGCGTGCATTCAACCGATTCATAAGCCATCGACAGCGCGGCCAAGCCCTAGTGGGATCAGCCAGTGAGTCGTATTTTCGGTGTCAGAAGAATCCTTTTTGAGCCTGCCTCTACCTCACCGTCGCCAATGAATTCGGCTTGTTCCCCTTCAACTTTTTCGTCGCTGGCAAAGTGAGCACCAGCGAGCCCGCCGCTGATCAATGAAGATAACATAATAAGCGTTGTTTTCGATAAATTTTTATGTAATAATGATTTAGTTGTTGCCTAGACCGATAAGCCCGGAGATTATATCATATTTAGTTACACTGCCGATCATGAGGATGATTAGACCGTCAGAGCGCACTCGAAAAAAGGATATCACTCACTCTTTTGAAAAGCTTGGAAGATGGGGGCGCTATAATTGGCATCCGTGCCACCTTTTTTTATGGAAAGCCTGGGAGCGCCCGCCTCCTCGTGTATTCTAAGATCTTCCATGTTTTCGATGCTGTCTTCCACCTCTCTCGTGCCCTCTCTCCCTTCTTTGAATCGGCGCCCATGCAAAACGAGTTCTCTTTCAGGCTCCCTGCAGAGACGCAGAGGGAATGCGGGGTCGCCCCGACTCGATTGGTGCCGCCCGAGTGTCAATGGGAGTGTTGGGTAGCCAACCAAGCGAAGCCGCAGCGGAAGGCGCTGACGCAGTACGCTTCGCAAGTTTAAGCGCGGCGTGCCGCGCACGCGTTTTCATGTCGTTTGACGGTGATTCCCCTTCTTGCTCGTCGACATGCCCGTCGGGACGGTATGGCGTGGGCCAACCGGGCCCGGAGCCCGTCTCGGCCTCGATGCCGAGCCAAATGATGTGAGTGTGGATGGGGTGCGGGGGCGATACCATTTTTCAACGAAATTCTTGGGGTACTTCCTGAAAATCCATCAAATTTTATATTTTTGTATAAAATATTTTGCTTTGACCTTCTATTGCGAAATTCGCTGGGGATGACCATAGTTTTATTACGACAGGCCGTCGCATCAACTTTTGTTATTTTATTTGTTTTGGTTGTATTTCGCTATTGTGTAAAAACGCATCAAATTTTGTCATTTTGTGTATCAAATTATGCGCTAAGATTCTATTGCTAAATTGATTGGAATGGGCATTTAGTTTATTACAACAACACGTGGCATCCGCGTTTATTGTCTGAAATTTTGAATTTAGGGGCCTGATCGACGAAGGCGAACCGTCGTTCAATCTGCGTTTGATCGAGGCCGTCAAGCACAATCGATGCCTCTTTGATGCGACCGATCGCCAGTACAGAAGCACCGAGTACAAGACCAAAGTATGGAATCGGCTGGTGACGGTTGGTACCTGACTTTTTACTATACACTCCCTGTTTAGTATCTAGCCTTCGACGGCGACTCTCGAACGCTGTATAACCGATGGAAGCAGCTGAGAGACAAGTGGGTTTCCAGGTTCCTTTCTAGTAATATCTTTTTTGCAGATATGGAAAGGAAAAGAAGAAGCACAAAGGAGGCACGAACTCGACCTGGCAATATTATAAGCACCTCGTGTTCCTTGACCCGCATATGAGCGATCGGCCGCACACGAAAAATGTGATCGTCACGAAGGAAGGGCGGCAAATTATCGATATGGTACGTATTTTGTATTGTATCCCAAATTTGTTGTTTTTAGAACTTCTACGTCACCGACCCCCACTTTAATGCCGGCTTAATCGAAGAGGTTTGAAAGTTTTTGAAAATAATTTTGATGTGTTTTAGGTGAAACGACACACGTGTCTTTTTGATATCCGTGATCCCAAATATCGTCACACGGAATATCGAAATATGGCCTGGAATTCCATTATTTCGGCCCTAAATTTCCCAAGTAATATCTTCGAAATAATTCGTATTTGCACATATTTTCAAGCATCATCCACTTATCATTTCATTTAGTTGGTGACATCACAATGATCTACAAGCAATGGAAGAAGCTGCGCGACCGTTACGTGCGCGAGAAGAAGCGGCTGCGCATGTTGCCACAGGGCCAACACGAAGACAGTACCTGGGATCTGTACGGCGCGATGACCTGGATGGACCCGTATCTCGATGAACGTTCTGCGTAAGTTCTCAGCGAGTTTTTGTATGTTTTTAATTTACGTGTGGCTTCGAAAAGTATATTTAATTTTCAGATTCAGATCCGGCAAAAAGAGAAAAATGGATAATATGGATATGTCCGATGAGGATATCTGGGAAGAGTAAGTTCGCGTCCAAATGTTTTGTACTTCTTGCTTGTAGTGGTGCTTATATGATGCTCGACAAGCGGGCGAGCAACGGCGACGTCTTATTGGATGGGGACAGTGCATTCGCCGCCAGCACTGTGAGCGATCTGAGGTCCGTCGCGAATGCTATATTCATAAAATTACACAATTTTTAGATCCCTCAGCGAAGACGCCCGGCTCCTGGCCAAGGCCCAAATCGAGGCGCTGTTCGAACCGAAACCCTCCAGCCAACAACAGCATATCTCCTACGACCTACAATGATTGCATAAACCCCTCGTTTCCCCCATTTCTCGATACGTATTCTACTTTGCAGCACTAAATTTATAATGTATTCCCCGGATCTCTATTGGCTTGTTTGGACCCGTTTATTGCGTTCACATTGATGTCGACTCCCCCCGCCTCCCCCCTTCTTCTCCCGCCCGGCGCCAATGAATTTTTAGCAGTTTAATTTTTTGGATGATAAACAGTTAGAAGAGAGACGTGTTGCCGACAGTGACAAGTACATTTGGCTATTACGGGTTTCTATAGCTTTCTGCTCTCCACGTGACCTTCTGGCGCCCGTCATATTAAAACAGGCAATTTAGTGGATGATTATTAGATTGCTCAGAAAGTTCCTACCACCAGTCAACAAGCGCGTCATGGAGCCTGCCGCTAAACGATCGAAATCGCCTGTGGAGAATAAGCGATTTGTCTGGGTTCGCATGTTTATTTTGGCTGCCAGAATCAAGATTTAGATCGACTGTGAAATGACCGGGCTCGAGCCGGAAACGCAGACGCTCGTCGAGATTGCTACGATTGTCACTGACCAGGAGTTGAATGTATGATTTTATCTGAAGGTAAAATTTTGATATAGATCATCGCCGAAGGCCCCGATATCGTCATCCATCAGCCAGAAGATGTTCTTGAAAAGATGAGCGATTGGTGCAAGTTGACATTTTCGGTGAGTCTATTTCGGGGCCCGCTTGAATGCTCTGATTTCCAGCAAAACGGGCTGACGGAGAAGATTCGCAACAGCCAGATTTCACTGCAAGAGGCCGAAAATCAAACGATGACCTTTTTGGAGAAGCACACAGCGAAGGGAAAATCACCGTTGGCTGGGAACACGGTAATCAAGCATGTTTGTGGAGGAATCAAGCTTTCCAGGTCTACATGGATCGGCTCTTCCTCCGAAAGTACATGCCGCGATTAAATGAGCACTTGCACTATCGAATTGTAGATGTTTCATCGGTCAAGGAGGTATTTGTGAAAGAGCTCTACGTGAAAACCACAATTCAGCTCACACGGCGGTGGTACCCACAGGAATACAGGGATGCTCCAGAAAAGAAGGGCACGCACAGGTTTGAGCATAGCATCGATAGACCCATTTTTTGTAGAGCTCTCGACGATATCCGGGAATCTATTGAAGAGCTGAAATTTTACAGAAGCAACGTATTCAAGCCATAGATTTCCAGTAATTATTTATTCTCGCCTAAAGGTCTCCTATAAATTTGCCTTTGCCACACATTGGTCGATTTCTCGTAATGTGATCGCACCGCCCGGCCATTCTATTCGTTGTCGCTCATTGTTGTAGATTTGCTCAGCTTTTTCTATAAAGAGCTTTTGAATCCATAGATTAGTAACACTACCTTGGATCATAGTTTGGGCTTCACCAAATGCCGTATCCGCGTGGAACCCTGCGGCCATCACGAGTGGAACGATTGGGAGAGCGAATTCGGGCCGCTTCATTTTGTAGCTAACTGGAAACGAGCATTTAGCTAAAAAAAACTTGTTCACCTGCTAATACAATTGCCGAAGAAGCGATTGCCAGTAAACTTTCCCAAACGGCGGCATGCCGTTTTTCTGCTATCTGAATGCAGTTTATTCCGATAACCAAAAATAACTTGCCTGAACAGCGCGTTTTTGTGTTTCAATTATATTCCGTAGTGCCAACTGCTCTTCAAACTAGATCACATGATTCTCGAAGAAGGCTGCAAAATGGTACCTGTGAATCGTAAAATTTTTTTAGTCGGTCTTCAGAACCCGCCGAACTGGATGGCTTGTTCCCCATGCCTAAAAATCAGTGTAAAAGCATGCGCAATGTTTCCAATATTGGGTGTAAACCACAAATCGCATACACTTTTTTGATTGCCAATTTCTTTATTCAGCGTAAAACAAGACAAATTTTCAGGCTCACTATACTACCAATTTACTTACAATCAAAAGTCTGTCTCTTTTCGAATGGCAGCCAGTTGATGGGTTCGTTCGGTGACGGCTTCTGGTGATATTAGGAAAGGCGTCAACGAATCCTTTTTGCTCTGCCAAATGACGGTTGCCATTGCTGAAAGCAAAAAATATATTGATCATTGCCAAAGCATTACTTGCAACAGTCGCGTGACTCGTCCCATAGCATTGATTTGCTTTGTATGCCAAATAAGCGAGGATTGGCGGGATGGGGATAATGAACGACGTCTTCTTTGATTTATACGCATTTGCTATCAATAATCCGGTGAGGATGGCTCCTGTGGCTCCGGTCCATTGCAGTTTCTCACGTTCGTAGGCCAACTAGGGGTATTCTTGTAATCGACTCAAACGTCCTCAGACCTCATAAGCTCTTCTTCGTTGTTGCTGAGCTTCGTAGAGTGCAATTTCACGTTGTATCTGAATGCACGACCCGTCCGCAAATAAGCACAAGCGCTTACTCGTTGTCGCTCCAAACGTTCAAGTACCATTTCGATATCTCGTGAATGGTTCGTGGAATTCTGCTGCCCCATCGCAATCCTTCAAAAAAAAAAAATGCTTTGCGCTGCCCCAAACCGAAAACAGACGGCTACACACTACCCCTCAGAAGAACGCTAAAAACCGATACCTTCTTTGTGTTCTACTCCGCAAAATTTCGTCATTTCAGTAAAACAAAATTTATCAATAGAAAAAATAATCCATGAGGAAAAGAATGAACAACACAAATCGAACACAAGGCACAAACATAACAACTAGAGATCTAATGAAAGCACATATAAAATTATCTATATAACTAGCGGCTAACGAGGGATAAATGGGAGATCAACTGACAGCTCCTGGCCAAAAAAGATATTCTACAAAATGGGCACGTCTTATTGCTTGGAGCCTTCCTTCTTGTCGTCCTTGGTCTCGGCATTAGGCGTCGCCTCCTGTAAAATCAGGTTTTGGCAGAAATTTATTACTAACTTCGGCTTGTTGGGTTCCTTGGTTCTTCTCGGCCATCTTCTGGTAAGCCGCTCCGAAGAGTTGGAGTGAATCCTTCTGCAGCTGCGAGAGGGCGTCCTTGATCTCTTGAGGCGACTTGTTGTCCTTCTCGGCCAGAACCTTGCGCAGCTCCTCAAGCTTGGTCTAAAAACAATTTAGATAAAGTGAAGTGCCGGAAAAATACCTTAATCTTTTCGCATTCCTCCTTTGGTAGCTGATCGGCAAACTCAGTCATCTTGCTCTCGGTGTCGTTGATGATCGACTCGGCCTGGTTGACGGCCTCGATCATTTCGCGCTTGATGGCATCAGCGGCGGCGTTCTTCTCAGCATCCTTGATCATGTTCTCGATCTGGTCCTTAGACAGTCCACCGGAGGATTGGATGACAACTATAAAGAGTTCATTCAGAAGGAAACTGAGGAGAAAACCAACTTTGCTGTTCCTTTCCAGTTCCGCGGTCCTTGGCTGATACGTTCACGATGCCGTTCGCGTCAATGTCGAAGGTGACTTCGACTTGGGGAACACCACGTGGAGCTGGAGGGATACCGACCTGAACAAAAATACTGCTTTTCAAAAGCTTGCATACCAGAGAGAATTGTCCGAGCATCTTGTTGTCGTTGGCCATCTCGCGCTCACCCTGGCAGACCTTGATTTGAACTTGGGTCTGGCCATCAGCAGCGGTGGAGAAGGTTTGGCTCTTCTTGGTCGGGATGGTAGTGTTGCGGTTGATAAGCTTGGTCATCACGCCACCAAGGGTCTCGATACCGAGCGACAATGGGGTGACGTCGAGGAGTAGCAAATCCGTGACATCTCCGGCCAGCACAGCTCCCTGGATGGCCGCTCCAATGGCGACAGCCTCATCAGGGTTGACGGCCTTCGATGGCGACTTGCCGAAGACCTCCTTCACAATTTCTTGGACTTTGGGCATGCGGGACATACCACCTGAAAAAGCGCAAGTGTTTGCAAAAAAAAAGAAATGCATACCGACAAGGAGCACTTCGTTGATGTCAGATGGCTTCACCTCAGCATCGTGCATAGCTTTGCGGCAGGGCTCGATGGTGCGCTTGATTAGATCTGAAAGCCAACAATAACTAAAAGAATCAAGCAACACCGCGAAAAACTTCGTCAGGAAACGTACCAGCAACAAGCTGCTCGAATTTGGAGCGAGTGAGCTTGTGGGTCATGTGCTTGGGGCCAGAAGCGTCCATCGTCAAGTAAGGCAAGTTGATGTCAGTCTGCGTGGTTGATGAGAGCTCGCACTTGGCCTTCTCGGCGGCTTCACGGAGACGCTAAAAATTTGGCTCAAGAAATAATTTAGAGTTACCTGCATAGCCATTGGGTCCTTGGTGATATCGATTCCCTCGGCCTTCTTGAATTCTTGGACGAGGTAGTTGACGAGAGCAACATCAAAGTCTTCTCCGCCGAGGAAAGTGTCACCGTTGGTGGACTTTACTTCGAAGACGCCCTTTTGGATTTCAAGAATTGAGACATCGAAGGTGCCACCACCGAGATCGTATACGGCAATGCTAAAAATGGAGGTGAAATTAGATACATCAACCCGATCCTAAGAAAAAAAAATAGCTTACATCTTATCTTCAGACTTGTCCAGTCCGTAGGCGAGGGCAGCGGCCGTCGGCTCGTTGATCACGCGCAAAACGTTGAGTCCAGCAATCTGCCCAGCATCCTTTGTGGCCTGGCGCTGCGAATCATTGAAGTAAGCCGGGACCGTGACGACAGCGTTCGTGACAGTGGTGCCCAAGTATTGCTCAGCGGTCTCCTTCATCTTCATCAACGTAAAGGCACCAATCTGCGACGGAGAGTAGAGCTTATTCTGTGCTTCAACCCAAGCATCACCATTGGAGGCCTTGGTGATTTTGTAGGGCACAACTTTCCTAAAGAAAATGTTTCCTTAGCCACGAGGAAACTTACAAGTCTTTCTGAACCTCAGCATCGTCAAAACGGCGGCCAATAAGTCGCTTTGTAGCGTAGAGAGTATTCTGAGAATTCGTGACGGCCTGTCGCTTGGCCGGCGCTCCAACGAGCCGTTCATTGTCCTTCGTGAAAGCGACCACGGAAGGCGTGGTTCGGTTGCCTTCGGCGTTTTCGATAACCTGAACCAGTACAGCAAAAGAAAGTCCAATTACCTTGGCTTGCTTGCCCTCCATAACAGCAACGCATGAATTCGTCGTTCCGAGATCAATTCCGATCACGGCTCCCTTGGTGGCACTAAAAAAAGAATGAGGAAACCGCCTATTATATTACTTGAAGCGCTGCGTGGTGAAAAGGCCACGCTTGACCGAAGTCGAGAAGAATGATCGAGCTGCACTCAACATCCTGAAGTTTTACCTGAAAAACTTTAAATTAGTGAGTGATTAAGGTTATGAAAGGGAAGAGGGGAAGGAAGTGAGCACATACTGGCGAGAGGAAACGAATTGCATCATTGTGGTCTCGTTGATCTCTAGCGATAGGGGTGGGATTTAGCACAAGCAGAATTCTTCGTCAATTCTCGTCTATCGACAGTACAAGTTTTCAAATGAATATCTTGCAAAGTTCCAGAAAGTTGAAGTTGCACTGCGTTTACGGTATGAAATCGAAATTCTCTCGGGGCGGACATAGCAAGGGCAATGAAGGGATCGCCAAAGTTGTGTATGAAAAAGAGATAAATAAAATTCGGAAATCTGGTCTATAGACCAAATCCGGTTCCAAACGAGAAGAAGCTTCGAGAAAAAAAAATGAATTTTGCGAGATTTTCGCGAGAAAAGTCTGTGAACCGAAAAGAATCGCCCGTCGATGAGGACACAACGCGCCAGCGTAAATAGTAGTGACCCGTCTCCGACAATTAGGAACTTTTGCCACGATCCTTGACTGGCAAAATAATATGGTTTCGGCGATGGCCTATGTAAGCTGACTTGATTGCTTTGAAGCTTTGATGGCGGCTTCGATTAGCACGAAGCCAGACGAGCCCTCAAGCTTGCGAAGCTAAAATTAAAACCGATAACCCTTTTAATTCGCCGGTCCTTTGAAACCGCGATTTTTTGGCGAATTTCAATTTTCTAACAGCTTTTATACTTTTAAGAGGTAAAAAAACTCCTCTGTCACCCCCGAGACCGCGAAAAGTTTTGCAGAATTTCAAGCACCTACTTTATTGTTGTTGCCGGGAGACACACCCTCGGCGTGTTATTAGCTTGCTATGCTATTTTTGGTTCCCGACTGGGTTGCAATTGGCTTCGGCGCGAGAAACACATTCTTTTCAGTTAACTATGGGTACTAAACTTCGGGGCAGCCGCCTCGAGGCCGAAGTCGACCGGGCGCGGACCGAGGGCAACTGGCGCCGGGTCACCGAGCTGCTCGATTCCGTAAAGCACAAGAGCTCCGGTATGGGTTTTATGCAGGAGGTTTGTTTCTTTGAGTCGAGACGACATTGAACAGACCCCGGAATCCTGATCTTTCTTGCTTTTTTAGGTCCTAGAAGCCGAAACTAAACTCGAGCCCTACATCGAGCAGCTGGCTGGTTTGTATTGTTGCTATTTTTGCTAATTGCCGTTTAGAAAACCTGAAACCGCGCAAAGAAAATATCCCGTTTTTCAAGGCAGCCGTTGAGTTGCTGAACGGTATTGATGCTTCCTCAAAAGATCTTCGCTTTTAGAAGCTATTCATGAACGAAAGGCCTTTCCTAACGTCCAGCTCGAAGCCCATTTATTGCTGGCCAAAATCAACTACTTCTCTGCAAATCCGGAAGAAGCTATAAAAATAATCGAGAAATCGGGTTAGCGAGTGATTTTTGGCAACCAAAGTGTTTTAGGCATGGATTCGGCAAATACGCAATTCCGTACTTTGCGAGCCTTGAAGTTGGTGGCAGAAGCTTATTCGATCAAAGGTAAAGCTACTGGTGTTAGGGAGAAACTTTTTTTAGGACTAGCCTACGAAACGGTGGAAGGGCAAGATAACAAGAAGTCGATCGTCTGTTTCAAGCAAGCCGCCGAATTGGTGATGTCCTACGTCGGCGAGCTGGAGAAGTCTATATTCGGGCCGCCAGCGAATAATGCAGTCAGATGTATGTTTCAGCCTTGTTTTTAGTTTTTGGGAAATTCAGCTGTCTCCTCGACTAGTACACCGACCTCGGCGCCAGTAGCGAAAACTACTGAAAAAATGGGTGCGTATTTTCAAAAAAAACGGGTTATTCAGTTTTTAGGTGATTTGCTGGAGTGCACCTTGGAACGTTTCGCCTCGCTGAAGCTGCGTGGTACGCTTGTCGACGGCTTTTTCACGGAACAGGGCGTCGAATGGTATCGGAGAATCATCAGCGGTCTCGGCGACAAGTCCGTTGGCGAGAAGCTGCAACAAAAATTATCGGTTTGTGTTCATTCTGATGGGTTTTACTGTCTTTTAGTTGCAACTGGCTGAGATCCTCTACAGAAGTATCCCGGTGCACACACTACACTCTGAGACGGTATCGCAGAAAAATAAAAGTCTTGGGTATGCTCGCCTTCGCTGAGGTATAAGTTTGTTTTAGATTTTACACCGGCTCTCAGCGGGGTTACTTCTCGCCGACTTCAAAAATTGAAGAAATAATTTTGTTGTTGCTGGTCACTGAAGTTCTTGCTACGAGGTGTGTAGGAATCATTCGGTGGTTTCTGAATGAACAAATGTTGGATATTGCGTAGTATATCCGATTAAAAAGCTTCCGGGAAATCCCAAATGGCATGCTTTTTTGGTAATTTTAAAAAAGGGCCTTTCTCGCACATACGCCCCACACTGTATACAACACTATTAGCTCTATTTTAGGGACGTCGTTTTGAGCCGATCCGCGGAACTGGCCACCTCTCGTGACGAATCGCTCCGAAACGCCAAGTCCGTCTACAACTTGCTGACGATCGTTGGTGCATCCAGAAGTCTAAAACGAATAATTTAGGTGCTCTCCTCGCTACGGCAATATCAGCTAATGTCAAAGACGTACGAGCGAGCCGTCAAGGTGGCCAGCGACGATAAACACATTTGGTTCCAATTCGCGCTGATCGAATACTCGCAAGGGCAACATCTCAAGGCGTCGCGGATCATCGAGAACTGTTTGTTGGAAGGGGAGCATGAAGATAAGGCGTGAGTCGTTTTGCTTGCTTCAAAACTTGTAACTAAATTTTCCAGAGATGACGATCTGGCCTGTAAGTACATGTTTGCCGCCGTAATCTACCTGCGATACCTGGAGCAATATGAGAAAGGTACGATCTTGCCGATTGACGGAAATTTCTACATTTTTATAGCGGAGGAGCTGGCAATTCATGCGGCCAAAGTTTCTGATTGTATGTATTTGCGCGAGCGTGCTCATCTTCTTCAGGCGATCGCCATCGGGTATATTTCTTTATCATTTTTAGTGATTCTTGTTCCTCTTTTTAAAATTATTTTTTTGTTTAGCCAGCTGGCTCAAGAGCCGAGCTTCGTGGACAGCCAACGCAAGCAACTCCAAAAGAGCATCGACATTCTGGAACGCTGTGTGGAGGCGGACCCTCACGACTATTTGGCCGTGTACTATTCTGCTCTATATTATGCCAACGGTAAACTCGAGATAACTTCTTCATCCGTTTTTTTAGCCCGAATGATCGACAAGGCGATAGATCGGTGCAGCCATTGTCTAGACATCAACCCCGATCAGCCCGCTGCCATGATGCTTCTCGCATTGCTGCTGACGTGTGGCGGGGATCATAAATGTATTTCCACATACTCTAGGCTGTCATTTTCGATTTAGTGGCCCTGCAACATATCATCAGCTCATTGCGGCAATACCCAACAAATTATGGGCTTCTGACGATTCGATTGCATTTGGAGAAGCATTATGGTGGGTTTTGTCGCGACTTCTGAGAGCTGCCCGGCACACTTGCGGCCCAAAAAGTTTTATTAACCTATTTTAATGTTTTTTTTTCCAAAGTCAGTCCTTGCATAAAAAAACTCATTTTAGGCAAAGTCGAGGAAGCCATGTCAACAGCGGCCAGTCTTCTCTTCTGCTGGCAAGAGCAGGAATTGGTTTTTGATCGTGAGGACGAAAGACGGTCCCAAACGATGGATGCGGCCAGCATGAAGCGTGCCAGCAGCGTTGCCAGAACAGGTGTGTAATCTCATCCGAATTAAACCAGTTGTTCAGCAACCGCTTCGCTGGGGCGTGATGCTAGCACCTACTTTCCTGGCTCACTCGGGCCCCCGGCACCGTCCATGGTCTCTGCTTACAGCCAAAGCAGCCAGCTGGGTGTCGATATGAGCGGTATCGTTTTTCGACTACAAAACAAGGGATTTTTTAGATAGTGGTGTCCTATCGGCAAATCCGCATTCTGAATACGGGTTTTCACGAAAAACTGACTCCTCGGATCCGAATTTTGCGGAGGGATCGTCGCTGAAGGAGGCGAAGGCTGTAGCGGTCGTAGGTTTTTCTTTCTCGCAATTATGAGCTCGTCTTTATTTTTTTTTTTAAATCATGCTATTTTCCAGGCGAATATCCTCGTCACAATGGTTGAGATCTACCTCGATGCTGGAAAGATAAGTGAAGCTATTCCCTGTACTGAGCATATCGCGCGACAACTGCCCAAATCGCCGCAACACCGATATGCGATGGTTGGTCTGGAATTTTTAGGATTTTTGGATATCGGTTAAATTTTTGATAATTTGTGATTCTAGGGTCGCATCTTCTTGGAGCGTGGCCGACGTGAGACCCAAGACGTGGCCCTTCGAAATAAATACGTAGGAAAACAAATTTCAGTTCATAGATTTTTTTAGCTAAACGATGCGAAAACCGCCTTTTCCGAGGCCGTTATGCTCTGCCCGACGCATACCGATGCCCACCTCTACCTGGCGAAAACGCACGATTTGAGGGGCAGCCGGGAGCTGGCAAAGAACCAGGCCAAGTGAGGGAAAATCCTATTTGACAATCAAAATCATTTTATGAAAAAGATTTTTGTTTTTAGGGAACTTGTCACGGTCGCGCCGCTTCGCAACGACTATTGGAAGTATTTGGGCGATTTGTGCATGGCGTACGGGCACGACGAGGAAGGCATCGAGGCCTATCGGATAGCAAATGATTTGATAAGGTATAAATTATCGTATTTGGCTCCATTTTTTCGGTCAGCTATCGATTTTTTTGAAATATTAGAAATCCCGGAAATCGTCTTTATTCTGGTGTTTTCAGTACGACACCGATTCTACCCTTCAACACAATTCCACTCGTCTTCCCCAACGGCTTCCACTGAACTGTACACAGTTTCCTTTACTACGTCACCTTGCCTAAAACTCACCCCGATTGCCCTGTGCCCCGAATGTGAATAATGCTCCGATCTCACTAATCGTCTATTCCGGACCACGTTCAAACATACGTTTCACATGTTTTCACTTTTGTTGCTCGCTGTGATGTGTGCAATTATCTAGGGTATTTTGCGATTGTGCCAATTGCCATTTGTATTCCCGTTGCTCCAGATTTCTAGTGCTTTTTTCTTGGGGGGAGACTTGTTTTATCGTGATAGATATATCCAACACTGTGTGCTATTTATTTCCCGACTATGTGTATGACAGGCAAGAATGATTGATCCTCTTGCTCATGGGTTGGGCTAGGATAGTGGTGCCACAGCTTTAATAAATCGTCAGAAGAATATATTTTAAAAGTACTTTTCAACACTGGAACAAGGCCCGAAAACTACATCGCCGCGAAGTCGTGAAGGAGGAGAAGATCAATACATCGTTTAGATGGAAGTGGAATTTGATGATGTCCAAACGTCCGTTTGCTTTGCCCCGAATGTGAGTTCCAGACGCCCATGATCCTAACTTGATTTTCTAGAATTCTCGTTTACTCTGCGCCGGGTACATCGACGGACGTATCGAGCTCTACAATTTCAACCCGGAGACCCAGGATTTGGAGGTGAATGCGTCGAACCTCCTGTCAAAACCCTTAGTTTTAGGTAAAATCGAAATACGCGTTGAAAAAGTCGGTACGAAATGTGGCAATCAGCCCCGACAATGTAAATGTATACGCGACAAGCCAGAATCGCGCGCTGACCCAACTGGATGCTGAAACCGGACAAAAGTAATAGTAATCCAACCATAAATTCCGACCTTCTAGAACACGATGCATCATCAAGGCACATGAAGGCAGACCAAGCGCGATGCTATTACTATCGTCAATGGGCTCGCAAATGTTGGCAACCGGTGATGAGGACGGACAGGTTTGCATTCACCTACCGCACGGCAAGGGGTTTTTTTTTAGGTGAAGACCTGGGACTTGAGAGCGAATGAGCCGCTCGCGCTAACCTTTACGGACCAAGAAGATGTAGTTGATTTTTTGTAGCTCGCAACGTTCTTTAGGTCATTAACGATATGAACACCGAAGGCCCACGATTACTAGCCGCCTCTTCTGATGGAACGCTCGGTACCTATGAGGTCTATTCTGTTTTTTGTTTTGTTCACAAATCATGATGTTTTTCAGCTACGAAAGGGTAAGTTCAAGACCAAGAGCGAGTTGATGCACGACGAGCTGCTCTCCGTCGTGTGCAACAAGAAATTCTGCTATGTTGGCTCGGGCGACGGGTCGCTGGAGATTTTTCACGGCGGTGAATACGGTAAGAAACTTTTCAGGATTCAAGATTCAAAATTCTGCTTCAGGAAATATAATCGAGCGCTTCGAGACAAAGTTGCCTTCTGTGGATACGATGCTGGAAGTGAGACGCGGGTTGCTGATGGTGGCCAGCGGGCAGTCACCAATAATTAGGTAACGATCGAGCGGGTATCAATATGTGGGAGGTAAATTTGGACAATGGATTCAGGAAGCCTTTATTCGGGGGCACACATTTCATGGAAAGCAATCAGGGGTTGTACTCGATCGGGAGGTTCTTGCGGCGGACCATGCCGTCACCCTGGAACCACTCGCGACGGAACTGCTTGGCGGCGCCGTCAGGGGTGTTCGTCCACTCGATGGTCACACGGTCGTTGTTCGTATCCTCGGCTCCGAACTGGAACGAGTCGCACGACACGGCCACCTAGAAGATGAACACTTGGCTTGTAGATGGACAAAGAGAAAGAGATCCTCCAAGAAACTCACCAGGACTTGCTCCTTGGGGTCGAGGACACCGCACGGCGGGTCAACACCGAGACGCTTCATGTTGGTGGTCTTGAAGGCCCATCCGATGCGACGACCGCCAGAGTTGATCACCTTGATGTGATAGGTGTGCTTGTCGTCGTAGGGGGCGTTGAAGACGATCTTCGTGCCCGGTTGGGTCGTGATATCACCAGGGGCGACGGATTGAGCCATTTTGTCTCGATGAGGAGATGGATGCCTTTCCCCCTCCGCTCCCTTTTTTATATTCGAAAACGCATGGAAATTGAGTGAGGGAAATTGGGGGTTCCGGAATTTAATAATGTTGTATGCTAATCATTAATAAATCTGTTCAATTTCAGGATTCTGCACGTCGACCCCAACAAGTTGCTGAGCCCACTTGGGGAGCATGGCACCGGCGTGGACAAGCTTCTCCTCAGCGACGATCGACGGGTAATTCAGCATTCTCAAATTCATTTCCCACTTTCAGTGGCTAATCTCGAGCTCGATGGTGGACCAAACTATCAAGGTCTGGGATATTGAGGCGATTGTGCAGAAGGTACGTTGTAGCTTGTCAAATTCTCGACTATCTAGCCTCTTCAAACTTCATGCAAGAAAAAAAATCCGCTTCCAGATCCCCGTCCTGACAGCAAAAGCGGCAAAGAAGCAGAAAGGAAAGTCGGTTGACAAAGCGGCCAGCTCATTCTGGGATGATTTGGCGCAGGAGGATGAAGACGACGATATGGACAGTGATTGATTTTTTTTTGTTGTTGATTCTCAAGGTTGTTATTTTGATATCTTGTTTTCTTATTGTTGAGTTTGTGCTCTATAAACGTTTCACTCGCCTGAGGTAGATCCCTCGTCTATCGGACATTACGGAAGTACTATTATTCGTCAAGCTCCTCGAGGGCTCGAAGCACCCACCCGCTTGGACCCCCCAGGCTCGACGACCTTTCTTCCCTGCTTGCGGCTTGGGGACAAGGCCTAGTGCGTCGCGTTGGGACCTTTTTTATAGGGCGGGCGGCGGCGCTGAGAACCTTTTGAATGCCGGCTCACAGATATCGGCTGTTTAGAGTTTGTAGTCTGCTTAAATCCCTGAAAATAAAGCTCTAAATAGAATTCTGTATGCCGGGAAACGACAGCAGCGCGATGTTCATTTTTCTTCGAATTTTCCACTGCCTTTTCTTCTCCAAATTTGAAGAAATACTTTAATTTTACAAAATGAATTCTCCACGTGATTCTGTGTTCCGGAAGTGCATCTCGCCCGTCATGGGTTTCTCATCCGCCCAGCCGTAAGCTTAGATATCCGCGGGTCATGCCGGCTGTTCGAGCAATTCAAATCTTGTGCAAATAATACTAGTATGTCACTCGCTATGTGCTTTCTTTCGGCCGCAACGCGTCCCCATTAAAAGTGGCGCGGTCGCGAGCGTTTATGCCCGTTTTAAAGTTAAATTTTATGCTTAAAACATTAATTAAACCACTTTTGAGCTGGAATTTACACACGTTGATGATTCTACTATTTTTAAGAATTACCCCGTAGCAGATGGCGCTAATTTTCGATAAAAAAAATCGAAAGTTTAAAAACTATATTTTTTAAATGCTGCAATTGGATCTAGATATATAAAACCGTGATTTACCCAAGGTTTGCTTTTGATTTGGAAGACGTTTGGGGCATCTGAATGGCCAACACTTCTAAAGATTATTTTTGCGCTGCACCCTCGCCCCACTCTGGCTCTTTTCCTTTGCAATGCCGATAGGTCCCCGGAAAATATTTTGACCCATTTTCGGTCTTCTTTCCGGTTTTTCTTTTTTATTCGACATTGCGCTTGCCTTGCGCACGTAGCCTACCGTATCCTGCCCTTACCGTACTACATTTTAAAGGGGCCAGCAACCAAAATCCGCAGCGTAAGTTTAGCGCGCCAGCTAGTGGATAAAATTAAAAGTAAAAATTAAGCTTAGGAATTCTCTGTACTGTAAATTTCCGAATTCAATTTCTAAGTCTCTCTGTTTAATGAACTCCTTTTTCAGATCACCTGATGCGGAAAAAGCGAGAGAGCGAGGCCAAGGCGGACGACCGGCCGGTGAAGAAGCTGAAGGAGGCGGAAGTGGATTCTGAATTGCCTTCTACCTCATCGTGGGCCCAGCCGATCCCTATCCTCTCCGCCGAACTGACCTCCACCGAGGTGCCCGTCGTCGACTTTCACGCCCTCGTCGTCGCCGACCTTCGCTCGATCGGCAAAATTCTGAAGAAGCTTAAGGAGATCCCGGAAGAATTCCGGCACTTGAAGCGCATAAAAGACGGGAGGATCCTGATCTGCCCGACAAATGACGAGGAGTTACTAGCTTTCACAAAGGAAGTCTTGAAGGAGACGGAGTTTGCTTGGGAACTCGCGACGGTGCAGGTAGCGGCCAGGAAGCCACTGACGGTCAACCAATTCAACTGGGTCAAGCAGCGCTGGCCGACGGCTTTTCATCCCAACAAAGAGATTGAGGGCCTTGTCACCGGGACTTTCTTCACACAACCGCAGTTGGAATTGCTGAACAAGACGTTGGATTCCGCCCTACCGGATGGTTGTGTGATTGCAGATGGTGATAGAATATTAGGTTGGTTTAGAATTTTTTTAGGCTTTTCATCGCTAATAGGAGTAAGGTCTCGCCCCCACTTTCGTTGAAAATTTTTAATCGAACAGATCAAGGTTTTAATCAGAATACTCATTTTTTGTAAATAACCACCTATATGCCCCCTAGGAAGCTAAAGCTACTTTGAAAAACTTTTAAGGAGCCTATTGCAGTTATAGAAACCACCCTCGAGCATCCATTTTTCATTTCAGCACATGCCCGTCACGGCCAACTAGCCCTCGAGCATGCCGCGATAGAAGCCGTCAGGGATCTGGCAAGACGCAGAAAGGAGACGCCGGCAGATGACGGAAGCTACCTGGCCACCGGCTGCGACGTGTTCCTCGCCAACGAGCCGTGCGCGATGTGTGCAATGGCGCTTTTGCACGCCCGTGCCAAGCGCATCTTCTACCGCCACCGCTCGGCCAACGGCGTGCTCGGATCGGGGCCTTGGAAACTGCACGAAGAGCCCATTCTCAATCACCACTATCAAGTTTTCCACGTGCGCCACCCCGACGAGTTCAACGACGTGGAAACTCTTTTTCCATGCGGAAAAGGTTCAAGCTGAATTGTGATCATTTTGGCGCTCTTACTGCCTTTTACTTTCCACAACTTTTAACTTTGAGAATATTCTAGTATTCTTCTAATCTGTGATTTCTCCCTAATTGTTGAGATTGTTGTTTTCTTTTAGATCGTTTCATCAGACTTTTATATTTGCCAAATTCTTCTAGGTAAAACATTTTCAGGCGATGCCTCTTTTCAACAAGCGCCCCTGGGAGAAGATTCCGATCCCGGAAGGGCTGAGGTCAGATGAACGGGTCTATTATTGTGACGCCACCGGGGAAATATTCACCACCTACGAGTACGTATTTTATTTTTTTTAATGTATCTTTTTTTTCTTTTAGTGAGCTTTTTGACCGGCTGATGGAGCTCAACTCGACGGTCTGGACCTGCGAGTACACCAAGCGCTCCAATCTGACCTTTTTCGAGGCCCAGGACTCGGAGCAGGAAGCCATGGTGAATTTTTATTGCTATCACTAACCGCTTCTCTTCAGAAAATGCTCGGAAATTTTCCGGAACACCTCGAGGTGGCGATCCTTTATTTGGTGGACAAATTCTCGTGTCGTGGACGTTTCGAAGAGATGCTGAACGACATTTATTTCTTTTTGAAGGATCGGTAAGTCGAAAGCTTTCCTTTTCAACATTTTTTTTTAGTTTTGTCGTGGGAGAAGAAGTAACGATAAGTGATGGCAAAAAACCGGCCAAAATCGTTTCCGTCACTGCCGACACTTCAGATTTTAAGGAGCCAGAGGGGTAAGCAGGAATGCTTGATCCGGATAAGTTGCTTTTAGGAAAGTAAAGGAAACTTGCGCTCCAGCACCCGAAAGCTACAGCTATGTGGTGAAGGTCGACAGTCGAGATGGCACTTCACACGAGAAGACTGTTAACTACGTCATGATCTCGTGAGGATTAGCATTGATTCTAATAATCTTTGTTCAGGCGTAATAAGCGCATGCTCGCACGAGCTACGTTGAGGGTCTTCCTGCAGAACACGTGCAAAGTGCGCAATCAAGAGGGCGAGCGTTACTATGTCAAGGTATTTTTCATGCAGAAAATTCCATTTATTTGTATAGGAGAAATACCGTGAGCAGCATCACTTGTCTGACGTGAAATGGGAGCAAGTTTTTGGCGGCCCGTTGCCGATCTTCCCGAAAACGCCGATGAGGTTCCGTGGCCGAGGAAGGAGCAAGGGTAAGGCGTTCAAAATGTTCTAAAAAAAGGAATATCAGGTGGTGAGGAAAAGATGGAAGGAGACGACGATGAGGTGGCTAGTGATACTGAGAAGAAGCCGGTAATTGAAGCAAATTCGACGCCTAAAAATTTATTTTTAGGCCAAGGAAAAGCACAAGCATCGGAAGTCGAAAGACAAGGAGCACAAATCCCCACGTGAAAGCCGCAGCCCCAAGAAGCCGTTGACTGAAAAGAAGAAGGCGCAGGTACAGCTATTCAGCGGCGGTAAAACGCGCTGAATTTTGTTCAGATCGCCGCCCAGCAAGATGAGCTTCGCATCACGTTTGAAAAAGCAAAGCGGCTTAGCGTGGACCGATTAGACAAGTATGTTTTGTTTTCGGGCTTGACGTTTTTGTCTAGGTGGCAACAGTCGGAGAAGCTGCTGAGCAAAAAGGACCTCGACGCGCTGAATGAAGCGATCAAGGCTGCCCGCCGGAATGAGCGTGAATCAAATCAGAAAAAGAAGGCAGCTGCTCAAACTTGGGCCCGAAAGAGGGACGACTTGGAGTGTGATGATTTGAAGGTGGGCCTAGTTCGCTGCCTTTACACTTTTTTTTCTAGCCCTTCCCGACTCTCCCAAAACTCCCACTTCCGGATTGGATGAGCGAGGAGATGTTCACGAAGGCCGTCGACGTCTACCAGTTCTTCAACTCGTTCGCCGACATTCTCCCTATCAAGGAGAAGAAGAACTCCAGCAAGGTCACCCTGCAGGATGTGTTCATCGCCTTGAGGTGAGCAAATAATGAAACAAGCCGATGGTCTCGCTTCTGGTGCTGTTTTTAATTAGAAAAATGTCATAAAAATTGTAAAACATTGACATTTTTTGTTTGTTGCCAAGGATTTGTAATTTTGTAAACCGCTAAATACACTAGAAACGGCTAAAGTTTTCGCTTCGTATTGGCTAGATAGCCCCCCCCCCCGCTAGCAGCTCAGTACCGAATCGCTTTAGATGCCGCGATCCGCGCAGTTCCACCTATTCGATGCTGATGGAGATTTTGTTGAAGGCCCGGCAGGACGTTTGCGATGAGGAAGAGGGCGATGAAGGTAAAACCGCTCTTCTTTGTCCCTATTTATCGTTTTAAGTCGATTTCTCACGGCGCGACGAGATTCCGGTTGAGGTCAACCCTGATCACGAGCATCCCGAATTTGGCGATGATCTGAGGGCCGTCACCAAATATCATGAAGAAATCCGATATACTCTTGGTAGGCTTATTGTGCTCGATTATCTACATAGTTTTTAACGTTTTTAACTTTGGGTTTTCAGGTTCTTCCGTACGGAATCTGTATACCGACTGGCTGTCGCTGACCGAGGTGCTCCGTCTGCTCCTATTGACGAGCGGATATGTGACTAGATCTGGAAAGCATCGACATCGGTTAGTCAAGCTGGCGCTAAAGCTGATGAATTGCCTTTTTAGGCTATTCCAACGTGGCTCCATCCATTTCTACGATGATCCCGGCTTCATCTACCGCAAGGAAAACCCTGAACTCCTCGAAAAGCTTGAAACGGTAAATTACATCTGCGAAAATAAATTAACGTATTTTTAGGGCACCGTCTTCGACCTTGAACCTGAAGAGCGTCTCGATTTGATGCATCTGATTATGCGTCAACTCCTGACGTACGCCAAGTTTAGGTCGGTTTTTGCCTCAGTCATTTCGTAGTGACGATCCCAATAATACTGAACTTTTCCAGGAATCTCGCCAGCGAGAAATGCGAGGACGTCGTTGCCCAAAGGCGCGAGTACAAGAAGATGCGATGCTGGGACGCGACGCAGGAGAATGAGGCCAAAGATGCCCGGCTAATACGGGAGATGCACGCCGAGGGGCAGGACGTCAAGATTCCGAATCCATCCAAGGAGACGCTCAAGCTGAAGCCGATGCTCCGTGCGGCGCAGGATGGGAGACGACACGACAAGGCCGAGCTTGATAAGGTAAACTTTGATGTGTATAGAAATCCCATGCGTGTGAAATAATACGCAAAATTGAGCCAGCATTTATTCGAGGGCACACATTTTATGGGAGGCAATCAGGGGTTGTACTCGATGGGGAGGTTCTTGCGGCGGACCATGCCGTCACCCTGGAACCACTCGCGACGGAACTGCTTGGCGGCGCCGTCAGGGGTGTTCGTCCACTCGATGGTCACACGGTCGTTGTTCGTATCCTCGGCTCCGAACTGGAACGAGTCGCACGACACGGCCACCTAGAAGATGAACATTTGGCTTGTAGATGTACAAAGAGAAACTGACCAGGACTTGCTCCTTGGGGTCGAGGACACCGCACGGCGGGTCAACACCGAGACGCTTCATGTTGGTGGTCTTGAAGGCCCATCCGATGCGACGACCGCCAGAGTTGATCACCTTGATGTGATAGGTGTGCTTGTCGTCGTAGGGGGCGTTGAAGACGATCTTCGTGCCGGGTTGGGTCGTGATATCACCAGGGGCGACGGATTGAGCCATTTTGTCTCGATGAGGAGATGGATGCCTTTCCCCCTCCGCTCTCTTTTTTATACTCGAAAACCCATGTAAATTGAGTGAGGGTAATTGGGGGTTCCGGGATGAAGTTGATTTTTATGCAAAAATATTCAACTATCTTTACTTGCTGATTAAAAATTTTTCTGATTTCAGATCATGATGAAAGGCCCCGCCTGGGACGAACTCGAGCTGCCCGACATCTGCTTCGCCAGGGAATATCAGAAATCGCTCGTTCAAGAAGAAATGGAAGACATGCGCGCCGAAATTTTCGCCCTATCAAGTAGCACTTTGTGAAAAAGCAACAACCCCATTTTTAGACCAATTCGGCTCGTGCTCCCTGGGTCGTGATCGCGCTTTCCGGAATTACTTGATCTCGGACCAGGTTGGTTCTAGCTATCTCTGAAATTTCAATGCCGTTAAGATCCCGATCTTCATGGTCGAAACCCCAAGTTTGAAGGAGCCGATCGGGACCTGCCACGAGCCGACGCCCTGCAAATCTAAGGTAGGTATTGGTTTTATAGATGGAAATTCATTTTTAGGGTGAGTACGAGAGCAGTGAAGAATGGCGCATTGCGGTGAAGGCTTGTACCGGAAAGGACGAGAACTGCCCCGTGCATAGCGTCAAAGCTAGGACAACACCCCGCTTCTCCTATATTAAAGACGTTGAGCAGCTGGAGGAGGTTGGCTTTGGTTGAGTTTTCATTCGAGTTTCTCGCAGGTGATTGCCGCTTTCAACCCTCGCGGCCATCGCGAAATCGACCTGCTTGATGAGATCAACTATATGAGGCCGTTGATTTTCGAGCTGGTGGAAAAGACGGTGAGCTAACGATAGTTTTTTTCCGCCAACACCCGAATTTTAGAAAAACAAGGAGAAGAATGGCCAATTGGCCACATGCTTCATGCAAGAAGCCGAAGATCCGGCACAAATGGGAAATGTCATCAAGTGGCTTGATGTCGTCATCGATATGGTGCTCGAGCTGGAGGAAAAGGTAGCACATAAATTTTGTTTAATTTTATTTTTTTCCCCAGATGACTGAGGGTTTCCTGGGTCGCCTTCCGGCCTACATCAACCGTGAGGAATGGCGCCGGCTACTCGATGACACCGGCGATGTCACCTCTTTGCTTCAAGGTTTTTTGAAATTCAGATGATATTTACGTAATTTTTAGATGACGTCGCGTGTGACCTCAAAGAACGAGAGGTCTTTCATGCCAAGGAGGACTTTGACAAGCTGACCGAGATCCAAAAGTAACCGTGGCTTTACCATAAATTTGAATGTCTTTTTCTAGGGTCGGCATTGCCTTTTTGCAAGTCGTGCAAGCCATCAATGCGAAATTCATCAAGAAGCCGTTCACCAGGATTGTCGGTAGGTTCTTTAGATAAATTCTGGAATTGACTGGACGCCATGTGAACCCCTCAATTTCAGCCGGTGGCGTGATCGAGCCCACCTGGGCCCTGATCCATTGGATGCGATCGGTGGTCGACTGCAAATCCGTGCCCGCTCTCGCCCTCCACCTCTTCTCTATCGAATCCACGATTCAATGGGAGAAGAGCAAGTTGCAGGTAGCACTTATTTGTTTTGAAAATCCTATTCCCGAAAGTCAAGTTTCGGAATTCTTTTCATATAAACAGTTCTTTTAAAAAAATTATATCGAAAATCTTCCTTCGCGGCTTGTTCTCCAACCCTTATCATCTATCTAGGCCAAATGCCGCGTCTGTCGTCGCAAGGGTACCCCCGAGACTCTCGTCCTCTGCGAGGACTGCGACAAGTGCTACCATTTGGACTGCCTGAAGCCGAAATTGGCCGAGGTGGTCAGCCCTTACACTTGCCGCGAGTGCAAGAAGGATGATGAAGACACCACGACATCAGCAAGCAACAGCAATGGAAAGGCCACAAATGGAAATGGTGCGTTGAAAGCATATACATTTTATTGGAAAAATTCCAGTCAACGGCCACGTCAGCGATGATGAGATGAACGGCAATGACGAGAACGAGTCGAGCGCCACCGGATCGGCGCTGCGCACGGCTTCCGGCCGCAAGATCAAGCGCGTCGAGTACAACATTGACCGGTTGACGTCGTTGGCGCCACCCAGGAAAAAGTGGGAATTAAATCCGTTAGATTAGGCTTTTATTTTAGGGTTCGTATCGAGAGTGACCAAGAAGCCAGCCAGGAGAGCCAGGCGACAAATGATTCGGACGAGGAAAAGTATGAGGTAAGCTTTTAAGATTTAGGGTTATTTCGCCGAATTTCATCTCGCCGACCCCTTTTTGTGGAAGTCAATTTGCTTCCGACCAGATATTCGTCTTTTTCCAAAAACTTTTTCTCGACAGTTTTATCGATATGTTGGGTAAATTTTCCATGAAATTTAGCGAGAAAATTCCAGATTTAACTTCAGCGGAATTAACATTCGCCGGCTTTTGACGGTCGTGCTCAAGCAGTATATTTTTTTCAGGGTGGTACGAGTGAGGCTGTCGATGAGGATGACAGCTACGACGATTATTCATCTGATGACGGTCGCCGCCGAAGCGGTCGTCAGCGTAGCATGCGCAGGAGTACGCAGAAAACGCAGAAAGGTGAGCACCACCTGAAGCACGGCCAATCGTCTTTTTCAGTAGTGGAATCCAATCACTCGAATCGCTCGTTTGGCCTCGGACTGCGGGATTCTGATCCGAATCTGAAGGTTCGCTTCGTTTTTGCCTCCAAAAATATCGGTGTTTAGGAGAAGATGAAAAAGCTCGAAGAGGTCATCCGCCAGGCGATGCGCGAGGAGTTTGCGTGGCCATTCTTGGACCCGGTGGACCCGAAAGAGGTGCCCGACTACCATGACGTCATCAAGAAGCCGATGGATCTGCGCACGATCATGAACAAGATCAAGAACCACGACTACAGCACAGCTGAACAGGTAGCGCTTGACGAGCAATCGGATTCTATTGGTTTAGCTCCGAACTGACGCCGAGTTGGTCGTCTCCAACTGTAAGAAGTACAACCTGGAGGACAGTGAGATCTTTGAGGTTTGTTTTGTGTTTTCGTGCTTTCTCGTTAGAGCATTCGAATATTTTGGGGTATAAAATAGTGCAAGTTTTTCTAAGCTGTTTTTTATTCTTCATAAACGCAAAATTCATTTTTTATTAGAAAACGCAGGAAATAACGATTTTTCGACAGAAAATGACCTTTTCTGAAATTTTCGGAATAGTTTACAAAACAAAACAAAACAAATTAATTCCTTTACAGTGCGCCACGCAGCTCGAAGAACACTGGCAGTCCCATATGAATCCAATCTTCCACGAGACGTCCCGGCGACGCCCAACTCGCCGGTCTTTGCTCTGATTCCACCGCTGGCCTTGATTTATCGCCATTTTGATTTTGCACTCTTCCTCTGATTTCTGCCCCCAACTTTGGTACAACAACTAGACCCGGACACCCCAGTCAGCGACCCTAGAGCTTTATGCGGTCTTGACCGTCATTTAGGATTTTTCCAATTGAATTGACTCTAAAATAAAAATAAAAACTCCAGTAAAACAAATAAATATGTCTGTCATATCTTTGTCGCAAAAAATCCCACCCCGTCAAAATTTGTGCATTTGTTAGGTCCTACATTGTTCTTCCCCATCTCTCCCCGACTCGCCCAGCTCCGAGCAAGCGATGTGCAGTGATATGCTGGTGTCTATTTGATCTGAACCCTCCCCTCGTATCTACGTTGTTTCCACTTTGAAATATTGTCATTTTTGATCCCTACACCTTGAACACTGGTTCTACTTTTTTAAATAAAGGGTATTCATAAACAGAGCCGCGCTGTTTTCAAGCAGGTAGTGAACGAGTTGATATTTGAAAGAGAGACTTGAAAATGCATCCGAAAAACTTTCAGCGATGTTCGCAATAAGAAGGTCACTCACAATAGCCAGCACATCAAACCTGTTGCCAGCGATAAATAGATTAAAGGTAGGAGGTTATCCATGAAACTATACACCCATCTAGAAACCAACCCAAGTATCGCTCCTAACCATAAATCCCGCACGCAGCTTGTCGGACTCGAAACGGGATCGCTTGGTGCATTTTGTGTGTGGCGACCAAACATATACTGGCAAGGCCAAGGTGATTTTTTGACGCCTTGATCTCGTTATTTCTGCAGGTTGGTGATTCGCTCTTGGATGTCATGGTGGACAATGATCTGCCACTGGACGGATTTGGAGCGTGTGAAGGGTTGGATTACTAAATTTTCTTCTACACTTTTTTTCTAGCACCGTCGCATGCTGTACGTGCCATGTCATCCTCAGCGACGAGCATTTTAAAAGACAAGACCAGGTGAAAATTGGATTTTATTGCAAGTACATTAGTCTAGACAAATCCGGTGAGCGAAGAAGAGCTGGACATGCTTGACCTATCCCCCGACCTCACCGATAACTCGCGTCTCGGCTGTCAAGTGAGGGTGGAAAAAGAAGATGGTGCGGCTTTAGTGGTTGACGAATATTGCTTTCTAGGCCCCGAGATTACCGTGACCGTGCCGACCAATCGACGTGATGCCCGACAGCTATAACTCTGACCAACCCGTAGCATTTCCGCTCTAAAACCGTTGCTCAACGCTTCACTGTGCCTTTAGTGCCTCGAAAAACCTGATGGTTTATCATTGCTTGCATGAGGGTTCGAAAAGCGCCTTGCCATAATAGGTCTTCGATTTTGCCCCAGAGATTTTGACGTTCTAGAGCTTTTTCAGATTTCTGTAATCCATAGCCATTTCCTCGTACTGTGATGACTGAAGCGCCTTATCGAATAAAGATTTTTTCTACACCACTTGTAAAGTTTCGATTCTTCTCGTCCAGAACGGCTGCAGCCCGGTTAAAATTGTCTGAATTCGATGATGGAAAAAGTTGCTGGATCTGAAACAACTGAAACAATGAAAACTTTTCCAGTTCCCATGACAAAAGGGACTCATAATACGACGCGGTTGAAGCGCACACGACCACGAGGCGTCAAGACGGTCATCGCTACTGAATACCAGCCGTTTTGCTCGATAGTCGTAGGAACATTAACATTACGCTTCAAATCACTGTTTAGGAAGAAGACGAGGAAAATACGGCCGGGCCTAAGCATCTGTCGTTTGCTTCATTCGGCAAAGTATCGGTAAAAGCGGATGGCACTGGAGCTGAATGGTCAGGAGAAGAGGTACTTTTCAAAAACGCCTCATTTTCCTTTTTAGACCCACTCCTCCATTTTTATCGACGACAAAGAAAATCGGCCGGCAGCAGACTCATTCGAAGCAAAGCTGAAAGACTTGAACGCCCAGGTGCTAGCTACTTCTAATCTGTTTATTTTTTTTAGTTTTCCGATGATTCCGACTTTTCACTTGTAATCGAGAGGGAGGATGGGGTTCGGATGAAAGAAGACTCGCGGGGCGAGCTCGTAGTACATCCGGTTCAAAATGGTAACTTTTGTCTAGAGCTGGCTTTTACGTTGTCTTTTCCAGAACAGCCCGCAATTCCGGACATCCCGGAGGATACAGCCAACAATTCTGCTTCTTCCATAGCCTCACCCGCACAATTTCGGGCGCCAGCTCCATTTCGGGACCGATTACGCGAAAGCTTGGCATTCCCAGATCGAACAGCAGTAGCAGCACGACAAATACGAGGTGAGATAGAGATATCGTTTTTATGGCTTTACAATGTATTGTGGCACAGTGAATTCAGGAAGCCTTTATTTGAGGGCACACATTTCATGAGAAGCAATCAGGGGTTGTACTCAATCGGGAGGTTCTTGCGGCGGACCATGCCGTCACCCTGGAACCACTCGCGACGGAACTGCTTGGCGGCGCCGTCAGGGGTGTTGGTCCACTCGATGGTCACACGGTCGTTGTTCGTATCCTCGGCTCCGAACTGGAACGAGTCGCACGACACGGCCACCTAGAAGATGAACATTTGGCTTGTAGATGTACAAAGAGAAACTGACCAGGACTTGCTCCTTGGGGTCGAGGACACCGCACGGCGGGTCAACACCGAGACGCTTCATGTTGGTGGTCTTGAAGGCCCATCCGATGCGACGACCGCCAGAGTTGATCACCTTGATGTGATAGGTGTGCTTGTCGTCGTAGGGGGCGTTGAAGACGATCTTCGTGCCGGGTTGGGTCGTGATATCACCAGGGGCGACAGATTGAGCCATTTTGTCTCGATGAGGAGATGGATGCCTTTCCCCTCCGCTCTCTTTTTTATACTCGAAAACGCATGTAAATTGAGTGAGGGAAATTGGGGGGTTCCGGGATGCAGTTTATTCGATTCAAATATACAAATTAATGCATTTTCAGAAATCCATGCCTTGCGCACCCAACAACGACCCAGCGCTGCTTCTAGCAGTCAGCCGCCCGCGTTCAGCATCATGGATCTGGTGGCCCAGCGTGGAGCGCAACTTCCAGAACAAACGGTACCGTTATTGGAAATTTAACAAATTCATTTTTCCAGCCAAATCGGTTGCTGCGAAAATCGCTCATCAAAGCCACTGCGAGGGCATCGCTCACTCCTTTACGAGAAGATCGCAATTTTAGTGGGCAGACTGAGGATTCGCAGCCTTTGGTAAGCGATTTTTAACAAATCAAAATGAAGTTTTAGGTCCAACCATCCCCCATCATCTCCAAGGCGGCACAAGGGCGATTGACGTTTGGCTGCTTGAACGAATCGTCCTTCGCCCCGCCACTCGCTTCCACCCCGATCGTGGAACGCACCGGTATCCAGCCCCGCTTCTCCACGGCTTCAACCACGCCCGTCACCGTAGAGCCAAAACGACGGCGAACGAACAGCCCAGAAACCCTACATGAATCCGCAGCCTCAGACGATCAAACTATGGATGAGGGGGATGATGAAGCTCAGAATACGGTTGCTTCCTCTATCGCGGCTGAAGATCCAGCGGAAACGGAGGAAGCTGCTGAAGTCGATGAGCAATTGGCGGCTTGTCTCGAGAACAGCATGGATATCGGGGCTGGTGGCGACGCTCCTCATGTTGACGACGTTCAGCCATCAGGATCTGATTCTACACTGGGATCTATTGCCGAAGCTGATGAGGAGGAGCCGGAAGCTGAGGTGGGCTTTTCTATAAAAGCAGACCGTTTCGTTGGTGACCTCTAAAGAGTTCGAAATTTCCTTGGGATTAAATCGATATTCCCGACTCGTTGAATTTAATTTAATTTTAAATGATTCATTGAGTGCTTTTGATTCGGATTATTTTACAGGCTTCACAACAAGATGCCACGCGAGGAGAGACTATGGCCGAAAACCAGCAAACGTTACAAGCGCATGAGCCCTCCACGATGGTTGACGCTACCTTGGGCATTCAGCAAGAGGTATTTTACCCAATTTCCTTGATCTTTCCTTAGGCGATCGGCCGTACCTTTGCCAGTGACATCACGATGGGTCAGAACAACTATTCAGCAATGACATCAATGCAGGTACGAGGAGACTTCCCTAAAAGTATCGGTATTTTAGACACTTCCGGTAGTCGACCCTTCGCTGCGAGGAAATGTGACGGGTCTCCGGATGACGTTCAATCAAACGCAGGTAAGTCAGCTTTTTTGCCTTCAAAATTCTCTAGATGTCTGCCACGAGGCGAAATGTCACCCAAATGCAGATGGAGGACTCGATCATGGTCGGCGATTCAAGCGGGATTTTATTTATTGGTTTTTTTTTTGCAGAATGACCGCCCCTTCTTCCTCGACAAATTCGAGGGCGACATGGATGACCCGCTCCAGAAACTCCTCCACATTATCGACCAAAAAGAAGTCGTCGGCTGGAGAGAGGGCCTTCCCAAAGAGTACGCTCCCTGTTTGGTTTCCGCTTCATCACCTGCCCTTTTAGCGTATTCAAGAAGCTGAAGAAGCTGGGCGAGGGTGTCTATGGCGAGGTGTTTGCAACCACCTGGAATGGCGTGCCAACGGCTGTGAAGGTAAAGAGGCTCAAAATTTTATCAGGTTCTTTGGCAATATCGGGTGGGGAGCAATTATTTCTATTTTTCACATTCCGAAATGTAAACTCTACATATTTATTCTAACAATACAAAAAATCGCAATTTTTCGACAAAAAGGGGCTGTTTCGAACAACTTTTGACTTTTAGAACACCTTTATAAGTTTTTTTTGGATAGGTTTTCGATTTGAATCATAGCTAGTTGTTTTCGAAACCGCTGTTTAATACCACATTTAGGTGATCCCCTTCCAAAACGGGGCAGAAGACGGAGAGGTGAAGGTCAACGGCGAGTACCTCAAGTCGACGGAGGAGATCCTGCCCGAGGTGCGAAATCTGGAGACGATCCTGCGAATTCACATGTTTAGGTGTTGATCACCCGCGAGCTGTCGGCCCTCGCAGAGAGCAGGAGCGGCTACCAAACGTCCAACTTTATCGAACTGCTCCAGGCGCGTGTTGTGCGGGGTAGGTGCATAATTAGTTTGTATTTTTCTTAGGCCTATACCCCGAAGAGCTGCTCGATGCCTGGGATGAATACGACGGGCGGAAGGGCTCGGAGAACGATCGACCGGATGAGTACGCGACAGAGGTGAGAGCTTGTCCGGAAATTAAATTCCTCTTTTTCAGAATCGGCACTTCATCGTCATCGCGCTAGCCATGGGCGGAGTCGACATCGAAAACTACAAGGTCGGCCATCCCCCCTTCCTCAATTTTCCCTTATTTTAGGTAAAAAACGAAAAGGAAATGCTGTCGATCCTCCTGCAGTTGATCTTCGCGATGATGGCCGCCGAACGGGAGCTTTCCTTCGAGCACCGGTGTGTTATTGTTCCGTTTTGTTTGAAGGTGCTTCTTGTAGTGACCTCCACATCGGGAACGTGCTGGTCAAGGAGTGCTCCCAGGAGTTTATCCAATTCCGGATGAACGGCCTTCCCCTAAACATCCGCTCACACGGCGTCCACGTCAACATCATCGATTTTACCAATTCAAGACTTTCCAAAGGTACGATTCAGAAAATCTGCTTCCACTGTTACTTTTCAGCCGGCGTCAACATCTACCTGGACCTCGAGGCCGACGAGGAACTGTTCGAGGGCCAAGGCCACTACCAATTTGACATCTACCGTATGATGCGCGAAAATAACAGGCTAGTCTTTTTTTTCTTTCACCTTTAAAATGAAATTTCAGAGGTGACTGGGCTTCCTTCGAGCCAAAGTCGAACGTTTTCTGGCTCCACTATATGGCACGAGAGCTGCTGGAGCGCAACGCGAAGAAGCGCATCCTCGTCAAGCGGAAAAAGGAGCTGCTCGCCATTTTTGATACGTACGTTTTATCATCCCGGACGGAGAATTGACCGTTTTAGGCTACTCGCCTGCGACGAGCTCAGCGCCTTCGTCTACGACGACGCGATGGCCGAAATTTGCGAGGAGTTTCTGCAAGAAGGCGGTGACGCATCTGCATAGATTTTCGAAATACTTGATTCGTTGTCTCAAGTTTTGATCTCGTATCTATATTCCCCAGAATATCCTTGATCGCCTATTCTTGCTCATGGTCATCACCTGATTTTTTCATTGTTCGAAATGGCCCCGATCCTCTTTCATTAAAAAAACTGCCGCGTTGTAGATGTTGTACTTTGTCTGATTCTTGTCGATGAAAATTTTTAGAGAAAGACATGAAGTTAGGAACGGACAGATCGATTTTACAGTCAAACACTCGGATCCGGTTCTTTCGCATTATCCGGTGGGGTTGGGTGGAGAATGTATTTTTTTCCTAAAGTTCAGATTTACCTAGTAAATTAATAGTTCGTACTTTTAGTGTTTTTAGTAAGATTTAACTATTCAAAGTGAAAAAACTATCTAAAACGATTTAGAAAATTAGAAAGTTTGTTGGAAAGACGCTGTTGAGTTCGAATTTTTTGTATGTTTTACACAAATTGGTCGAAAGCGTCGATTTTCCGCGAATTTTCCCATTTCAAAGCCTAGGCATCTGAAATACATTTGGTCATTGGCCCTTTCACCCCCTGCCGGTGCAGGTTTTGAGCGTGCACTATGGACGGGCGATGATTCCAGGATGGGGCCACCTTCAAGGGCCCTCAATTTGCAAACGCGACACGTTGATGACATTCGCTTCGGCAATTCCAACCCCCAAAATGGGATCTCTTGTGACCGCGAGGGCATGTTGCTGCCCCCATTGTGTGATGACGACGACGAGCAGACCAGAGAAAGAAATTTGTGAGAATTGGAGAGGTTAGATAAAATGTTGAGGATACGATAGGCTTTTTAGATAGCTAGAAGTGATGTAAACTCATATTCTAGGGATTACCGCGATACATAAGGCACTCAAATTGTCGGTGTTTCTAGAGTTTCCGGACGTCTTTTTTAGGATTCGTTCCGGATTCTAAGCGCCCAACGTCCCACAAAAAACCTTGATCACCCGGGACCCGTTGATTTGAAATGGACACTGCCAACATGCCGCGCAACCTACGCGCCCCCGGAAATATCCCATATCGCGGGACGTGGGTGTGTGTGGGTTTGTGTATTTTGTTGAGATACCAACCAAACACAGGGTAGAATTTATGAAGGGGGAAGCGAGGGAGTTTCGGATTGGTGGATTAGTGTGGATGGATGGATGGTATGCGATGTTGTTGGGTGTGCCTGCTACGTGCGTACGTGTGTCAACTCATTTGCGCCCAAAGTTCTTCGTGCAGCCGCCGAAATCGGAGAAAATCGAGTGGTACTCGCAGAAGTACGCCCCCGGGCAATCCATGTCGGTGCGGCAGAACTGGAAAAAGGTGGTTAAATTAGTCATTTTTTTAGAATATTCGATTTTCCGATCCCGCTGCGTTAGGATGGGGCTGAGTTAGTGGTTTTGCTTACTTTAAGTTTAACTACCTCTTAAAGTTTAACGCTCGGTTTTTTTTTTAGAGTTTTATTTCGACGTTTGAATCTTCATTTACCTAATTTCTAACAGCGAAAAGCTATAGCTTCTCCTCTTTTTTACTTTTAGAGTATCAATTTCAACTTTCGGGGGTTTCCGAACCAGGATAAAATCGTATTTGTCGGTAAGATATCTAATTTTCTCATTTTCATTTTCTCTTATTCATCTTTTAAGCTTCGTTTTTCATAGTGGGCGTTTATGTTTGTATTTCAAACTTTCTAGAGGCCGAAGTTTAGGCCCCCTATTTCCCAAACTTTGAAAAACAAAGAGCTCGTAGTTCTTTTAGAACCTCAAAAGGCTTCAAGTTTGAAAAATCCGCTTGAAGAGCGCAACTTTCCCAGCGTCGAGCATATTTCCAGGCACGCGCGGTGGCTTCGAGTAGTCTTTTCACGGCTGAATCGCTAAACGGTTGCTCCCGTTTTGTCCTTTTTTAAACCTCTTTTGCAAAATCTTCTGAAAAGGGATTCCGGGAAAATGAAATTGACGCAGAATCATTTTTAGGTGAGCGGATCATTTGGAGATGCGTCTGTGGTTTCGCCGCTCGTTAGCCGTGTCTTTTGCTAAATTTTACGGGGTATTAACACAACGGGGCGTGGATTTTGCATGCATGAAATTGTGTTTTGAGGCTAGATAGAGTATTTCTGGGTATTATTAAATTCGGAGGAGTAGAACACGCTTTTTTAAGAATGTGTGAGTTCAGATGACTTTACGATATCTTTTCAAAACGCGTTCTTTTTCTTTAATTTAGCTTTTTCGAAAAGCTTTAGCCCGCTGGGAATTTCTGTTATCTGAGAGGGGTTTTGGTTTTTAATAAGACTAGTAATGAATAGTTTATACGCTACATTTCATAGAAGATTTTAAAAAGTTGTGGACGCTGGATAGTTTTGGTTTCAACTTTTTTGTTATGTTAAGAATTTTATTTTTGACATAATTTTTAAATGCAGTTTTTCTTATTGAGATCGCAAAAAAAGGCTTGCAAATTCAGTAGATTTTTAGAAGCATTTCGCCACAAAATCCATAAAATTCCAGAGGTACCAAACCGTAGAAATTCCTTGCCAATCCCTTTAAAAACCGCTCTTTCTGCCAAAACTCACAAAGTTGCGCGCTTCGACGTGGGCCAGGAGTACGGTAGCGATGAGGAGGCAGATGAGGGGCAGAAGACGCGACATTCCGGACAACGGCTGTGGCGGTGGAATGGGGGCTGGGTGGGCCCTGAGGTGGGCCCGCTGGGGCCCACCTCAAAAAAGCACCCGCCCCACCGGGCCCCACCCACCTGAAGGAGGGCAAGGAGAAGAAGAAGCTGAAGACGTCCCTTTATCCCATACACATAAATGGATATGGGGCTTTGTGCTAATATTAGCAGGGGGGAAGGCGTTGGAATATCTAACGAGCGTTGTCGGTTTTGCATGGGAATTTGTGAAGAATTATGGGAACTATTAAGGCGTATTTAGGCGTATTCTGGAATGATTTCTAGAGCAATTGATACATTTTTTACTGGCTCAGAAATTAGAAAATATAGAAAATATCGATGCTTCTATCGAAATATGGCCGATTTTGCTCCAGTTTTTGATTTAAACGAACTATTTTAAGTTTTTAGGTAGTTTTTCCACTTGAAATATAGTTACCTTTTGCGAAAAACACGATTAAAATCTCTACTATTAAATTGCTAGGTATTTCTGGGCCAATAGCAAAATCTGTGCTCCCGATACCACCCCCCGATAATGCAAAAGCTCGTAATGTTTTGTGATTTTCGACATACTTATCTCTCTCACACCTCCTTCCCTCCCTCCCTCTCGCTCTCTCGCTCTCTCTAGCTCTCTCTCTCTCTCGCTCTCATCTCTCTCTGCTCTCGCACTCTCTCTCTCTCTCTCTCTCTCTCTCTCTCTCTCTACTACGTCACGATACTATACACATCATCAGCTCCAATCTCTTCCAACTCGTGTTTTTGAAGTGCGAAAAGGCAACCGGGTTGTCAACATTAATTGGCCCCACCTCGGGGTGTCTATCGTTCAAAATTAGAGGGTACGCGGGCGCGAGGACCCGGCTTAATTGAGCGAACGTGGCTCAAGCATAAGCCTTCAAAGCCAGTATTTTTTCTTGGAATAATAATAAACTGCATGAGGCTGAAGGCCGAAAATAGCTAGATGTTTTTAACCGCGTGATTTGAATTGGCTTGGGGTCAATTTGTGAGGGCATTAAAATATGTATTTTTAGAAAATAAGTAAAAATCCCTAGGGACCGCTGGAATAATCAAATAACGATCATCGTAATTTAAGGGGCGGAGAACTGGAAAATATCTTGAAAACCACGCTGAATTTGAAAAGCGCGAATAAAATCGTTAGAAAACGGGTAAGCTAGCAGAGATTCCTTGGGAAAATTCATAGAGGAACGAAAAAAGTAAAAATTCGCGAGAATCTATGGGCTAGGCAGGCTAGCATGGATTCTTGAGGAATCTGCGCTTGAAAAGTAACAGCTGAAGCAATGTCACTGATTTTCGACAGGGCAACCTAGCAGAAATTCTTTAAGACGCCAAAAATCGGTTCCATGGGACTTAAATTCTAAAATTTCCAAAAATTGTTCTAAAAATTCTATCCCTACATTTTCCAATGTTTATGCTTTTTCCGGATGGCTGTGGATACTGTAATAATCCTGGTGAAGATGGAAATCCATCTAAATATTTGACTCCCCCGTCCCTTTAAAATTTTCGGATCTCGTACTCCAGCCGAGCGGGAATTAGCGCGCCTAACCCTGCCGCTCAGCGCATCGACCCGGAAATTGAGGAGCATCTTTTAGGCGGTGATGCCCGCCCTTTGATAGCACGCCTCGATACGCGCTGACAGATGAAGGGAATCGCCGCCGGACACGGTCATTGCACAACGCGACAACCATCTGATAACCTTGCCAGGGGAGAGCAAATCGTAGTAGGCGAAGCGCCACAGCGTAGCATGGCGGTTGCGTACAGCGTATAGGAACGTAGCGTAGTGCAGCGTACTGGATATTATTAAGTGGCATATCGTAACGTACTTGTACGCAAGGTAGCGACTGCTGCTAAGTAGCGTAGCGTACGCTTCGGCCTGATTACGTACTGTAAATACCGCGATGCAACAGCTTACTGGGAGTAAACAGCCGTAATAAGCAGCCGTAAGCAGAGTGGAGTAACGTAGCGTCGCGTAGAGCAATCTCCCAGGGCATTTTGGAGCGTAGCGTGGCGTATTTTCGTATCCTTCATATCGTAACGTATCGTAGTCTAGCGTTACGTAGTACACAAATATTTTTGACAACCCCCTGAAGTTCGATTTTTAACTCCCGATGACCAAGGCCGGGCCCTTTGTCTTTTGGAGTTGCTGGTAGTGGGGTTGTGTGTATTGAGAAGGGTCATATCGGGTCGGGACCCTCTTGACTTATTCGAGGACGGATAATTATCGTAGCCTATGGGGACTCGCAGATGGCCCCCTCTACAGCCAGCCGAAAGTTGGCACCTCGGGACCGGGGTGACAATGGGATTTTGTCTTTGAGTGGGTGT